GAAAATCACGCGTAAAAGAAGAAGCGCTGCGTGAGATGTCGTCTTCGCCGAGTAATCAACGAATTTGTCGACGCAACGCGTCGAGGCTATCATGTCGCTTCGTGTACTCGCGTTGACGGCGATTCGATTCGAGTATCGAAAACTTCCCGCGCGGAATTCACGGCGGTGAGCCGCCGTGCATGCGCGCACGTGTGGATCCGAGTTTTCTTTCCAGAGTTGTTTTTTTTCTCTTGCGAAAATAGCACCGCGACGCTTGAGAAATTTCGCGTCACGATATGCAGATGTATAACCAGCTTCGCGCGCGGCGTCTCCCGTTCTCACTCCGATCTTCTCGAGATGATAGCGCCGTAACTTATTTCTGGCAAGTGCTTTCTTGCACGCGCGAGGAGAGTTCGCGCCAAAGTTCGCGCACTCGTCGCCGAATGCATTATGCATACTCGGACTTTTTTTTCATCGACCTACCACTCCGCATCACAGGGATGCCCATGGACTGGAACTGCCAGGAGCATCACGTGCCTTTTCCCTATCTCTATCCCGCTCCTGATGGACCCCGCTGGGCTACCGGCTCAAGTCCCCTAAAGGAGAAAGTCGGCTCAGCCAGGGGCACCTCCCCCAGATCTTCACTCCGGGCCCCTTCCTGGTATTTTTATTCGATCCCTAGTCCTCTCCTTCCTCAATTTTAACTCCTGGCTCACAAATATCCTTCCAACCCCCCTTATTACCTTACCCGTCCTTCCCTCACCCCTGGAACTATCTCAGGATCATTTATCTAACACACATATTTCCCTCCTCAAATGAGTAGAGAAATTACTCCCCTTATCTATCAATAGGTTGTTTGTTTTCGGTATTTCTCTTCGTCTAAGTATTCTCTTTGTTGATCCTTCTATTCGCCCGCCGCTAGAAAGAAACCCTGCCAGGAGATCAAGTCCTCGTCGACGTGACTCCACGAGTCGTGGAGACGCTCGAGCCCCCTCATCTCGCAACAAGGTGGCGTACCACGAGGAGGATACGTGCGCGTGCGAAGGAGATCCCGGCGCGTAAAATTTCGCGTCTTATTCGGTAGCGGATAATTCTCTCTCGCGCGCTGCCTGGAATGGAGAAATACCGCTAACGACTCAGTCGGTGAACGGTCATTTCCCCCTTCCGACCGATGTCTTTGTGCGTAACGGTCCGCTTTATTGCGCGATAATCACATAATAGCACGAATTGGCTGCGTCAATTAAAGCTGGCACGAAGCCGTCGCGCGCTGAATTCTTCGCTCGCTCGGTAGTCAGCCGCGAGAGTTATTTGTCCTCCCTGCAATAGCCTCTCTCCTTAAAGCGAGCAGCTTCGCAACATCGGCATGGAATTCGGTTAATCGCGAATCTACCTGAAGGAAACGTCTGAGGAGGGTAGAAAAACGTACGTTTCAAAGACGCGATGTCTCGCAGGTAGCCGCGGCACAGGTAGACGGAAGTCGGTATGGCGGTTTCCGTCACCGTTAGATCGATTTGTTCTCGCAGTAATGCAAAGCCGGCGTGTAACGGCCGGGAAATACGCGGAAAAAATGCGGGAATCGATTTCACCGTTGGAGCGTCGGAGCCTGATCGGACGCACTCGGGAGTATTCAATTTTTCGGTCTGCCGCGTCGCGTGATTGCCGCGCGCGTCTCCTCCGAGAAGTATAAATCGCTTCGGAAGCGCCGATACTACGTTGTATAATCAGCTACGGGAGACTTCCGCGCGCGCCATCAGTATTTCCCGGCTTCGATGAGAGTTGAGCGAGTGCGACGGCGAAAATTGCGACGAAACAAATTTGTCAAAGGGAATTCCCTTCCTCTCTCTCTCTCTCTCTCTCTCTCTCTCTCTCTCTCTCTCTCTCTCTCTCTCTCTCTGTGTATGTGTATGTCAGAGGAGGTAATTCGCGCATACTTTGTTCTCGGTATTTTCATCGAGATTCGCTCGCAATTCGCGAAAATTCAGCGTCAGAGGGCTCGTAAAGCGAGCGCAATCTCGCTAACCCTCCAAATTCTCATCGGTCTTCTCGGTTTATTCGCGAAATGTTGCTCGCGAGGATTTGCGGCGCGAGTTATGCGAGCGATTTTTAGCGCATAATTATGCCTCCGGTTCCGCGTGCGGATTCGATCGCGGTGATCCTTGGGCCGATCGTCTCGCCCCTCCCGCATCATTTCGTCTGACTTTTCTTCGCTTTTCACGCCGCCTTTCTCGCTTCTCGACTCGTATTATTCCGCGTTGCTCGAGAACAATTTTCTCCGTCGCTGCTTTCGATCGAACGAAATCGCGACCGCGCTGAAAGCGTCCTGAAGACAGCCTGAAGTCGTCGAGACAACACACCCGCCGATAAAATCGGGACGGGGGGGAGGGTATCAACGACGTCAAGACCGATATTCTTGAGCGTGATTACTCGGTCCGCGGGCGAACGACAATTTTGTCTCGACGTTTTGCTTTTATTTTGTGCATAGAAAAGTCTATTAATAAAGAGCCCGGTACAACAAGAGTTGTCGTGAAACAGCTTGGAAAGTTCCTCGGACGGGAGATAGTGACTCGCGTCGGCTGCTAATGAAGCGAAGCGCTCCAAGTTTTGTCGACGTGGGTACTCGTCGGCAGGTCGCGTCTCGCATAGTTAAAAGTTTGAAAGACGCATACGTACGGCATGGAGAATTCCGTCCGATAGTCATCCGCGCCCCATCGCTTCACCTTGAGCGCGTTTTCCCGCACTTGTCTGTCAATAACTAGGCTTTCTGCCTGTCTCTCTCGCTCTCTTTTTCAGTCTGACAGTGACAGCCTCTGCTTTGTCGTCACTACGACATAGTACAACACTCGACGACGACGTTCGACGTCGCGTCGTCGGCGTGGTCGGCGAGCGAAGAATGCAAAAGCAGAGCCGAGTGACCGACGACGATGCGTTTTTATTAATTGAGCGAACGAAACGCCTGCCATTGTCCCGTGGCTGCGCGCCAGTTCGCGCATGGTGTAAACAAAATCATCGAGTCCTTCGCCGACTCGGGAAACTAGGTCGCCGTCTATCTCTCGTCGTTGCACCCTCCGTCCGTCACCCACCCCACCGAAATCGACGCTCACAGCGTCGTGGGGAAGGTCAGCCGGAAAGCTCGCTTGTTGTTCCACTGTGGTTGCAGACGAAAAGTCTGGCGCCGAAGCGACGGCGAGCTCGACGACGACGACGACGACGATGACGACGACTACGTGGGGATGTATCCCGTCCAAGGATTCCAGCTAGCCTCAGTACTCGTTCTCCTCTTACGCGCTGTGCACCGTCACTCCTACCTACCCACCTGACTCTCTTACTCGCATCTGAGAGACGCGCGAGACGCGTCCTCGAGTCTTATCCCCCGCGCGAGTAGTTCCCATTTCGCGAAATTCAGACGCGCGCAACGGATCTCGTTATCCAAGCGAGCTGCCGGTTCGGCAGCGTTCGCTTGCGTAATCCGCATTTTTATTTATTCGACTCGCGCGAGGATCGCGTCGACTCGAATACGCGCGACCTTTCTTTCGGCCATTATTACGCAATGTATGGATCGATGGAACGAGACGCGTGCAAGAGGATTTCGCGCGCAGTTTTCGGGATTCCTCGACGAATTTAGGGCGAACGAATCGTAGATATCGTAGATAGTGATTTGCTCGAGACGGACGTCGCTTGCGAGATAAACGAGCGACATCAAACACACACACGCACACGCGCCGTTTAGTTTTAGCGACCCTAAAGGAACTGACTCGTAGGAAGGGAGGGGGGCGGGCTCTGAATGTTACGAAAAGGAATGCGGTAGTTTTCCGCTTTATATATCGCTCGAGGCGACACATCCGCGGGAAACGTACGACGTTCGACGGTCTCTGCGACGATAAAAGTTTCGTCGCTTGACAAAGGGCCGAGATCGAAACAGACCCTTTTCACCGGAGTACTTTGACGCTTCGCGGTAGCGTTCTGTCAACTGCGGGGATATCGACCGAGGGAGCTCCTCGGGATGTTGAAGTTCCGAGCATCCGGCCAGCGGAAGTGCGGCGGCACGGTGAGAATCTTAAGTGTCTGCGACTGAAATCTCAGTGAGGGTGACATGTCAAAAGGAAAGTTGTTTCTTCCCCGCGGATTTGTACCCTGCAGAAGGTTGACGCGACGTCGCCTTCTCGTCTACGCATTTTTTGGTCTTTTTATTAAAAATACATGGAGAGAGAGAGAGAGAGAGAGAGAGAGAGAGGGAGAGAGAGAGAGAGAGAAAGAGAGAGAGAGAGATCTCTTCTCTCTCTCTCTCTCTCTCTCTTTCTCTCTCTCTCTCTCTTTCTCTCTCTCTCTCTCTCTCTCTCCCACGCGCTCTCCTTGAGCACGCCGCTCTCACCTCGGGGATCGTTGCGCACAGAGCCGGCTTGGAATATCGATTTCAGAATAGTTTGAGAGAGGCTCTTCGAGCCTCAGATAGCCGCGTAAATATCTCGCCGCGGAAATTTCACGGCGCTCGTCGATTTGCAAAATATCGTTCGCAGCGAGCAAGCGTTGGCCGCGCGCGTCTCGTCGCGTTCGGATCTAAACTGTATGCGGTAACTTGCTTCGCCTGTGCAGTCGCTTTCGGACAGCGTCGCGTGCCGGCGTCTGGGAAGTTGCCTGCCTCCGGGCGCACCGGGGACCACAGTGGTTCTCAGTCGGTTTTTCTCTCACAAAACTCGCTCGCCGCATCAACTAAATCGTCGGTGCACCGTGTCGGCCCTGAGCGTCAAAGCTTGATCGCAGTTTCCAATCTCTGAACTTGTAAACAATTTCATCAAAGTTTATTGTTACTATATAACATTATATAATACACACATGTTATATATATATATATATATATATATATATATATTATATATAACATATTTATTATATATAACAGTGTTTTATTTATTATTATTATGTATCATAATTTTCATCACGACCTTAACACTGATCATTGATAATTTTTCGCTAGAATTGTAGACTAGAATTTCTCGATGACGAGCATATCGTCTCTGTTACAGGTAAACCCGGGAAGCAAAGCCGCTCAACAGGGGGTGAGGGAGGGCGATCTGATCAGTAGCATCAACGGGAGGAGCACTCGGGAATTGACCAACAGTGAGGCCCACGCTTTGCTACGTAACTCCGGGGAACAGCTGAAGCTTGGTCTCAATCAGTAAGTGATCGGCGTTAATGCCCTCGCGCGCTGGCCCGAGGTAGCGAAGTGGAGCTAAGCGCGCTCGATATATTTCACTGGATCCGCTTAATCTTAGACGTCTGCTTTCTGTCGCAGAGAAAACACCGGCTCGCCCAAGAGGAGGATCTATAAGAGCAGCCTGCAGGAGAACACCACCACCGAAATCCATAACAGTGAGTACTCGACCGACCGACCTGTAGTTTGCCGATTCGACAGCGAATCCATCACCTTTTTCGTCCTTTCTGTGTCGCAGAGATCACGACGAGGACCACGACCACCCGCACACGCACGGAAACGGACAAGAACGTTGCCAGTAAGTTCTTCGCCGGCATGTCGTAAGCATGTTTCTCAACTGTTGCATTATCGATAGAGATGTGCGAACTATTCGAATTCGAATCGAATCGAATCGAATCTAACGTAATTCGATTCGATTCGAATCCGAATCTCTGTGATTCGAATCCGAATAATATGAATAGGAATTAAATATATTATCGTCTGCGTGCATCAGATACAAAAAACGGACCATTTGGGCCTGTATGTTTGAACCCTTAACTTGTAATTAACTTAACTTATAATTAATAACTTAATTATAAATTATTTTAAATATTTAAATATATATTTTACTTTAAGATGATATTATAATATTAATATTCCCTTTCATATTAAAATCTTTCATCATTATTTGCATGTTTAATAGTCATGTTAAATTTTTTAATGATTCGATTCGATTTCATTCGATTCGATTCAAATTCGAGTGAAATTTCATAGTTTCGATTCAATTCGATTCGATTCAACATAAAAATTCTTGATTCGCACATCTCTAATTATCGAACGACTAATCGCGCCGATTCGCGGCGAGATTGAGCCGCAGCGACTAAGAAAGACTGAGAGAGAGAGAGAGAGAGAGAGAGAGGAGAGCGTTCGCACAAAACGGTGCAAAACGATCGACAAGGGACGGCCGCTCGATACAAATTCACATCGATAATTAATAATCAGCGGCCCGCCGCGGCGGAAACTTCCGGAGGCCGCGTAATGCATCGAGTGGTCCGTGATTAATTAAGTGCTGCGTGGAATTTATGAACACTTCCCAATTAATCGCTCGCCCGTTTGAGCAGCGAACTCGCCGCGCTCGATATCGATTCCCGATTAATCTCGCGCGGTATCAAACAGAGTCGGGCTTACGGAGGCCGCCGTTATTTTCCAATTAATTTTTAATGCGCTCAACCCGGCGTACCTTAACGGCCGGAAGATCATTTCACCCGGGAACAAGCGCAATTGTCATTTACGCACGGGTGCGGTCGAGTCGCGGCCGACTCGATCGACCGCTCTCCTGAAATGATCGCGCGTTTTCAGCGATTTTCGCGAACTCGCGACTTACGTCCGACTCGATTACTTTCTTCCCGTGCGCTGGCGTTATTATCGGAGGACCCTGAAATTATCGTACGCATGACTGCCGCTTCGGTTGCGCACAATAATCCTGCCAGTTAGCCGGCCGCACAATGCGCGTAGTTTAATTATCTCCGATGATCTCGATGCGACGGACAATGGCGAGCCGTTCCCCTACATGGCGCACGGCCGCGGGGGGAGGGGGGGGGGGCGTCGGCGTCCAGAAGTTTGACGTTTCGCTATTATTGCGAATTAATCGGGGATCCTTCAGCTCGTGCATCCGTCGTCGGTGAACGATCAATCAGCGATTCGTCGAGGACGAGCAACGGAAGAGCACGCGGCCAAAGTCTTGCTCTCGCTCGCGGTTAAGCGGAAACAAGTGAACAGAAAATCCCTCGCTCGCGCGATCGAGGCCGCCAAATGGAAGGGGCGGCTCTTCCGGGCGAAAGTAGACGGGAAAAGGATCAGTTCACGGGAACATTCACCACTCGAGAATCGTTCGCGTGTCGTTCGATCGCCTCTCCGCCGAATTCTCGGCATCAGCCGTCTTGTTTTACAGCAATCCGCGAGTTTAACGCCAACAACGACGAGCGGTCGTAATGAGCGCGACGCATGACTCGCGTGGGCTATAAATACACCCGGATCATCCCGGCGCGGTCGTCATTACTGGCTCCTCTTTTCTCCAAATTGCCCGCTCGCCCGTCGCGCTACAGTGCACATTCAGACGAGGCATACCCACGCTTCGCGTCGCCTCTCTCGCGTGCGCGCGTGTGCGTGACTTTACGTACACGCGACACACCTGTCCTGGTCCGCGTGTACGCTCTCACGTACACAGGATACACCTGCCACCACAGAGAAACGCGCAATTCCACGCTAACTCTGGCGCACCCTCGGCTCTCCAGGAAGGCCCTACGTTGCGACGCGGGCGACCCTCTTCTTCTCTCGTCTCTTGTGCTTCTTCCTTTTCGAGGCCGCCTGCGACCCACCTTCCCGTTCAGTATCGGGGAACACCTTGTCGAGCGCGCCGCGCGCCGAGTAATCGAATTTCGAAGCGCGTCGCGTCGTTCCTTCGTTTTCTCGTCCGTTCGTTGCTTCGGAGTGCGATCGATCGGGGCGGAACGACCGGGCCGGCGGAAACGCAAGGAGATCTCGCCTCGGCGAGGTCGGTCACGTAGCCGGAAGGCAAGTGACAAGAGGAAGAGTGCACATTGTCGTATGATTTCGCGCGACGCTGTTTTTTCTCCTTTGCAAGACGCGTGCCGGCCGGCGGCGACGGGCGGCGGATCGTTGACATTTACATGACGGAGCTGTGTCGTCGCTGTTGAGTTCGCTTCTTTTTCCCAATGAGGTTGCAACAGCGTTGTCGGCTGTGAGTCGCGCAAACGGAACTGTTCTCGCGGGAAAATTCCGCCCCGGCTATTTCGGTCGACACGATGCTCGAGCGATCGAGCGCGATTGTTCGGGCCAATGTGAACGCCCAACGTCAATGAGTGTTCAATCAGGAAACGCGCACCACAGCGGGGATACCTGGCGTGAATGACGTGAATGACGCGATCGTCAACAATACGCGCATTATCCGGCGGCACAATAGTCGCGAATCGTCGCTTAATGAATCCGCGGTTGCGTAATGACGAGGGAAAAGAGCGCACCGCTGAATTTGTCGAGATAAATAAATGGACGCGCAGGACGAAAGTGAGCCCGACGAAGCCGCGTAAATGACGACTAATGAGGCTCGCGGATGATGGGGCGAGAGAGAGAGAGAGAGAGAGAGAGAGAGAGAGAGAGAGAGAGAGAGAGAGAGGCGAGACGAGAGACGTAGCGCGAGTCGCAACCGACGATAAATCGTGAGAATTAAGCAGAGTTGAAATTCGGCGAATCGCTGAGCGCGAAGATGAAGCTGCTCGACTGCACCCGGTGCCTAATGAGGCTGCATCGGCGGCGCGAGTCGTCGCAGCGGCGACGCAGCTGCGAAACGACGGATCCGCTGGTGATGACGAAGCGACCGGCCGGTCGTCGTCAGCGTGCACCTCGTCGTCGCGGTCGCGGCGATTCCGCGCGCGGAGTCGCCCCGACGCGCCCCAAGGCTCGACGACTCCTCAGCGTGATGCGTAGATTCAGCGCATCGTGGAAGCGGGGACGTGGAGTCGCGAAGAGCAAGCCGGCGACACGGCCGAAGAAGCCGTGGCCGAAGAAGCTGCTCGTCAAGATCGAGCGGGACAGTTCGAGACGCGTGGGAATGCCCAGGTCGTTTCGTAGATCCTACGTAAAGAGGAGGGGAGTCGTGAGCGTGGAAACAACGTCAACGGGAGGCAACGACAGCGGACGACAGGAATACGACGCTGCCGGAAGAAGGGCCGGGGAGCTCGAGCGTGAATACTACGAGCACCTGGAGGCGCTCAAGTTCCTCATCGACCCGCCGCCGTGTTTCCGCAACACAGAGAGCAGGCAGAACTTGGAGAACAAGTTGAATAGTTTGGACTTGAGGCGAATCAACACCGTGGCGATCCCGGAGGGACCTGTGGCGAATGGACACCGGGCCCTCGGCGGCGGCTTCCGCTCGAGCTGGAGGCCGATCCGTGAAAATGGCGGTTCATGCGCGAAGACTCTGGGTCGCATCGTCGAGGAGCGCCTGAGGATCGAGCGGACGATGCTCGACCTGTTGGTGAGGGCGCCGATCTTGAAGAGCAGCCACGGCGAGCAGGTGTCGTTCGCGCGGGAGAATAAGACGGTTCGCTTCAAGGACGAGGTGGAGCGATTGGGAACAGTTGTCGGGCGATGGGAAGAATCCAGGTCGGAGGGTGAAGGTTGCGAGGTCCCCTCGGGGGTGGGGTCGAATAATCGCGCAAAGGTGGAGAACACGAAGAGGAAGGTGGAGTCGCACGCTCGGCGAAACGAGCTACTGCACGAGAGTTCGGAAACGTTTGATGTCGAAACAAGAAACGGTAGGTAGCGACAAAATTTCATTAGGCGAACTGTGTGTACTTAATGGCGGATAAAGAGGTCGCGGGAGGGGGCAAAAGCCGCCCGACGAGGGAAGCACAAGCTCCCCGTGAATATTCATAAAGTGCTCGTAAAATTGTATGAACAAGCGCGAGCGTTATTTCAATAATGTAATCAGCACCGAAGACTTAGATCGCGGAACTCGATAAGCAAACGCATAATTTAATTAACTGGAGTTTAACTGGAGCGCCGAACTTTGCGCGAGGTCTCAGCATCGCGGGCTCCCCAAAGTGGAGCGAGGCTCCGGACGCGCCAAGACGAAGCGCTGATGATGCGAAGAAGTCGATGCGTTGTCGAAGAGATAACTGGACCGCTGCGACGCGTCTCGCCGTCACCCACTGAGAAGTCGCCGTCTGAGAAGTCCCACATCGCGAAACTTTCACACGTAAACTTCCAGATACCTCGAGCGAAGTTTCTCGCATCGATACAGCTCACGTCGACGTCGGGTCGGGCAACGCGCTCTTCTTGCCGTCGCAACTCGATCGCGTTTAATCGCGGGCCATTCTTGCGGCAGAGCGATTAGTAATGCGTCATTACGCTCGCTTTTCGAGGGTCATCTGATTCTTTAAATAGAGGATGTGCAACAACTATAAAGACAGCCCCACGTCGACGTGGTCGGCGAACAAAAGTCCGAGCTCGATAATGTACCTTGAGTTTTTTATCGTGATCTCAGTCGGCTGGGGGGGGGGGGGGAGAGGGCTAAATTTGCCGTATTGTTTCTCCGTATTGTTTTCTACATTTTTTCTTAGACGCTAAAGTATTGCGCAATTTTTCCATATACCCACACTTATATAAGACCGTAACGTCGCACCGGCCAGTTTCCGGCGTTGTGCCGAGCGACGCATCTCTCCGACGAGGCTGCATCGACGAAACTATAATTACCATAACAGTTCTTCACGACAGGCTTTTGTGCCTGACATTTATGCAACGATATTACGGCCAATGAAACGGCTCTCGATTTGCGTCGCGAAGTGCCGCAGCCTCGATCGAACAATGCGCCACCGGAAATAGCAATCCCCGTTTGTCGAGCGGGTTTGTTCGAACGGAAATTGTTCCTTTATCGCAGCGCGAGCAAGCTACGCAGCAGATATCTAAAGCAACCGTCCGTGTATATGGAAAGTGTCGTGAAAAAAGAGAGATTAAGCGCGTTAAACGCACAATTTGCAGCCGCGGCGGCGAGCCGAAAGTTGACTTTAGCGCAGCTCGCGCGCCCTCGCCGTCTTCACTATTCCCTTTAGAATTGTATATCGGCCACGTTGAAGTTTACACGAACATGGGCGTTGAATAAACATTCCACACTGCGTATTCCACAGTCCGTCGTGTCAACGTATCGACAGCACGATTAACAGCGCGGCGCGAATTTCAGAGATGAAGTGAAAACGCCTCGTCGCGGAAGAAGAGAAAATGGACGAACGAATGAATCGAGGCGAAAAATCCCGAATCTCGCTTCCACGTGACGTGAAAGTCACGCGTTAACCTTCGAGTGTGCTGCTTGCGCGCTTCCAAAGAGTATCCTTAAGTATCAGTAAACCGTCCTCCTTCTCCTTCTCCATAGCCATTGAATAACCCTCATCGCGTGTGACGTTTTCCCGTGAGGAAAATCGCGCAATATGTTGCAACATTAATGTAACACGGTACACGAATGTCTCAGCAGCACCTCCAGTATCAATTTTAAGGTATCGCACGCCCGAGAGAGGTCCTGCAATAAACGCCAGCAATAAACGCAGAAAACCGACGGGGCGCGCAACGCCCCGCGGTTTTGATACGCAACGGAGTTGCGCGCAAAGGGCGCGGGTCTTAGATAGCAGTCCCGTCGAATCCGCGCGGAGCCTGACGCGCCGCCGATCGATTACGCAACACGGACAGAGCCGCCGGGCAATAAAATATGTCACGCTGACCGATTGCGCAAGCGACGAGCGCTCGGAGCGGATCGAAGGAAATCCTTCGCGAGGGTTTGGCCGTGCTCGCTCCCTCGCTCGCTCGGCTGCCTCGGACGAGAAGGACGCAGGACGCAGGGCGCAGCCTGCGAAGGACGAAGATGGAAGACGCGGACCGCGGAAACGTGGGCTTGGCACCTTCGGGGCATGACGGGGCGCACCCATCGCGCGTATTAACACGCCCGTGGCGAATAACGCGAGCCCGTCTCGCCCGTCGGCTGAAAGTCGCTCGCATCGTTTCCTCTGGTTCGCCGCCGGCGAAACTCGCTGTGCGGCTTTCTCGAAGAAATAAGCGCGTTTTTTATTTCGCTCTTTATTCCTCCCCTTTTTCGTACGCAAGCTGCGAGATTTATACTCCGGCTGACACGCTGCTGCAGCCGGCAAGCGGTCAAAAAAATGACCGAGTTGCAGTTTACTTGTTTCACATTCTTCTATTCGGAATCTCTGCTTTGTCGGCTTTCGATGACTTCCGGTTTGCGGTGTTACGAGCCGCGGCCGGTTCGTAACTTCTTCGAAAAATTACTCGACTTTATGTGTGACTCGACCTTTGCAAAATCTTTTCCAAAACTTCTCCATTCTTTTTCGATCGTTCCGGTGGAAGCAGATCGTCGCTAATTGCGTGAAGGCCAAAGGAAGTTGGTTTATATTAACGAGAGCTGTTAGGTTCGCGCGATCGGCAGAATCTTTCGCCTGCTTGAAATATCGCGGGATTACGCGAGTGCGCCTCCGCGGCTGGCCAAAAGCCGGCTTTCAATTCCTAGCTTGCGTTTCTATACGCGGTAGTCTAAACCCCGCCGCGGTAATCCCCTTCGATCCAATTACGCAATTACGCAATTGATATATATCTTATCGCCACCGCGGCTCGAGCGTTGCGCAACGGCAAGGTCGCAACGCTCCGCGTTCCCGCTTCTTTTCCTTCCTCTTCCTTTTTTTTTACTTCGCCCACGATCGCCGATTCGTGAGGAACGTGAGTCGCCGGATCGACGTGACGCGCGGCGCGAGTCTCAAGCGTCGTCGAATTAAACAGCGACTCGTCTTTATCGAGCTGCTAAGGCCCCGCTCGCGAGGGGAGGGTCCGGGGCGGGAAATAAAATAAAAATCCGTCACTTCCGGATCCCATGCGGCGCGGACGCGTGTGTCCGTGCGACTACCGTGTGATGCAATGAAAAGTGTGGAAAATAGATGGGTGCGCTCGCGCGACAGTCACTCCGTCGGCATTGTGCACTCGGAAGGAAGTCCAGCTCGGAAGCGGCGCTATTCATGAATTCCGAGGGGATTCCAGAGGGGACCTGTATATATATGTGTGGGGACGCACTTGCCTCTGTGCGTGTTCGCTAATGCGCGTCACACTCGCGTCTCTCTCCTCCGTGTATGTGCTCGCGAATATCCGGACGGGTGCACTCGCGCTTGTCGAAAAGTAGTTCGCGTTCCGCACCGGGCGGACTTTTTCACGAAGCTGTTTCCCCGGGAAACTCGCTCGCATGTATCGTTCGGCATACTCGATCGCGGCTTGGCAAGAATGACGCTGGAATCGGCTCTGCTCGCGATCGCGTAATCGCGCGCACGTATGCGTGCGTGCGCGACACGGATTCACCTGGATTGACGTGGCCGCGCGCACGTGCGGCGAGGAGACGAGAGGACAGGAGAGGAGAGCAGAGGAGAGCAGAGGAGAGGAGAGGAGAGGAGAGTAGGTGCACGAAAACACGTGACTCTGGCACGCACGCGGGTGGGGAAGCGAGCGTGTTTCGCGGGTGGCCGGTCCCCGTTCGTGTGCTCAGTGCATAATCGCGATTCACGAACCCTGCAGGTCGTGCCTCTGATTTGCGGCCGCTTGACGTTTAACATGGGCGTCGTCGGGATTCTCGCCTAAATTTAACGCGCTCCCGTTCGTGCCTCGTACACGCGCGCGAGTCTGCCGCGGAGAGCAAGTTCATCGCGATTTCCGCGCCGGCCGGCCGGCCGACCGACTGATAGCGCGCGCGCGCGCGCGCGCGCGCGTGCGACGAGCAGAAGTTCGCGGGACATTCAGCTTGTCGGCGATTTCTTCCTCGATTCTCGCGTCACTCGCCAGGAAACTGTTCGCGATTCTGACCGCGCGGGGACGGGATGATTCCTCATCAAGACGTCCCCGAGACACAGCGCTCATCGCAACGTTCGACCGTTTCTTTCAGATGACACAAAAGTCGACCAGAGTTACGCCAATCAAAACGGTGCTCTGAAGAGCTGTCCGAGCGAACAACGAAGCGACGTTAAGAAAGGTAAGAGTCCTCGATATCGACAACAGGCGAGCTACGCCTACCTACTTGGAGTGCTGGACTAGACCACGCTTACTTGCATGATCGCTGGAACATTACATATACTACGCGGTTCTTTCTCTCTCTCTCTCTCTCTCTCTCTCTCTCTCTCTCTGTCTTTTATACCTTTCATTTTTTCTTTTCATCAAGCATTATCCTAGGATCGTGCGCGATTGTCTCCGAGACGATCTTCCTAAAAGCCTCTCGAGTCGCGCCGCCAAGGGAAGAAAGCAGAGTAGGTAAAACGGGAAGTGTGTTATATCGAAAGTAGTAGCCGTAATAAAAGTGCCGGCGGTGCGAAAGAGGCGGTTGTCGCGTCGGTTACGCCGGAAGATTTATTTCAACGCGACGCGTAGAATATTCAAACACGCCGAGCAGTGATTCTGGCAAAAGAAAAGAACGTTCTAATTCGTTCCATTTCTAATTCGGTCTTTCGGGAGGAAATTCTAAGAGAGTGCCTGAGATCTCACGTCCCTGCCGAACGCAGTTTTGACGATCCCGTTTGCTTCACGTAGTCAAAACAGCGCGATTCCTCAAACCGTCCGATAGAAGCTCGCGCGAGGGATGACAGCTGCGATTTTTACGCGAAATTTACGCGGCTTCGCGGTGACGTCTCTTGACGCACGCTTTGAAATTCTATCGTTTCTTCTCGCGCGGAGGATGCAGCGAGGATCGTAGACGCGCGTCAAAGGCACATCGGCCGTGCCGAGAAGAATCCCGGAATGCGGAAGGGTGTAGCAAAAATATTAGGAAAAAACGCGCGACCGAGTCTTCGAACGAGCACGGGACGCGCGACGTTTCGCGAAGGGTTAGAGAGGATGCGAGGAGGAGCCGGCGAAAGAGTGATGATGGAGTGCGCGAGGATCTCTCCCTGACAAGTGAACCTCGGGAAACGTCACACGCCGATTTGTTTCCAATTTTTTATAGTTATTTTTTATGTCAAAATATGAAGAAATCTGTTATCATTTTTAGCTTAAATGAGTTTCTTCAATTTTTTCGAAATTTTTGAAGTTTTCGAAGTTTGGCACACAAGTACACTATTTTATACATATTTAAAACAATATCTCTTAAAAATATATATATCTGATTTGTTGAAACTTGCACACACATGCCGCCGATTGTGAATCAGAACCATTTTGTAAACTTCACAATGGCGGATCTAAATACGGCTGACGTTATTGTTGAAAAAGTGTTCAGTTTTACGCTACATTCGACGTTGGGTAATCTTTCGGCTCACTATCCAGCAAACAAGCCAATTTTAACGTCAAAATCTGGTAAAAAATGAACAAGAAATGAACAAAAATGAAGAAAAATGAAAAAAAAAAATTTTGCAGAGGAGTAAACTGCAATTAAGAAAGGGGAATCGAGTCCACATTTGCTAATAATTCAACAAATCAGAGATATATATATATATATTTTTTTTTAAATATTGTTTTAAATATGTATAAACTTCAAAAATTTCGAAAAAGTTGAAAAGATTAATTCAAGCTTAAAATGATAACAGATTTCTTCATATTTTGACACAATAAAAATAACTATAAAAAATTGGAAACAAATCGACGTCTGACGTTTCCCGAGGTTTACTTGGGAGTATTCGCGACACATCGTAGGACGTCGCGACCCGTCAGCTGGCTACGCGACCGACGCGGAGGACGCCGGGATGCCGCAGGCAAACGCGCGTAACCGCGGCCGCGGCCGCGGCCGCAGGTACCGGAATCGCCGGCGAGCGCAGCCACCGGTCGCGGAACCGCCGCGGAACGACGAAGCGAATGAGAAGCAGCAGCCGGAAGACGTTCCGGACGCAGCGAGGATCGAGCGCGACCACGACGAGGAAGACTCGAAGACGAGCGACGATTCCGCGCCGCCGGCGAGCGAGTCGCAGAGTCGCGAGTATCGCTTCCGGCCGGACGACAGGCGCCCGATCGAGAAGATCGAGCTGCACTCGTGCCGTCCGAGGATAGTCGAGATCACGACCGTGAGCAGCTTGCCCCTCGAGGCGACGATCGGCCACATCGCCGGAGTGGGCATTCTGGAAACGGGAATCGCCGACAAGGCTACGGCCGACTCGACGGTAGTGACGATATCGGAGCCAGTGGAAGCGATACGGCCGTTTGACGAACGCGCGAGAGCGAAGCGCCGATCGCAAGAAGCGGCCGATGGCCAAGACGATGACGAGTGGACGAATCGACTGGAGATTCGGGAGGTCAGCGACAGCGACGCGAGCGAGATCGACTGCGAGCGACCGACGATCGTCGAGGTCGAGTCCGACGTCGACGCCGAGAGGGAGTCGCATGAACCTCGGGATCTCGCCGAGCAGCGCGAGGCCCCGAAGCCGAGGAGCCAGGTGGGCCAGCAGCAAGTCTCGGCGCAGAAGAAACTGTCGATCAAGACGGAAACTGAATCGCCAACCTTGATGTGGGACACGGTGATGCCGAGAGAGGTCGAGAGGAAACTGCGGAATTTCATCGAAGGCCTCCAACTGCCGAGCTTCTCCGAGGAGGTTGCCGAGGAGGACGGCAAGACTCCGGAGAAGCTGCCCCGCGGGGAGGTTCCGAGCTTCTCCTCGGAGAGGGTGGCTGCCACGTCGCGCCGCAAGACGAGGAAACGCGCCGTCTCGGAGTCTCATTTCGCCAACAGCCTGTTGGATATCATACAGGAAGAAGGCGAGAGGCTGTCGGAGGACGAGGCGCAGCACATCAGGGACTTCATCAACGAGGAGATCAGCAAGTATCGGCGCGAAGACAAGCGCTCCGCCGACGAGAGGACGACGAACGGGAACGTCGCGGAGAGAGCGGACGCTCCCGAGAGGGCTGAGGCGAGCCGCGAGAAGCGCGTCTGCAGCATCACGATCAACATCGACACGTCGCGATGCGACAGCTGCGAGTCGAGCGCGGACACTGCAGCGGCTGCGACGAACGAACAGGATAACGCGTGGACCGGTGGACCCGACGGATCCACGGAAGTCACGACGAACGACGAGCGAACTGACCCGGGGGCTGAGAATCCTATCGATGGACAGCTCGATGTTCCGGCGGACGACGTGCTGGTGAGCGACGTTGACGGGGACGAGTTACCGAGTGCCGAGCAGAGAGACATCGATGGCAACGCAGACGCGGACGCAGACAATATCTCGGCGGCGGGAAGCAGCAACGTGAATGACACGAAGCGGACGGGGGCCAGCGAATCGCTCGTCAAAGTTGAAGCGGCGAGAGGATCAGAGGTGCGCGATGTCCCTCGACAGGAGGATCCCAGCGAAACTCACGCGACCGGCCACGATCGCAGCGCACTGCGAGTGGCCGAGGAGGAGGTTACTGTTCCGTCTTCCGGTCCGCGGTATACACCCTCGCAGAACGGAGCGACCTCGCTGCGCGAGAAGCGACCGCCGCTTCCCCCGAAGAGATCTTGCAGCTTCAGCCATGAGCCTCAGAGGCCCCCGACGCCACCTGCGGTAGACTACGTCTCGAACGGTGCGGACATCTGGATCCGCAGACCGGCGGATTCGCTCGCGCGCAAGAGCTCGCAAGTTCGCAAGCTCGAAGGGGCGGACGAGCCGGCGCGGGCGCCGCGACGACGACCGGAGCTTCGGAGAGGTGGCAGCTGCCCGGAGAGGACCGACCGGACGAATCGCGAGGATGAAAACGGACCTTCGAGTACCGCTCGTCTCGCCGAGACTCGCAATGACGCGAAGCAGCTCGAGGAGCGAGCGGACACCGGCAGCTCAACGACGAACGGGAGCGTTGAGGTTTTCTGCGAAGGCGGTCCGTCGATCGCGTCAGCGGATATTCGCGACGGTGATCCGACCAAGTGCGAACGCGACGTCGGGACGCTCGGCGTCGCGCTGGCAAGCGCGACCAGCACGGAAATAACGCGTCGCGAGGAAGGGAAGCCCGCGTCGATCGTCGCAGCGACGGCATATGAGCGAAACGCTTCATCGAGCCGGCAGGAGGGCGAGACCGAGGTGTGCGGCTGTCCTTCGGCAAAGGACGGTTCTGACGAAGGGACTTTGAAGACGAACAAGAACAAGGTCAGCATAATGGCTGGGCGACCGAAGGGCGATAAGCCAGACGCCAGTCGGGCTTCCTCGATGGGAAGCAAGCCGACAGCGATGCTCCCGGGTCGGACGGACGCAAAGAGCCAGCGGGAGACTGGAGGAGGGGAGGAAATCGACGAGAAATCGACGTACCATCGCGAGCGGACGCTGAAGCGCGAGACGTCGGAGACGAGGATAATCGAACGACGCGAGGAGAGCTCGAGTGTTGAGCAGCGCGATGGTGCCCAAGGTAATTCCAAATATTCGACGTGGGAGTCGAGGCGCGAGGAGAGGCGCGAGGAGAAGTACGAGGAGAAGCACGAAGAAACGCGCGGTTCCTCCGTCCGGCTGAGCGACGCGAGGAATTCGCCCGACGGTGAAGCGAGCTTCCAGAGGACGGCCGAAGCAGCGCGCGCGGATCCCTCGCCAGAGTCTGAGGAGCCGGCGGACCTTCAAGCGCACGACTCGTCCAGTAGCACCGCGTCCATCAGCACCGTCAAGCATCGGCCGATGGAAGCCTCGCTGACCGACATCAGCGCGGTCATCCGGGAGACGAAGGATAACTCTGACTCTCAGGAAGAGCCGGACGAACCATCGAAGCGGAAACTGACCTTGCCGGGGAACAACAACAAAGGCCTCGCCGGCGACGCGTCGGGCGACAGCTCAGAGTCGCCACAGCCGGTTCCTTACTCGCCTGTGGAGGATCTCTGCTACATGCCGTTGGACACCGACGACGAGGACGTTTCCGCGGGAGCGCAAGGGGAAGGGTCCAAGGACGCGTCATCGGCTGCCACGAGCGCGCAACCGTCCCCCTTGAGGGAGCTCTGCGTGCAGAAGATCCTGTCGATGCCGTTCGGGCCGCAGGTGATCAGCGAGATCACGACGCCGCGACTCAACATCTTCGAGAGTCTGCGGACTCTGCAGAGGTTTGTGAGTAACGTGCCGAGCGCTCGTCGCGATAACGCCCGATTAAAACCGCATGGAGTGATGACTGCCCGACGGCCGCGCGATGCGGCCGGACTAACGAAAGCAGCGAGCGCGAGCGAGCCGCCGCCTAACGACCTTGAACACGCTGTTTCAGAGCGGGCTAGGTTGTCGCCAGAGAGCGTTAATATTGAGACTCGTTTGTCAGAGTCCGAGGCGGCGGAGATGGAGCGCCACTGGAGGGGTCTCTCCACGTCGGAGGATCCCAGGCTGCTGGTCTGCCTGTCGCCGTCGCAGCAGGCCGCGTCCGTGCGCACGAGCGCCGACACGCTGCTGGACCTCCATCGGAAGTTCCTGAATCGGTACAGCTACCGCGAGGAACAGCCGCAGCGCGTTCCTTTGCCGCAGTACCGAGTGCAGGTCCGCCCGATGGCGGACAAGCAGACGCAGGACGACGGTGCGCTCCCGACGAGGGCGCCCAAGCCGCCCGCGCGCGCCCTTCTTCATCGCGACGCCTTCGGCAGACCGACGAGCAACAGGCTGCTGGAGATCATCATGGAGCACTCTCCCGGCGACGACGCGAGCGTTCCACCAAACGGCACGTTCGCGCCTCGCCATCAGTCGAAGATAACGGACGACCCGTCTAAGGGCTCCTCGGACCGCTTGGCCACTTTCGGGGGTCGAGAGCGCCTCAAGGCCGCTCGCCCCGCCGACTGCTCGAATCTAGCCAGATGCGATCGCCGAAGCGCCGCCGCGAACGAGTTATTCCTGGCGGCGGCGAGGGGCGAGGGTGAACGCGACGATAAGCCGGGTCACATGGTCCGAGATCAGTCTAGGATTGCGACACGGTGCACCGTCGGCCATCGGCCGGCGGCCGATGCCGTGACAGCGGCTCGGGATTCCCCGAGCGGAGGCTCGTTCGCGAGGAGCTCGATCGCGCCGAACAGCGCCCTCGTCGACCGGTCGTTGCCGAACGGCGCGATGGACACCGCCGGCAAGAGGACACCGCCTTGGCGAGCGGCCGAACCCGGCAGGCACGTGAACCCGGCGTTGATCGACGACAAGTTGGAGGTGCCGCCGTTGCCGAAGCGTACGGTCACCGTGGACAGGTCGTGCATCGACACCACCAGCATCTTCGACCAGAACCCGCCGGGGAGCCGCTTGGGGCCGCGGAAGGCCCAAGGCGCCACGGAAAAGCTCCAGCACGTGGCAGCCGCGGAGATCATGGAGCAGCTGAAGAAGCTGCAGGCCGAGACGTCGCAGCGACGGCTGGACGGCGAGCGGAGGGGCTCCCTGCCGCAGGAGTACCTTGCGCAGCAGCTCAAGTACATCGAGCTGTTGGAGGAGCGGCTGAAGAACGTCATATTGAGGGAGGAGGAACAGGAGAGGAAGACCTCCGAGGATAAGCTGCAGACACACGCTCGCCAAACGCGGCAACGCGATGAGGCGGCGAGGAGATTGTTCTTCATGGACATCCCCGAGGAAGCCCCGAGGAAAAGCGCCTCTGTGACCTTCGCGCGCGAACGCGAGATCCCGATCGAGCTGTCCGACGGCACGACGAACGGCAAGTGTGTGAGAAATGAGGGAGATGAGCGTCGACGCGCAGCCGACGAGAAGCATATCACCTTCGAGACAGCTCGCCGAGAGAGGGACCAGCCGGAGGTCCAGGAGGAGAGCTGGCGAGAGAGGTCGCGGAACGTGGAGAATGATCGCACGGAGACGGTGGACAAAGCGGGTAGCCGGCAGTTCCGCAGGAAGATGTACCACGAGAACGGCGTGCACGAGGAGGAGTCCTCGGAGAGTATCCAGCGGAAGGAGTGTCGCGTGGTCATCGGGAGGGGAAGCGTTGCGTCCAGATCTCGCGGGGACAAGGTCGGCGAGAGTGACGCGGAGACCTTGGCGACGAAGACGCCGCGGAAGAACTCCCCCGCCAGCGCGGCTGGCGAAAACGCGACGCGCTCGAGCTCTCGCAAGAACGTCGAGGTGACGAGACCGTCGACCCCGTTGGTGACCAACGGGGAGGCGTTCCGCCAGCGGATGTACGACGAATATGTGCACAAGGTGCTGGAGCGGCAGGAACGGAAGAACCACAAGGTCGTGAAGATCAGCTCTCACGAGGACATTCGCAAAGTGGACGGCAAGTCGAGCGGCATGAGCGCCATGGCGAAGGAATTTATCGAGAAGGCGCGCAGCCGGCTCAGCAAGTTCGGGATCAACCTCGACGAGAGCGGGACGGAACGTGAAGAAGATGAGGGGGAGGAGGAAGAGCGGCAAGAGGACGGCGTGGTGATCAGAGCCAAATGTCTGATCGATGGCAAGGAGCTCGAGGATGCTCGGAAGCTGCCGAAACACCTGCGGGAGTTTCTGAAGATTTCCACGATGAGCGACGGAGGAGGCGACGGCGAGGCCGGTGAGTTACGGCGAGTGGCCGATGGATTTGCTGTGTTGCTCGTCGTGTTGCGAGATTGATGCTGTTGGCGGCTGCTGCTCGAGATGACTGCCCGCCCGAGGATATCCCGAACAACGAGGCGACGGCCTTGTAACAACCACTAACGTAGCGCTCGCGCCATCCTCTGCGACGCGTCCGCATAAGTGCCTGGTGTTTGTCGTCACTAACGGTGTTGATGGTATTATGCTAATTGTCCACCCACCCAGCCGGCGTCCACGACGGGCTGCAAGAGAGGCTGCGAAGCGGACGGGCACGAAGAAGAGATCGCCACTTTTCCATTCACCCTCGCAAAACCCCCTTCGACTATTCCTCGCGTTCCTCGCGAGCGATCGACCTTTGCGTTCGGACGAGAGATCGACGCGAGGCGAGTATCGCGGACGGTAATTCCTGCGGCAAGCTGACCGCTTGTTAGCTCGACGGGATCGTGATTGAAATAGTTGAGATTTTCCGGCAGATCGAGCATTCTCGTGTTCGACGCCCTCGCTGGATCTCGCCTCAGCCGTCGTAAACAAACTTTCTTAATGACAACGACACGCGGCAACGTCGAAACGGAAGTCTCATTAGTGTCTTGAGTACGTTTTCCAGACAACTCTCCGGGGTTGAAATTAGTTCCCGGTGATAAAGAGAGGGAGGGAGGAAGAGAGAGAGAGAGAGAGAGAGAGAGAGAGAGAGAGAGAGAGAGAGGAGGGAGAGAGCAACGCGAATAGATTCGCGTTAACGGGGACACGTTTCAGACTCATAATCCGATTAATATCTAATACCGCGACGGGGAATGGATGAATCTGTTCCTCGCCGAGCAAATAACAAAATCTCGTCAGCGCGAAGAGCGAGCATATGCGCACGCGTTAACGCGTCGTTAATAAATACCGGCGCATTTACGCGCATTTTTAATTAACGAGCGCTCGTCCACGCGTGGACGAGTTTCGCGTCGCGGAGCGTAAAATGTAGTTTAACATTTCACCACGCGCAAACGCGCCGCGATCGATACGCTCGCGCGATTCGCGTTCGGCATTTGCTCGTCCGCGGCGATGGATGTTCGTAAAATCGCGCGACTGCGATGGAAAATTAATTGCATTAACATCTCAAGTCTCGGCCGCGCTCGCACGCGGACGTGTACGACGAACCGCGGACAGTTTCGCGATAACGAGTATCAACGCGGCGGCGGCGGCAGGAGGGAAAGGAGAGAGAGAGAGAGAGAGAGAGCTCAGAGGCTATCGAATTGCGTCACGTCGTGCGCGTTTTCGGTTCCCCCCTCTCCTCCCCCCTTTTTCGCACTGATTACGGAATACTTAATCTCGCGATACTGCGTCGTCTCTCTCACTACGTGCGTCCTCGTTTTCCCGCGATATTTAAGATCCACCATTCCCCTCGGAGTCAGCACAGCCGCGACGCGCGTGTTTAACAATGAACTCACCGACGAGTTCTCCCTCGACACGGCAGAATTTCTTAACGTCTCTTCTGATAACACACCTTGATCTATTCGTCAGGTGAGATGTGTCGCAACTGTTTGTGCGGATAGGGGGAGGGGAGGAAGGAGAAAGAGAGAGAGAGAGAGAGAGAGAGAGAGAGAGAGAGAGAGAGAGAGAGAGAGAGGACTCACTTCTCTACGTCTCGCAATCTCGTCACGATAGAGTCGTCGCGCCGTGGAGCTGTCGTGTGATTCATTCGAGGATGTAAATCTAAATATAAGCCCACCCGGCGGGAAATAGGCCACCGCGCTCGTAGGACGCGTTCACCATCTCGGCTAGCGCCGGAACCACCGTCTTGTTTTCGGCTATTTCGAATCACCCGCGATACGTGGCCTACTGGCCTGCTCGTCTGCACACAACCTGCGATTTCTTTCTCTCTCTTCCTCTTTTTCGCTCGCGTCGTCGCCCTCGTCGCCTTCGTCGTCTCAAAGATTTTTACCCGCTGAATTGTCTGCATGCTCAGACTGTCGTTGATAACAGAGAGAGAGAGAGAGAGAGAGAGAGAGAGAGAGAGAGAGAGAAGGGGGAGAGGAGAAGAGGAAAGAAAACCCAACGTGATAACCGATGAATCGAGTCGCACTTTTCGTTATTCCGAGAATTACGAGCGTCTTCTATTTCCCAAAGCCTCGAGGAATCTGTATCGACGATGCTCGAAAATTGATGCTCGATCCACGTGTAAATAGTTTTCGTCATATTCTCCGGTCATAGATTCGACAATGGAATCGATCATCTCGCTATTTCATCCGCCTGAAACTCGTTTCTTCGTCGTGCCATATTTCACCGCACGCTCGCTCGCCCCTCCATAGTCCTTTTTTTCGCCATCCGTTCGCTTGTTTGCGAATAATGTATAATACCAGAGCTGTGTGTGCAAATAGTTTGGCCAACTACATCGAGAGCGCGTGTCTCGTCGAACGTTTCGACGATTGGTGACAGAGCGAATCGTGATTTTTTTTGTTTCTTTTCTTTTACGGTACGATTGTACGTGATAATTGAAGTTTGACGCGCAGGTCACGCTCGATGTCACATTGCCGAATGCACATTGTCATTTTGCCAAGCACGCGGGGCGACTCACTCGCCTATTATTATTATTAACTAGCTACGGTTATTTGTATTTCGTAAGTCGCGTGAACACCTTTCAGCGCGGTTACCGAAGCGTCCGTTTATTTTCTATTCTAAGTTTAGCACGAAGTTTAGCCACAGCGCGAGTTCCGTCGGAGCTGTATGCGCGAATTTAGATATCCGCCTTAGCCGACCCTTCGTGCGAGCTCGTGCATCGATCGACAGATTGACCCCTCTTTACGGTCGAGTGAGAGGAAAAGAAATAAAACGAAAGGCAACGGCGAAAATTTGCTATCAGTTCGTTTTCAATTCTAACATCTCTCGTGGCTGTCCCACGCTTACTAACTAACGCCATTACGCGTCGCTCCGACTTAATTTACCGCACCGTCTTTTTTCTCTTTCTTTTTTCTTTTTTTTGGTGGATGTGGGCATGCTTTTTTAATCAAAGGGAGTGGCCGCGATGTCGCTGCAAAGGGAAAAGACAGTGAGAGCGATCTGCTGCACGAGATTGACAAAGCTTTGAGAATCGGCCGGGGATTTCTACTTGAGCAAGGTGCGTTCGCAATTTCGCTTGATCACTGATAGCATGCGTTACAATAGTATTGTAAGATACGCGTGCGCACGCGTGCGTGGATGCTTTGCAATCAAAGATCATATAATACGACTAGCGGGATTCAAGAGAGAGAGAGAGAGAGAGAGAGAGAGAGAGAGAGAGAGAGAGAGAGATAGAGCGATACCAAAAAAATGGAGGGCGATTCATGAAACGTCTTGATTAAATTTTCGAACGTTTGGACAATTGTGGGAATTAACGTTGAACGGATCGTTCGGCCGAGGATGATTTCACTATTTGTCAATCAAATGGTAAAATTGCGTTACCGTTAAATTATTGTTTGGAATACGAGACACTACGTTGTAGATTGCAAACAATAATTTAATAGTAACGTAATGCATCTTTCAATGTAACCCAGTAGTAAGTATCCGGAATACGCAGACGTTTACCGACGATTAATATTAGATCTTAGAGAAGTGCTCGCGGCACTTGAAATATGTGCCAGATGATGCAGGTTTTGATGAAGCGACCCCCCCGATTGTTATGAGCGGCGCACACGTATATACACCCGGCAATGTTGCTTGGCGGTGAACTCGAAATTGTGTATAGAACGACGTCGACGTCGACGTCGGCGTAGTAAGCGTCGAGCAGTGCGGCGTCGAGCCTCGTCGGCGAGTCGTCGCGACGCCTCAGTCGGTTGGCATCTATCGTACTTTGCCGTACCTCGTCGCCGAGAGGCTGTTCCGTCGAAACACCGGAAGTCGACGTGCCGGGCAAAGAGAGAAAAGGAGAAGAAAAAGCAAAGAAAAAAAGAGAGAGTGAGGGAGAGAAAGAAGCGTTAAGCTCGCAAAGTGAGGATGTTGGAGAAAAGTGAGTGATCGCGCGCTGCGCAAGCGTATTGTCGAACGAACTCGGCGACGAAATCGGCAAAATAGGCGTTCGGGGATTCCTTCAACAGGTAGTTCCTCGCGATCGCGAGAACGATCGGTACTCGTGTACCGCGACTACACGTCCGAAGGGAGTCTCGTCCAAACGACGAAACGCCGCGGGTAATCGGCGGGAGCTGAATTTCGCGGCTCGACGGAGAAATCTCAAACAACTCGCACGCGCGGCTGTTTGAGCGGACCAATCGACGTAATGGACGATTCCAATTGAAAACGGCATTTCGTTGTAAAGCTGTGCCAAAACTCCGGCAGAGAGATCGATCGATCGTTTTGCGGCGCGGTCTTCGGTTTCAGCGGTCGTAAATTAAAATCATCTTCCGAAGCACGTCGTCTCAGCGCTGGCATATTTAGTCCGCCGAGGAATAAGGCGATCTCCACACACACTCCGCTTTGTCCCGCCCTCTGCGCCAGTCTCTCGTGGCAGCTCATCAAGATCGCTTTTATATTAATGAATCGCGGCGGCCTCATCGTGAAAGTAACTCCGTGAGAAGCACTCGAGACGCTATCGGACGCGACGTATAATCGTGAGGGACTTTTGCGTCGCGTAATGTTGACGTTGACTGGTGATAAGCATCGCGGTATCTTGCACCGCCACGCGGTTTGGCCTTCGACAAAAATTGTCCCTTTAGAGAGGACAAAGAGAACAAGACACGCGACGATATTACTTCGATGTTACCGGGCGAATTTGCGCGGCGTACTTGAGTGAACATTGCTGTATAAGTACGAGGGAACGTAATAACTCTGGCGCGGCTGACACGCGAGGGACACGCTGTTTGACAAAATGTTGTTTGATGCTTTCAGAGAACGTTATGTTCGCCCCCACATTTAAAGCCTCGTCAGCTAAGCCAGGTAAACCTGCGCGGGAAGTGTGCATGCGTGTGTGTGTATGTGTGCGCGTGAGACTAACAAAGTATTTTTGTCGTCGTCGCGCGCGTTTCACGTGAATGCTTGAAAATACCGTTCAATTATTCAATGATGCATCCGCCTGATGGTATCTCGCTGACATTACCGAATATTCATCAGCTCCGATAAAAATACTTGGCTCGAATTCTCGGGCGTTTCCACTGGACGAAGCGTGCCAATTAATCCAGTCCAGCCTGGAGACTTGCTGACACATTCTCGAGAGTGTCAATGAATAATGAATTATAAGCGGCGCGTCAGAAGAAGCGAAACCACCACCGTGAAACATACGTGTTGTGTTAACAAAGAGTCGTTCCGCGAATGGTGCAATAAAATTAATTAAGTGTCGAGTGTAGGGTGTAGCCGTGGGGCCGCACGCGTGTTCTTAGCGGCGAAATTGTAATTAAATTCTCGCCCCGTGTGCTGAGCCTCGTGTGTGTGTGTGTGTGTGTACACGTGTGTTTGTGTGTGTGTGTGTGTGCATGTGCGGTATGCCGCTGCGCGTGTGCATGCTTCGACGTATACGCGTGTCGCAATCTCGCGCTATAATCTATCCAGGTGAGACAGGTAGGCGTGCATTAATTTCGGCGGTTCGTCGCGCGATGGTGTCGTCCTTGCGGTATCGATGCTCGTCTCTCGCCATGCCGAAGTGGCTAATTAGCGTCGCTCGCAACTGCTAGCAGCAGCGTTACATACACGGAGAGCGTGTCGTCGTCGCCGCGTGATTCGCGAAAAACAATCGCGAGCGGGACGTTTTCGACGTTTCCGGTGCGGCGGCGGGGCGAATGCAGCTGGCGTCGCGCAGCGGTACAACGCCCTTGATTAATCGCGCGCTTGCAATTAGCGAAAATGTAATAGCCGCCGCGACGATATCGTAAATTAATACGTGTAACGTGAATTATCGCGTTTTCAGGCACAGGGAATTACGCGCGTTTAATCGCGAGCGCAGCCACGGAATTGTTTTCTTCGCGACGGCGCAGCGAGGGAGAAAAAGGGAGAGAGGAGGAGAGCGCGAATGTTGAGCGAAATCGGTCGGTTTGCCGCATTTTCCGCGGTTTCCGCGCGCGCGTTTGTGGTCGAGCGGACTCTTGGCCGACATGGTTTTATGCACGCACGTACGTGCGTGCGTGCGCGAATACGCGCGTAACATTCGCTCGTAACGGCTGGTGTCGTGCGCAGAAAGCGGGAGAGCGTCATTCCAGAAAACCGCCGCGCGCGCCATTGTTCCCGGCCAATTGCAATTACGCGTGTCTTAATAGCGCCGCTCGCGCGCGCGCTTCTAATTTTACCCGCGCCCCGAATGAATCGCCTCTGATTTCCCGCGGTTGTCGCGGCTCTGATACCGTCGTCGCAACCGCCGGTCGCCGGAGATCCGTCCGACGCACATATGCGCCCTGACTCATCGCCGCGGCGATGTATCTCTTTATCGAGTCTCTCAATATCATCCCTCCGACTGGCATCGCGACGACGTGCACGCCGGCTCGATAATTTCGCGTCCTCTCACGTGAGATCCTTTTCGTTGATCAATGATCTGTCGGTCCGATTCCCGCGCGAAACGAGACGTCGTTAACGCAGGCGAAAAGCAAAACGCGTCGAAAGCAAAAATAGCGCGTGCCTATATAAATATCTTTCAGCCTGTCCCACAGATTTCACGACAGCGTAATACACAGATTGATACAAATATATACGTTGCGAAAGCCTTACAGACCTCCGTGAGACCCGAAAGGAGCCGTTCCCTCTCTCTCTCTCTCTCTCTCTCTCTCTCTCTCTCTCTCTCTCTCTCTCTCTCTCTCTCTCTCGTGGACCGTACTACTTATAGTCGTCGACGCGATGTAGAATCCGCATGCAGGAAGTAACCGGGAAAAAGATGATCCCTTATGTAATGCGCCCTCGTGCGCCAAGATTAGCATCGCGCCGGTGTACGTTTCACATGTTAGCATTAGCACCGATCCACGCGCTACAGCTGTTTCAGGAGCAAGGATCTTTCGCGAATTGCGAAACCGCTTTCGTCGCTCGCGCGCGCGCAGAGTCGATTCGCTAGAAAGTAACGATTCTCTCGCGATCCTGCGGTCTGGTTCCCGTGCGCGACGAAACGGCGTTACCGAGCCTGACGGGATAACCACGCGCTTGAGTGGCCATTAACAACGGTCGCAGGAGCAATGCGTCCGAGGAGCTGTCGGAAGCCGTTCTCAAGCGCGAATTCTCTCGGTTGCCAGGCGTTTGGTCGCCGGGGCAGACGCTACCTGCGAAGGAGCCGAGTCCCGATCGAAGCAGGGCGCCGCCGAAGGACGAGGCGATCCTGCCGGTCTGGACCCCGGCCAGCGCCGGCGCGAGTCCCATCGCGGAGAGGAAGGAGTTCCGTCCGGTGCCGTTCGAGAGTCCCGTGCTGAGCCGCAGGAAGCAGCCAAAAGAAGAGGTATGTAGGCTAATTACATCAAGATCGGGCGGCTGTTTGCCCGACGTAGAAGGAGGACCAAGGAGGAAGAAGAAGCCTGCTCGGCGACTCGACTCTTCATCCCTAACGCGGGTCTAAGTGTTCTTCGCGAAACCGAAACACGCTTGTCTACGCGCTTGTCACGCAAACTTCTCCGCAGGAGGCGACGCCACCTTGGGAGCACGAGAAAACATCGAAGAAGCAGAGCTCGCAAAGCATCTACGAGAGCAGCGCCTCGCGAATCGTCAATTCGCACTCCGCACCCGCCCAGGGCCTCAACAGCCTCGCGTCCACGCCGCGTTTGCCGCGCGCCCAGAATCCGACCATCACGTTGCTGCAGAAAGCGAGAGGTCAGCGTCTCCCTCCCCGCCTCATTCGTCGAATTGAGCGAAGAGAAATTTCGCGGGAATCATCATCCCCCTCGTAACTCATTTGCCACGATCGTGTTGCAGAAGGACAGTTGCCGAAGGGCGCGGCGTACCTGGAAGAGAACGAGTCCGCCGACAACCGTCCCCCGAGCGACGAGAGACCGTTGATCTCTCCGGGAGAAATACGTAAGTATATAAGCGACGATTGATTCGCAGTAGATGTAAAACTGAGCGCGATACAACATTGTTGCCGCCGTCGTCTTCACGAAGCGCGTGCCAACGAGTCGCGAAGTCACAGAGTCCTTCCTCGGCGCGAAGGTCGTCCGACTTATATATCGTGTTCCACCGAGCGGTGGCTCCTCACGACAACCGTCTTCTTATCACTAACCATACGCTAACTAGCTGTGATAACCATCCCGAGTATAACGTGCGTGTCCGATGTGTACGCGAGTGCTAATGACTTAAATGTGAAATTAAATTTTATCGTGAAATCTGCATCGCTCAGTCTACACGGTGAAGAAGGAGTACGAGAGCGAACCGGAAGTGGAAAATGAGCCGCCCTCGAAGAGGATGGCCGACCTCGGCCCTCGAAAGTTCGAGGGCATCGGCCCGGTCACTAAGGAGGGTATCCCTCTCGTCCTGAGATCGGTAGGTGTATTGATGATCATATTAAGCGAGCTGAAGATACAAACCTGATCGCGATAAGAACTCTCAGCGAGTGCGAGCGCGAGCTCCTCGCCGTTGCGAGAGAATGCTCCACCCTATCGCATTTCAATGTGATCGTTGCGATAGAGACAGAGAGATCACTCGGCGCGCTGCGATGTGCGATATTGTTCTCAGTATTTCTGACAAATTACTTTTAGGAAGTCAAGGAAAGCAATCAGGCGAAATGGTACAAGAGAATGTACGACTCGCTGCATCGCGCCGATCGGAACGGTAAGTTGCCGCGGTCAGTTGCGCGCATTCTTTCGATTCGGCTGAAAAATAAAGCACGTTACTCGCGTCGTTTAATTAAGCTGTGTAAATTTACGAGCTGTTGCGAGCGCGGCACGTACGCACGCGTGATTAAAAGAGCGGGCGTTGTGTACAAATAAACGCGCGGTTGTTGATTTTGCTTTTCTTTCTTTTTTCTTCTTTTCCGGCGATAACGCTTACGGCCGAGTAAGCGAATTAATTAATTGCTGCGTGTAATTGGGCGATTTTGCTTCCAGATGACTACGTAACCATCCGTTACAAACCAAGAAGAGGTGAATATGCACTTTCGCGCATGGTTGTGCCGGGTTGGTCGAGTCGCGCGACGTTGCTACTAATATTATAACGGACGTGGGCGGACTGTGCGTAACGCAGTCGTCCTAGCTGCGATCTATTTAGTTTAGTTTCGCAGTAACAGCGTAAAACGCACTAATATCTTGTAATTAATGTTGTCGTAATGGCGCACGACTAATATCTGCAAGATGAGACGCAGAGCGGTGAGATCGCGGTAGCTGCGAAATATTTTACAATGATAGAGAAACGATTATCCTCTCCCCTCTTTTTCTCTCCTTCTTTAGAAGCTGCTCTCGTCGAGTCACTGTTACGTTCAGTCACGTAGACGCCTTTTGTGTCACACGAAGTAACGACGCTCGTGGCGTTTAACAGTGGCGCTAATCGCGCGTGAAAATAATAAAGCATACTTTGACACACACACACACACACACACACACACACAAACATATATGAGAATCGTGTGTTGCCTTATTTAACATCCCTCTAACAAACGATTAACGACAACGATGCCGCCAACCCGCCGGCAGGACGTGTCTTTCAGCCGGATTAACATCAATGTGAATCGACTGGCCATTAATTTATGATAATTGGAGCTAATCCGTGTGTCAAAACTGTACGCGCAGACACTCGAATGAAACTACTTCGAGAATTTGTGAATCTCGGCGCGCGAGACGAGCCCTCGTCAAATATATCAAGCCAAGTCGGAACAAACTTCTCGAGCTGGCGCGAGTTGCCTTCGTCGGCGTGGGAACTTGTCGAGTTGACTCTCGGAGTTCTCACGTCCGATCTTTCAACAGCTTCGCCTTCAGGTTTCCTCCCACTTCCGGCCGAGGCCCCGATATTTTAGCGGCAGAAATTGCTCAGCCCAACTTGTCAACTGTCGTTATAAGTTCCTCCGATAAGCCCGGTAAAACCGAATGAAATCTCGTCTCGGGTGAAGCTTCATTAGATTTTGATTCGATCCAGCGAGATTATACTTCTAATCTCCCGGTATCGAAGAGCTCTGTGTAATCGAATCTCGCGGAGATGATTTGTACAATAAAATACGCGCACTCGTGCGTGCAACGTAATACCCTATCAGTGTGTATGTGTAACATTGTAGAAACTAAACTCCAAGCGAATGCGAGTGAATAGTTTGCGGTGTCATAGTCGAATCCTTTTTCCTTGTCTTTTTTTTTTTTTCATTTCGTTAGTGCTCAATTTCCGCGCTGGGATTGGGCGGGAATTTGGAGTGTAATCGGTTCGAGGCGAAATGCAGAAAAACGCAACGCATTCCTGTTGCAGGTGGGAGATACGGATACGGAAGCAGCAGCGGATATTTGAGCGAACCGGAACCGCGCGCATATTCGGATCGATCCGTTACCCTCGATAGCCGCCGACGACTGCGTAACAAAGAAAATGACTTCATCACGGCGACTATGCCCAGAAAGTGAGCGAAAGAATTTACAAATTTCCCCACTCGTCTTCGCCAGAGACGCGGCCTCGGGCCGTTGAAATTTCTCCGTTGTCCGCGTTCCCTCTCATTACCATCCCTTTCGATGAATTAAATTTGACATTACCGCTCGTCAGCGGACGATAAAACGCACAATCACTCGTGCGAGCAGGCACCTGCACGACAAAGTAATCCGTCTTTTGATTTAGAAACGGGGCGCTGAAGTACTCGGCGGAGATTTACAAGAATCAACCTGGCCGCATCGAGGACTATGAACCGGGCCACTCGTCGATCGCCGAGAAGGAAGCCAAAGAGGTATGCAGCCGCTATCGCTCGCAATCGTTGAGATTAGACGAGACCTGCCTGTATCGTAAATTGAAGCGCACTTTCCCATAACATCGAAAGAACCGATCATGAGATATCCATCGCGTGTACAAGTTCATCGACCTGTCGGAAGAGCGACGATCGATCAGACGTTTCCGGGCTATTCTCACACTCTCGAGGAATATCGCGAAGTGCAAACGAAAGCGTACGGGCAAATCCGTCCGGATTCCCGTCTATTCCGCCGTAACGACGAGAATAATTTTCACCGGTATGGCCTCGGTTAACCAATCTTCATGAAACTACGAGATATATACGCACCGACAGAACTACGTTCTACGCGATGTTTCGTCAGCGCCTTTTTTTTCACTCGGCGATGTGAAATACAGACGGCGAGATGAGAAGGAGATTAGTTAACCATGGTTAATGGAAACGCGAGATTTCCAAGAGATATCGACCGGTACCACCGATATATAACGTCCGCCGCGACGTGTTCGCCTCGCCTCGCATCGCGAGATTCATCGAACGCCGCGCGACTCTACATTATTCGACGCGGCCAATATTTCGCGCGTACGCGACAGTTACGATGTAGCAAAAACTCGCGTGCATACGTATTCATTCTCTCTCTCTCTCTCTCTCTCTCTCTCTTTTTTCTTTTTTATTTTCCTTATCATGGCGAAAACACACGCGCTCGCGCGCCGCCGCGGAAACACGCGATCTCTCAGCGCGACCCGAAAACAGTTACCCCGAAAGAGGCGCCTGAAACACACTTGGAACATGATCGTTTGAAATGGCTTTGCTTCTAGCCGACTTTCGACGCGCGGACGAGAAGGAAGGTAATCACGTAATCGAGCGATTCAAACGTGCTTTGCCGGCCAATTATACGTTTCCTCGTTTATATTGAAAGCCTTTATGTTGGCGTCACGATTAATTGATTGATTGAAAGCTCTTGCTCTCTCTTTCTCTCTCTCTATCTCTCTCATACACATACAAACAAATATACATACACTCTCTCTCTCTCTCTCTCTCTCTCTCTCTCTCTCTCTCTCTCTCTCTCTCTCTCTCTCTCTCTCTCTCTCTGTCTCTGTCTCTGTCTCTCTCTCTCTGTCTCTCGTCGCTTACAAGGCGACTTTCTTTATACACTCAGAGCATACATACAGTCTCTCCTCAGGTGTACCAAGCACGCACGCGTGTATCCGGGGCTCGCAGAGTCCCTCGAGAAAAGCGAGACGCCGCGAGAAATAATGCAGAGGCCGTCCTGCTATTGCCGAGATGATCGCGCGCATTTCTCTCGGGGCGCCCTGCGGCTCCACGTAGCACAGGACCCGTTGATTTCCACACAGCTTTTGTAGCGCCGCTTGTAGTCGATCCTATGTTGAAAAACGACCTCGCTGATTTCCATCTAAAATCGAGACGTCGCGCTAATCCGGACCGCGAATCATTTCGTACGTCTATCTTCTCTGGGCTCGCCCGTGTCGATCGATGCGATTGTAACCGCGTCTCTTATTGTTTTAGATGGAAAATGGCGGCAAAACAATCGGACATACACTCTCTCTCTCTCTCTCTCTCTCTCTCTCTCTCTCTCTGTCCGAGCAGCCCATTTTTTATTTGAATCTATAAATGTGCCATACACACAGTAACCCCTTTTAGACAGCGCCTAGTATAACATTGTGTTTAATTCTGTGATTCTAGTGGTGGGACGAGGTCATGGACATATTTGACGGGGTACGCCATTTTTATATTAATGCGTAGTTAAATAAGAATTCCCTCTTTCTCTCTTTTCAAACATACCTCTCCTCGCTCTTTTCCTCGTCTTATTCTTTTATCTTTTGTTAGAGTACTGATACTCTCTCTCTCTCTCTCTCTCTCTCTCTCTCTCTTTCTTTCTTCCGTACGTAGATTGTAAGACTCAATTAAAATTAACATTTCCCATTACTCCGGAATCAAGCCCGGTAGCGTCGGCTTGAGGGGGATCTCGTGAGAAACTCTTGCAAAATACCTCGTTTCCATATAAATCTCCTCCGCTTTTTCTCCATCTCGATAAATTAGCCGTAAAGTCAGGAGAAAAAATGCGGGCGTATTTTCACGTTCTCGACGACCGAGAGGACTCTGGATTCTCTCTCGCTTTTTCTCTCCTTTTTCTTCCGACGGATAGAGTCACGTGCGTCACGAGCTCACGACCGGGCGGTCATTAAATCTCAGGGTGTACCGGCGGCGACGCGCGATCTTTGTCGTGTTGGCCGGTTATAAAGTCAGCCGGCATGGAACGGCCGTTTTTCACATACGCGCGGTTGGACGTTAAACGCGCTAACTAACGGCGGCTCACCGCCATTGCACCGATAATCGATGCCCTCTCGCATCCCCCGATCCGCGCGCAACAGACGCATGCTATCCTCGGGATTTCCCGCGGGGACACCTTGTCTCAAATATCGCAGATTCTTGGGTACCGCTAGATCGCTGCATCGAGGGCTCGTAATGGGCCGGCGATATCGGATGCAGAGGTTCAAATGTTGCGATGCGGCCACGCGTCTCGTGTATCACGATGCTCCCCGTTTGTGTGACCCCCTGCACAGTAAATCAGTTAGTATTTTACTAATTGCACCCACAGTTGCCTACCCCCTCCGTCCCTCGAACCTCTCCCTCGCTATGTGTCGCCGATCACCCGGACCGTCGATTGTCGTCCACCACCCCGCCACACCCCGAGACGTGATCTTGGTCGATGTACCTGCGTGTGCGTGTGCGTGTCGCGTGTGCTCGTCGTCCATGTTTGTGCGTGTCGTGTCCGCTCTTATATGCATCTTACCGCTGTCCACTCCCCGATGACGATGACAACAACAACGACAACGACAACGACGACGACGACGACGACGATGACGACGACGACGACGACGACAATGACTGCGACCACAACCACGACCACGGTGACGACTACAATGTCGACGTTGCGGCTGACAGTGGCTGAACGAAAACGGACATCCTCAGCACGCGCAGGCCAGGATGGAGTCCCTGCGTGGCATCCGGCAGTCTCACGTGCTCAGCCTCTCCTACCGGCCAGAGAGCAGTCACAGTGTAAGGATACCGGCGATCAGCAGCACGAAAAGCTCCGAGATCGGCGCGAGACCGCGTCCGTTGGCGCCGGAGGGTTCAGCCGATCGGTCGACCGATCGTCCGGCGCTCGCTATCGACAGCCGTCCACCGTCCAGGTCGCGCTCGCACCGGCCGACTGGCCATGATCGGTCCAAGCCGTCGACTGCGTTAGCCGACGCGACGTTCGATCGGTCGAGCGACCAGATCGCCGGCGAGGACTCGGCCGGTCGTATCATCCGACCTCTGGAACGGACCGCCGACGCCTGCTATTGGCACGCCGCCGGCATGCTGGAGGGAAGATCCAAGAGCTTCGTGTTGCCGGATCGTTGCCCGCGCCGATCGCACCCGGTCGGCGGCATCGAGCGACCGATCGCCACCGCTCGTTCGGCGCCGCTTTCGGCCGCGTCCGCGATCGCGCTGAGTTCGATCGGCAACAGCATCCAGCCTTATCGTCATCATCGCCATCATCATCACCATGAGCATTATCAGCAGCAACAGCAACCGCAGTTACAGCAGCAGCAGCAGCAGCAGCAGCAGCAGCAGCAGCAGCAGCCGCCGCCGCCGCAGCCGCAGCAGCAACCGCCGCCGCCGCAGCAGCAGCAGCAGCAGCAGCAGCAGCAGCAGCAGCAACTTCACCATCACCATCATCATCATCATCATCATCATCGCCATCAGACCCACCAAGACAACCAAGAACCACCGCAACAACGCCCACCGCTCTCTTCTTCTTCTACTTCTTCTTCTTTTTCCAGCACCGATCATATCATGCTACCACCATCACCGACAACACCCTCCGTTATCACCGCGCAAGCGCCAGCTTCACGGGTTAGAGGCTGCCACATCGTCGACAAGTAGAGTGCACGATGACGTTGTCCTCTATCTATCTGTCTGTCTATCTATCTGTCTGTCTGTCTATCTATCTATCTATCTATCTATCTATCTATCTATCTATCTATTTGTCTATCTGTTTGTCTGCCTCTACCTGGCTGTTGAGCCATCTCTGTCACTTTGTCTCTGCTACCTTCATATGCCTGTTTATACACACACCCACATGTCGTTACTTTGTATCTCGCATCGTACACAACCACGTGTCGACTCCTCTTTCCCAGAGAAAGAAAAAAAAAGACCGGGGCACACGAGACACACGAGAAGAAATCAAAGTCGCGTTAGCGCCGGGAAAGTATCATCGACATGAGAGTGATAAGCGCAACTTGTTCCGTCGCAGAAGCGTCACTACCCTGACGAACGATGCCTGATTCTCAGATTGTCACTGAGAGTTGGCGGCGATTAATGCGCGACGACAGCGCTTTGATCCGATTCATACGATCGTACTTCACACAGACACATTTTGCATCCCGAGCTGCTGTTGTCACACCTGTCGATCCCCTCATACCCTAACGCCGCCGTACTCGTACGTTACACCTGTTCATCCTTCTCCCCTTCTCTCTCTCTCTCTCTCTCTCTCTCTCTCTCTCTCTCTCTCTCTCTCTCTCTCTCTCTGCTTTCCCGGTCCTTCCGAATGACGCCTTATCGACTCGATCGATCCTCGCGCGTCCCTCCTCGCCAAGGCTTAGCATTAGATAGTTGCCGCATGTTTTGCTCGGTTACTCTCGATGTCTTGCTCATGGTGTCGTCTGAAGAACACCCGCGCTCGCGCTAACAAGCCCGTTAGCCGTATCCTTCGCGGCGTGTCTGCGAGCAGCATGACTCGTAGACGATGAGCGTAGTCGACTAGTCGTCAGCCGATGCTAATGACTCTTCTTCTCTGTGTCTTTCCAGCCCTTCGATCAGCGCAACGCACGGCCTGCAAAACCGTACATGACTCAGTAAGTAGCAATCCAACCGACCCGATTCCCCCGACGAGCCGAGCCCGTTGTCACAAAATTGTCTCGTTCCAAAGTGCCTTGAAGGAGTCGGGCTACGAGAGCGACTCGACGCTGGTGTTTCGCCGTAGAGAAGACATCAGTCCGCTCAGTCTTCTGGAGCAGAGACTGGCCTACAAGACGGTGCAGAGCGGTGGCGACGTACCCCTTCATGGGCTTCGCAAGCCGGCCCCGGAACGTCCGAAGGGTGAGTAGGCGGCCCGATCTCTTGGCTATGCGTTTTTTATCTCTCGTTTTGGTTCTTTTTTATTTCTCTCATTCGTTCTTGGCGCTATCGATTTTAATCAGCACGCTCATCGACTGATATACATGTGTACATGGACTGTGCGACTGGAGTTTACTCAGCATGCGGGTGTATGTATTTTTTTCTCCCTTTACAGTTGGTCGTGCTTGCAATGTGTGTGTTTTATTAATTAATGATTGCTGTGTTTTTTACATTACAATGGCGCATGTCTGTGTCTCGAAACTTCGAGTGATGTTAAATATGTCGACTTTCCGCGGATCTCCCGGTCTCGGAGAGACAAGTCGCTCAGATGATGATGATGATGATGATGGAAGATATATCCTCGATGTTTCGCGAGATTAGAATCGAGACGTTTTTTTCTTCCTCAGACACTTTTCTTACAATTCTCTCGACTAGCGGCGCTTTGTGTCGACGAGCGCGAGAAGCATGGCGTGTGAGAGTAGTGCGCTGTCTGACACACACATACACACAGCTTTATGTACGTACAAACTTTCTCCAACGCGTACTCTCCTGCGGACGATTGCATCGACATCGACCGGTGCTGACTGTGTAATTAATCAGGCCGAGGCGAGGTGACGATGTGGTCACAATGAGTGTGCTCAAGTCTCATCCGATAAGTGCGAACTATCGGATCGGTACTTGGCCGATACGTAGAGCTTGAAAGTTTGAGTGAGAGTGAGAGAGTGAGAGAGAGTGAGAGAGAGAGAGAGAGAGAGAGAGAGAGAGAGAGCACAGCGCGATGCTGGCTGATATCGATTAATTAGTCAATCGGCAAGCATATCCATTGCGACGCATCGCTCACCTTCGGCTGAAACTTCCCTTGCTCGTCTGCGTCACAGCCAAGGCTGCGATCTAGACGGGGACGGGAAATCGATAATCGGAGTCAGTTAACACCGAGGGTGTTGGTGCAAGCCGGCCCCGGGCGTTCCCACAGTTTAAATATGGCACAGCTCTCCCCCCCCCCCCCCCTCGCCGAGTCTATCGATATTGGTGCGCGAGTCGGTACTTCCGAAAGCTCTTCCTGCAATCTTTCAAGTAAGCAGCACAGCCGCAGTTTTAACACCACTATCGTGTCGCCATCGCCACTACGACGACTACGGGAGCCGCGAGTCCCTCTTGCATCGGCACGCAGCCGCGTGCGGCGCGCTTAGCCACCACCAGCTTGAGCCTTGATGCCGCGATGAGACAACCTTAGATGACTTTTTGGGTGGCAGGGTGTAAAGCCTGGCAGCAGCCTGTGGCTGGCGGTTGTGTACTGCTCTCGGCAGCCGAGCGCGAAAGCATCACAATCTCGAAACTCTGTCCACAGACGACACGGAGATCGAGTATTTCCCGATCTCGCCCACTTTGACAAGGATTCGCGTACACCAGAAGAGCGGTCCGAGCATCTCGTCGACGGTCGTCACCTCGTTCTCGAAGACGACCACGACCACGACAGTCGACTCGACGAGCTTGTCGCCACCGGTCATGAGAACGCCTCGCACGCTCGCCGAGCGATTCCCGTCGACCGGAAGCGCCGCGTGCCCACTCGGTAGAGCACTTCCGCAAGCTATGTCCGCGTCGAGGCCGCCCTCGCCGCCCCGGAGGAAGTCCTCGCGCCACAACAGAACCTTGAAGCTCTACTCGGAGACGCGACTGATCGATAGCTCGCACTCCACCAAGCCCAGACACGAGCAGTGCTTCGCGGCCGATAGCGTGTCGGGCATCAGGTCGCTGCGTGAGCGTTTCTGCAGCACTCTCGAGAGGCACCGACGTGCTCGCGAGCATTTGCACAGCGTGGTCGTGCAACGTACCTCCTCCAGCAGTCCGGTCGCCGGCAAAGCCACCAAGACGCCCGGTCTGTTCCCCGGCGCTTTCAGCAAGAGAAAGTCGGATCCCTGCCTGTCGCAGAGCCAATTCGAGACGAGCGCGGGGAAGAAACTGACCTTGACAGCCGGCCCGAGTGTAAGAAGTCACGCTCACTCTTCGGCATCGCCGGCATCGTCATCGAGAGGTACTCGGGAGCCCTCGGCGAGGATAGACGGTAAACGTCCGCTCGAGGACAAACTCTCGGTGGTAAAAGCGCCATCCAAGTATACCACCGTGACCAAAGAGGCACAGAGATCGCCGGAAAGAAGTCAGATTGTCACGAGGTCGGAGTCTCTGCACGGTCCGAGGAAGGATAAGCTTCGTCTGACCAAGAGGGAGCAGGAGCAATCGTGCAAGAGGCTCAGCAGATTGCCGGCGGAGCTCTCCTCACCAGTGGAGGTGAGGAAAGTTCTGCAGAAGCACAAAGAGAAGGAAACGAAAGACGTGCGGACCAGAGTACTGCCCTCAGGCACGCTGGTGAAAAGCTCGACGACTCCGTACAGCTCGTTGGCGAATAAGCAGAAGCGCGCAGCGGACAAGTCCCTCAAGATTGTCGTGGCAGTCTCGCCGAAGGGGCAAGAGTTGCTGCGGAAAGAGGTTGAACAGTCAGCGACGACGAGGAGGACAGGTCCTCCTCAGCTGAAGTCTCCCTCCGCGAGAAGCACGTCGACTTTGCAGATCGCTGCGAGAGCCTCGGCGGAGCCGAAGAGAGCAAAAACCGTCGCGAGGCCAGCCGAGAAGCTGATCATCAGCAAGGAGTCCTTGCGCTCGGTGTCGTCAACTTGTTCCGAGGTGAGCGGCGAAGTGAACAAGAGGAAGCGGCCGCGCGAGAAGCCGCAGACCATTGTGAAGACTCCGATGAAGAAGCCGGAGACGATACGCGTTGTCGTGAACGGCAACAGGAAGAGGCTAGAGTCGAAGAGGAAGTCACGGAAGGACAAGAACGGCGACGAGCAAGTGGACGCGAGCAAGCCGCCTTTGGACGGCTGGAAGGAGACGATCGAGATGAAGGATATCAAGCTGCTGAGGAAAGTGGAGAAGAAAGTGCTGTCGAGTGTTCCCCAACACGAACTCCCCAAGGATCAGATCGCTCCGTTGACCGTGGAGGAGATCAGGAGGCACCAGGAGGCAACGCGCACGGATACTTTCTTCCAGCATCTCTTCCTGCCGAGAAACTCTCCGTCGCCCACGCCGCACGCCCACGCGACCATAAAGAGATCCCTCGTCGGCGAGCGCACAAAGATGTTGCAGGACATCGCGAAGGAGAGCTATAGGTCGGAACCGTCGCTCAAGTCCCTCAGCGTGTACCTCGCGCACAAGCGGCCGGTCTCAAACTCCAAGTTCAAAAACTGGGAGCGCGAGAGTGTTTCGTCCAGAAGTTCCAGTCCGTACGGGGTCTGCTGGCCTGGTAGGTCGGTTCTGCGGAAGGTGAGCAAGTTCGACAGCCTGCTGGGCATCGACGAGTTTGGCTCCTCTGCCACGCTGCGCAATCGAAGCCCAGAGTTATCGTGGGAGCATGTGAAGGAGCGAAGTCTGAGCGAGCCACCTTTAAAGACCTTGCCAGAATCGAGGGAGTCCTCCTCGCGAACCTCCTCACCGTCTCCGGCGAGACCTCAGACGCAGCCTCGACGAGCTCGTGTTTCCAAACAGGACGAGCCGGAGCAAGCTCCGCCGGCGATCAGCCCGAAGAAGATCCGAGCCAGGAGCGCGGGTGAAGCGGACGAAGCTAAGAGACTCGGCTCGACTTTGTCGTTGACGAAGAGCACTGGCTCCACGTCATCGATCGACCGCGAAGACTATCAACAGTACATACTCGAGCTGCTGCATTACAGACGCAAGTCGAAGCGGTACAAGGACCTGCGCGACTTCTACGCGAGTCTGAGCAGGATGGGTCAATTGGAGCGCACATTCTCTTCGGGGGAGTTGCGACCGAGGATGAGGAACGAGGAGATCATCGATTACGACCGCTGGAAGCAGGTGAGGACGAAGGAGAAGGCTGAGGAGGAATTGAAGGCGCTGTATGGGAAGCTGAGGACCGTCCAGCGCGACAAGGATTTTCTCTTCACCGTGAGGGACGTCGATAAGTTCAAGTGGCACGGCGACTGTGGTCTACGCTGCAAGGAGCGCTCCGTGGAGGACATCCTGCAGTACTTTAAGAAACTCGAGAGCGAGGAAAGCGAGCTGGAGTCTTCCAAGAGGAGGACCATTTCGTCGCAAAAGGACACGTACAAGCCTCTCTGGCGAGGCAGCTCGGTGGTGAACGTGGCGACCACGATGCAGAAGAAGGCCAACGCCGGTCAGGACGCGGACAAGTCCGCGGAACACCCGTCGCTGCAGCGAAGTCTCGGCGGTAGCAAGAAGTTCTGGAGCAGCTTGTCCATCGAACAAGTGGCCACCTTGAAGAAGCAACTGAACGAGATCTATGGCAGCGACGTTCCTCAGAAAGCAGGGTCGCGGTCGAACACGAGTGAGGTTGTCGACGCGCCTCGCGAGATCAACGAGGACGAACGATCCGTAAAAGAACGCCACGAGGAAGAGGAAGATCGGCACGAAACCTTGTCGAGCTACGAGATAGTCGTGCCGCCCGAGAGCGACTCCAGCGGACGTCCTCAGGCCTACTCGAAGGGCCTCCATGTACGATGCCACTCGATGATCACGAGCAGCGAGTCGGAAATGTTGCTGAAGGAACAGAGGTCGGATGCGATCAGGATCGAAAGCTCGACTATGAAGAAGAGCGATTCCATCGGACGTCTGAAGGGCCTGGAGAGATCCGAGTCGGACAAGTCGATGTCACCGACCATGTCCGAACTGGAGAAGAAGCGGCTGTCGTTGACCCTCGGCAAGGAGGTTCTGGACAAGGTGACGCGACGTCGACTGTCTGCGCCATTGGCGCCTCGAGAAACCCGCGGCAGCATCGCTGCTGCCTTGGCGGCTACGAAGACGCCGACGAAGCCTCCCGCGAAGAACATCGCGAAGACAATTTGCCCGTCCGCCACGTCCAGTAGCGTGGCCAGTACTTCGCCGAGAACCTGCTACTCCCTGGAAGCTCCGTGCGCCGACGAGGCGACGAGGCTCAAGGACAAGAGCGACTTCCTGCTGGTGTTGACGCCCAACAACGAGAGCGCCAGCGACAAGCAACGCGTGGAGACCGTGCTCGAAGAGTGGTCGAAGAGGCCGCCGTTGCTGGCGATGGCGGTGGCCAAGGATGTTTCTAGCGCGAGAACAGGCAGGTTCCCGTCGGGTAGCGACGCGGACAGCATGACGGAGAGCTCGGAGACCTCGGTGAGGACGGTGATCCAACGGAACGTCGAGACGGAAGACGTGTCACGGAAGATCGAATTTTTCGAGAAGGTCGACAGAAGAGGGGAACGGCAGCGCGAAGCATCGACTCTCATGGTGGCGGCGGCGGCGGCGGCGGCGGCGGCGACGACAACATCAACATCGTCGTGCCGCGGCAGGTGGAAGAAGCTATCGTCGTCGCAGAGCTTCGCCGACCTGAAAGAGTTGTTCGGCGAGACCGAGTCGGCCAAGTACAGCGGCCCGAGCGCCGCGTCCAGGATCATCGATCCAGGATCGCGATCGACGTCACCGAGGGAGAGAACAGTCGAGAACGTACGGAGAGACGCTCGCAGCCCGACGCTGTTGGACGCGAGCGGCGGCACGCGACGACAATCGTTGCGCTCCTGTTCACGGGAGCGTGAACACGACAGACCGCACAGCGTCAGTCCGTGTCGCGCGACCACGCGATCGAACTCGTCCTGCAGCCTGGACAGCGGCTGGCTACGCAGTTCCTCGCCGGACCCCGACAAGTACTGGCGCGCTTACCTCAAGCTCGTACGGAACGGCACCGTGCGCCGGCTGCGGGCGAGGTTCGAGAGCGCGGAGGACCTACCGCGGCGCGTCAAGGTCGCGCCGGCACCCAAGCGCTTCCGCAGCGACCCGGAGTTGGCGAGGAGTCTGCTGAAGAAAGTGAGCGAGGAGGACCGTTCCGCCGCTGCCGCCGCCGCCGCCGCCGTGCCGAAGCCGCACGAGCATGCCGACGTAGCTTGGCTGCGCAGGCGGTTCGAAGGTGGTAAGAGAGGACGACCGCGACGAAGAGGCGAGTCGCCGCCGATTCCGCGGATGCCGCTGCGCCGGGAGAACCTGTCGATGCCGCACATCGACGTCATCAGCAAGACCGCCGAGCTGAAGGAGCCCACCGTCACCAGCACCGTCACCAACCACGTGGCCAGGCAAGCGGAAACTAAGGAGCTCGAGGCGAAGAGGCCGGTTTGCCGGATGCGGAAGAGATTCGAGTCGCCGGACGCCGGGCGCCGGACTTCCATCATAGGCGAGATGTTCACATCGGCGCCGGACGTGCGCGAGCTTCGCGACATCGCGCCTTACTTGGCCGGCCGGTGGGTGGCTCATCGCTTTCCGAATCGTCGCGACAACATGCGCTCCTTGTCGTCGCCGGCCGATCTCGAGCTCCACCGGGGCTCTACGAGGACCTCCGACTCGTCCTCAGGTAGCAAGAAGAAAACGGAGCGGCCGCGAGCCACTTCGTCGTCGCCGACGCGCCCGCGAGCCCCAGCGTCGATCCTCAAACCATCGCAGACCATCTTCGCCGGGCAACACTTTGACCCCGACAAGCACCGACCGAGGTTCAGGTACCAACCGCCGCCGCCACCGCCGTCGCCCACCGCTGGACGAAGACACAGAACTCTGTGGCCGACCTTGCCCGTCTACACGGCGCGCCCGACCGTCACCTTCGAAGGTCTGAATCTCGTCAAGTGCTGGAGTAACTCGACCGGGTTACGCCAACAACTCGAGGGTGGTGCGCGACTCGGGAGGAGAGGGCATTTTACATGAGGCAGGAAATCGGAAAGATCTCGCTCTGTCTGCCCGATCACGTGACGAAGGGTGAAGAGAGCTCTGCTTCGACGTGCTCTCGGCTTGGTGAAACGCGACGCGTTATCGCATCGCGTCGTTATCACGTCGCGGCACCAATATCGCGGCACGCGTCGGAGGGGCGAGCGCGTCCAGTTTCACAGCGACAGCGGGAACGCTCGCCCAGTGTGTGTGTGTGTGTGTGTGTACTTGTGTGCCATCCTCCCCCTCCCTCCTCCTCCCCCTCTCAAGTATAAGCCCGAGTGTCTTTGCGAATGTTCTTTGTCATAGCTGTAGAACGGCTAATTATTATTTTCATTTTTTTCCGCTCATCCATAGAATACTCGAATGCACCCCCGCCGCCGCCAAAATCCCAGCACTGCAGGGACGATCGCCAAGGTAATGCCGATTACAAGCTCATCATTATCACACTTACATTATCTCGTGTCGCGCGTGCTCGCTCGCGCGCGTCGCGGTCTGTTTGCTACGCAGGTATTTCGTAACACCTGGGCTATATCGGCTTCTCGGCGCGCCGAGCGTCATTAAGCAGCGGAACGTGTGAGGCAAAGTATCATGACGTCGAGGCGACTCTCGACGATGATTCATACAAGCCGTACATCGCTTGTCCATAACACCAAGTGTCTCCGTTACGCTTTCTTTTTATTCCAAAGTCGGCCAAGCCAAGCGCGACGCGCGCACGCGCGCGCGAAGTTGCATAACCGCGGCTGGGACTCTCCTCGCGCGGCAACTTTGCTCTTGCTCGGTTCGTCCGAGTTTCCTTCGATACTTTTTCTCGGATTTTCACTCATCTCTCCACGTCGCGTCGCCACGTCGCCGGGCTCGATGTTGATCGACGCGCAACACAGGGTTGTGTTGCGCGAGCGCTCGTCAGATGCATAATGGAGCATGCGACTCTTCGGGATGCATGAGCGGCACCGGGAAGTAAGATTGCGCTCGCGTGTTTCACGAGCGATCGAGCATGAGCGCGGTGATCGCGCGACGACGCTCGTACTCGCGGACGTGCTTGCGGCGCCTCGCCGCGCGTTGTTACCGCGAGTCGCCGAAAATAATGCGCGCGCGCTTTCGCGATGGGGAAATCCAGCCGCGGAAATCTCGCGCGCGAACCGCTCGCCGTGCAGCCCCGATTAGAAATTTCATATTAATTGCATCGTGCTCGCTTGCTTTCTTATGGCTGCGCAACACTGTGGGCAGCACGGCGGCGAAACATCGGTGTCGGATCAGCGTCGATGCGCGATTTTGCTCCCATTGTTGTTGCGTCGCTCCGGCTGATCGCGGAGCTCGTGGGCGGATTTGGCATGCGCGTGAAATGGTTTTCCGCGAAGCCGCGCGCGTCGACTGCATCCTTTGTAATCATTCGCCTTTGGATGTTATTGTTGCTGGTGGATGCGTTTCGTAACGCCGTCCGTAGTGGTTTGCTCGAAGGATGATATGTTATCGGTAGCGTGAAAAGAGGAGGAGCTCGTCGCGACGCGCGGACGGAAATTTTGAAAGTGGATTCACGCTGGAAGGAGCGCGCGTCAGTGTCAACGTTCTCCTTGCACGTGACGTTTCTATCCGGAACGCTCGCTTCCGCAAATACCCGTTTTTGTCCTTTTGTCCTGATCGAATTTAACGGCGATACGATGAATTCGAGCCGACTCTCGAAGCGGGACTCTCGTGCTAAGCGAAGCGACAAATTGATCATGTCCTCGTTAGGAGACTCGACAGCTCTGTGTGAAAGATACATGACGTTGTGGGTAAAAGGGAAACAATTGATCAGGATGTGACGTAATCGACGATAAAAATGATGGCAGCATTCGGCGTTGACGGAGAGAAAGAGAGAGAGAGAGAGAGAGAGAGAGAGAAAGCTGTGCGAAATGCGCGCGACCGATAAGGGAAATTGAAAATCCGCGGAAAAACGAGCCGGACGAACGTTGCAACGGATTTTCAGCAGCGAACGAGTCAATTTCGCCGCGGCGGGTCATCGGGATGGCGATGACCCGAAACCCTGTTGATCGGCTCGCGATGTCAAGGGCGTGGACTCCACTAAAACGATGCTAATCACGCATGCTAATCGTGCTAACGAAAAGGCCTAACACCGAATTGCCCGGCGTTCAATTCGCACGCGAGCGCAACTTTCGAGCGCGCGAAGGCGCACGCTCGGGAATTCGCGTAACGCTCCAACGCACCTTCGTCGGTCGCTACACCTTTCTTGTCCTTCCTCTTCTTTCTTTCCCGCCAAACGATTCGATTCTCCGTTCAGTTCCGTTCCAGCGAGACTCTGCGATCCTCCCGCCGAGATCTCGTCGACCGCGCGCGCCCGGACCGCCGGACGGATGAATCTCCGCCGGGCCTTCAATCCCGATGCCGATCATCTCGATCGCGCAATCTCAACGCGGTCAGAAACGCGGCGCTTGCCCGCGGCGTTATTATTGCGCGTCGCTAAAATTGGATAAACGACGGTCACGATTATTTTCGACGATGACCACAGTAGCGCGATGCTAAGCAGCGCCGTGCCACGTCCGCGCGCACTTACAGCGCGCTGAATTTGACGGACGCATGCGATAGCTGTTGCATCACTGCGATTAGCATAGCTGTTTATCAGCTCGTACATTGGCCGACTCGTCCGCTCGTCAATCCATCGCCCGGTAGAGTTATCCTTGGCATTGTTGCCGAGCACACGCGCGTAATCGCGCGCCGTCTCGTTCTTCTCGTTTCCTCCTCGCTGCCGGGGCAAAGTGCACCATTCTCGCGCGTCGATCGTCTCTCTTATCTTATCTGCCGGTGATTGATGAGTGCGTGTTGTCTCCTCGTTGTCCGTCCGACAGTTCCCGACGTCGACAAAGCGCGCGACGATACGCGCGCTGAAACCCGGCCTGGTCCCCGGCTCGCTGCTGACGCTCGTCGAAATCCCCGCGGTAAAAGCAGCGTCGAAATAAGGCCCGACGCGGCGCGAATAAGCGGCGCGAGACGCGGCCGATCAGCGCGTGAAACGAGAACACAATAGAGCCAGTGAAACGTCGTATCTCGCGCGACAACGCGACCTTTGTGCGCGCTTTTCAAGCGCCTTTTAACACCGCGGCCGTGTTCCCATCATCGCGAGCAACGAGCGGAGGATTTTATCGTCGAGCTTCCGTAAGCGCAGTCGACGGCTAAACACGCCTCCGTGGATGAGCGTCTTCGTGGCTGCGCCGAGTCCCCCGAGCAACGGGATTTGAACCTCCTGGAGTCCTCTCCTTCACCATAACGAAAAATTTGACGACGTCTCCTCCTGCGATCTCTCCTCGCTCTCAGCTCGCCAAATCGCGAGAGAGCGGGCCTCCTCGCAACTTCGCTGCTTGGTGAACCGTTCGCCGAGGAGTAGGGGAGTACAATAACCGGTGCCAACGTCGTCGCGGCACCTTCAGACGCGTTTCGCGTGCGCCGCGCGACGCTGCTTCAACAAACGGCCGCGAATCGCACGTGCCTCGGATACAGGTGCGCGTTACGTCTTCGGTGGCTCTTCAGCGCGGCGGTCCCCCGCGGCAGCGGCGACCAGCGCGCGACGTAGATTCTCGTCAAGGCCGTGCGTGATGATCTCGCGCGTTGAGTGTTATCAGTGCGCGCTCGATAATCGCAACGATCTGATCGGCCGTCGAGGCCCGCGAGGCCGCGGCTCCGTCTCAGTCGTCTCTCGTCGAATCGCGCTGATCACATCCGGCTGGATATCGCGCGGAAAATCGATCGTACGTGACACGCTCGCGAGTTGAAACTTGGCGCCTTGGATCTTCCCTCAGCTCAGTTCTCAGGCTCTTCGGACGACACGTTTGCAGGCCGGCTGCTCGAGTTTCCCGGCTGAATTGGCGAATAGTGTTTATTTTCACACACGCACACAGAGAGAGAGAGAGAGGGAGAGAGCGAGAGAGAGAGAGAGAGAGAGAGAGAGAGAGAGAGAGAGAGAGAGAGAGAGAGAGAGAGAGAGAGAGAGAAAGAGAGAACCACCTGTGCAGAGGCGCGCTCCGACGCCTCTTTGGCCGCGGCTGATGACGTTAGCGCGGATAACACAAGAGCGCGATAAGAGCGACGGCCGACGCGCTCGAAAGTAATTAAGCGCGAGCGGCGGGGATAAAAAGAAGTGTCGCGCGAGCGCTGTTTATGCGACGTGCGAGGCTGTTCTTCTCTCGCCGTGCGAGCGGGCGTCCTCCTCGTGAATACGTTGATCCACATTGCGCTGGAAAGCCGCCGGCGCGCGGCGTGTTCATTTGAATAGAATAGCCATGAGAGTGCAAGTAACACCTTTCCCAGGGAAAGGTTTCGCTGCCGGCTGCTCGTTGGCACAACAAACAGACACACGCTTCTAATAAGAAGAAAAGCCTGCCTCCGCCGCGCGCACGTGTGTGTGACCCGTATTCTCCGTCGCAAGCGCTGGTCGGCGCGATTTTTCGCGAGGTCGCGCGAGGTCTCTGCTCGAAAGTGCGGCGCGCGCGAGCGCGCGCGGAAGTCCGCATTTATTATCGTTAATTACGCATTACGAGAGCGGCGGTTAATGAGTCAACGCCGTTACGTCGGCCGGTAGCTTTAGCGTGACGCGTTGATTAACAGGGTAACCATCAGCGGGCCTTGCTCTCTTTCGCGTCTCGGTCCTCTCTTCTTCTTCTTCCGAGGAGCGACGATTACTCGCGCTCGTTATCCGGTACGGCGATACCGCTGCGGACTTGAGACGCGACACTTGCGCGGCTATGAAAAAGCGTATTAACCTATCGACGAACGCGGACGCGATATGGCGCGATCCGGTCGAGTCACCGTTACACAACGATGACACGGCTCTAAGTGTCCGAACTGCTTCAAGTCGGACGTGACGTTGCGCTCGCCACTCGGACAGGCGAGTCATCGGCCGACGACGACGACGACGACGACGACAACAGTACGTGGAAAGTTTTTCCGTCTTTCCGTCGTCGGATTTACCCAACGGGGACACTCCGCGCTTTCCATTCCATCGTTCGCGTGGTTATCGCGCGGCTCGCTGGGGCAATCGTGATCGAGGATCAGCTTTTGCGGAATATCCGGCAGCGGTGCGCTCGTCCTCGGCGGGACGAGACCATCTGTCGGAAGATCTCGGCAAATTAATAATCGCGCCGCGCCGTCTTCGTCGCGACTCGCGGTCGCGGAGAGAGGCTGCGGAGGAACGCGCTTCAAGGCGGTACACCCGGAAGCACTTCGTCCTGCCGCGAGGATTCGCCTGCGAACGTGTGTCGTCGCGCAAGAGTGCCCGAGAGACCAGCCGGAAATTCGGAATCCCCGCTTCTCCCCGGAGCACCCGGCGCGAGTCAGACGTGACACTCGCGCGCGCGATGCCTCCGCCATGAAGAGCAGCACCCTGAAGACCCAGGTACGAATCCACACGATGCTGCCTCGCGTTGAGGACCTGGAGCACAGCGTGCAGTGGACCAGTCTGGCGGACGACATCGAGCGGCTGGAGAAGCTCCGTCGTCGCGACTGGTCGCACCGTTTCCGCAAGTCGGACTCGCTGCTCGAAGGACACGCCGCTCCTCAGCGGGCCAACGTGGCCGAGAGGAGCGAGCAGAGAGCGAGCGATGTCGTCAAGCGCGAGGATAACCGTGACGACCATGCGCGGAGAAACTTGACGGAGGTCTCTCGCTGGAGCTGGAAGCCGCGGACGGACTTTGAGAGGGAGTACTTCTACAAGGACTACAAGGACTATTATCGCGGCGAGCCGGCCTTCTGCGAGCCCTCGAGAGCCAGCCCTTGCCGCGAGCGGGATTGTTACTTATCGAGGGATCGCGGCCACCAGGTTGCGCGCCGACAAGCGTCTGAGAGCCCCGCGGGCCGGTCATCGGGACGCTACTCCAACGGGCTCGAGAAGGAGCACTTCAGCGACAGCCGGGAGAGGCTGCACGAGATCTTCGAGCACAATCGATACCTCCGACGGCAATTCTTCGCCAACACCACGGCGACGACGACGGCGGCGGGGAACTCGCGGGGCCCCCAGGAGCCTGCTAAGCGGTACAACGGCTTCGGCAGTACCGAAACGCTGACCAGCCAGAGCAATCAATCGTCTGTGAGCAGTATAAACGACCGAAAGTCTCGCTGGGGCCAGACGAGCCGCAGTCCGGAGGAGGAGGAGGAGGAGGAAGACGAGAACGCATTAACCGCGCTCGCGGTGAGGAACAACTTGCCGGCTCGCGCTAAGCTCGACGTCAACGACAACGACTGCCGGTCGATCGATCGCGGCAGCCGCGACGGCGGTAATGAGAAGGAGAACGGCAAGGTGTTGCTCGTCAACATCTTAGCCGGAAGCGAGGTGAGGAGCGTCGACGTGAGGAGCGCGGCCGTCAGGCTCGACGAGCAGCATAATGATGAACGGAGCGACGGCGGGGAAGCTCGATTTCGGCAGCCGACGAGCGACGAGAGAGCGCTCGATGACTCGCGTCGACGTCGGCACGACGTCGCCGCAACGAGCGCGGCTAATTGCGTCGAGTGGCGTCGTGAGAGGAGTCTGCCGGAGTACATTTTCGGAGAGTCCACGAGGACCGACTTGAAGGCTCGACGCGGCCCTGGAAACGACGCCTACGGCAGACGCGGACGAGCGACGAGCGGCGACGAGTGGAGCCGTGCGAACGACTGGCCGATGTTGAGCGAGACGTCTTGGAGACGACGAGACGGGCTCGCGAGCCCACCCAATGAGACTCGCTCCGGGACCATCCACGAGGACAAACGATTGGACTCCGTCTCGGCGGACGTCGGCGAGACGAATGCGTCGGTCGACGACGAGACCTGCTGGGACTTCAGCAGGTCTTTGCCGAACTTGACTATCTCAAAGCGGAGTCTCGACACTCCGCTCTACGTCGCTCGTGCAGTCAACCTTCCCGAGGAGATCGTCGAGTCACCGGAGCTGTCGTCGGGTCACCGGTCCAATGCTCGTGTCGCACGACCGAAGCTCGACCTGGATGGCCGATTTGGGCGGAGGGAGAGGTCGGGACGGCGCGAGAGAGAGGAGGAGACCGAAGGTTGGACACGCTCTATCAGCCGCGGACAATCGATAGCCGCGACGACGGACGAGCCGGTCTCTCCCAAACGCTTGACCCCGCGGAGGGTCAAGGCGCTGAAGGTGCCTCCTCCTCCTTTGGACCTGAGCACGGTGAACGAGCAGTGCGAAAGGATGGAGGAGAGCGAGAGGAAGTGTCTGAACGACTACAGCGTCGACGTGGCGATCCTGCGCAGCCACGAGGACCTTGTGAGAGATCTGTTGATCAGCGGCAACGTCCACGAGCAAGTCCTCGCGGAAGTCCTCGCTGGGACGAGCAACAGCTCGTCGAGGATCGTGAACGGAGCTGTACGAGCGGACGAGGCGAGTGAGAACAGCGACAGGAAGAAGCGGTCGTTCAGCAGACCGCTGTACAAATCTTGCGGCGATCTCTCGTTGGCTGACGAGCTTCAGTCGCCGCAGCTCGTCAACAATTGCAAGAGCTCCACGTGCGATCTACGAACGGTAGATCCTGCCGTCAGGAGGATACCTGGACGTCCGATTGACCCTGATGCCTCCCGCCATGACCGAGCCGCCAGCCCTTTGTTCGATCAGACGGGTCCGATTGGCGGGCTTCATGCCGGAAGCGCGCTTCCGTCGGTCTACGGACCGATTCCGTACAGTCAGTAAACATGCGCATAATTTTCCTGAAATAATGCTCTTCCTGCTGCGTGTAAATAGCTGCGCGCGCGCGCGCGCGCGCCGTTAGAATCGTTTGGTGTATAACTGTTGCCTCTGGTGATAGCTGTTGGTAGTTGATCGAAGAGAACGGACAGCGATAGAGAGAGGGAGGGAGAGAGAGAGAGAGAGAGAGGGAGAGAGAGAGAGAGAGAGAGAGAGAGAGAGAGAGAGAGAGGCAGGCGGCGAAACATCATGGTTAGTGTAGAGTAGGTTTCACGCTCCGTTGCCAATTTTCAAGAATGTTTATCATCGAATTAGCAGGAACGTGATTAACACAGCGGCACACGTAACGAAATTGCCCCAATAATTGAAAAACGGCTCTTCCCACGAAACACTCTCTAGAACGGGTGGAAGCGTCGATACGGCAGAGCGGTTGGCGGCGAAGTGAAATTACACGACGAATCGGGGGGGGGGGGAGGGCGGAGATCAGATAGAAGATAATGAGATACCGTAAATGAAAGCGCGAAAAATGAACTTGGACCGCGCGCGCGAGAGGGAGAGGAGAAGAGAGAGAGAGAGAGAGAGAGAGAGAGAGAGAGAGAGAGAGATCTCCGCGCGGCGGCGGCGTGAGAATCTCGCTTGGAAGAAAGCGGTGAAAGGTACGCCGCCGTTCTGAGACATTAAAATTCGGTTGCTCATTTCGGTGCTTATGATTAGCGCTTCGAGCTGTTGCACACTGACAAATTGGGTTACGATGACGGGGTACGTGAGGCTGCTAGATGAATCGCGCGGGAACTTCGTCGAGGTCTCACTGATGGAGGACGCCGATGAAAGTTTCCGATTTGATCCGACAGCGAGAGCGAGAGAAAGAGAGAGAGATTCGTGACTCCTTCGCGTGTCAACAGACACCTCATTCCCTCGCCACGTCTTTCTGTCGTTATTCATCGTCATCACTTTAGGACACGGACACGGGAAAATTCATTAATTTTGCAAATAGGAAATAAATAAATTCTCACGAAATATTTTCTTAAAAAAAAAAAAAAAGAGGAAAAAGAAGAAATACATTATCACTTGTAGAGGCGACATCACAAACAGGACAAACAAAAATGCAAATCCTGCCGTCTTCCTTTTCGCTCTTGCGAAAAGGAGCCCTCCGAGACGAGGAGACGAAACCCTCCCCGACATCTCCCGATCCCGCTGTCGGGGCGGCTCGTGTTCGGAAAAGCGCGATATCTCGCTCAATCTCGCTCATGGCGAATTTCGCCGCGGCGCACCAATGCGAAAATTTGCAGGGTAACGACGCGAATGACGTCCGGCCTAAAACGCAGCTCGCGTCGGCGGAGTCATCGCGAGTCTGCGCTTTACCGTCATCGCGCCGGGGAGATCGGCCAGTCGCCGCGGCCACTCTGCACTCATCTTATCAGTCTCACGGCCTCGGTGCAGCTCGACGTACGCGAGCGCATAGTGCATAACAAGTGTGTGCGCAGCGCGTGCTGTTGCATCGCGATAAAGTCCGTCTCGTCATTATCTCGCGCGACGCGCACACGGAGGAGAGCAGGTGCGAGCACACACACCGGCGTGCGCACTCGCTCGTCGCTGATACACAAATTCTCGGTACTTTTAAACGGCCGCTCTCGACAGGCGAGACGGGAGTGTGACGTCCGCGCGAATCGATAATTCGTGCTCGCAGCTTGGCTCGTGCTCTCGCAAAAATGGATAAGAATTAGCCGCTCAGCTGAGCCGACCGGCCACCATTGCGCGAAATCTCGTCCGCGAAATTTTTTCTTCTCTCTTTCTCTCCGTTTTTCTGCCTCCTAATCGGTCTCTCGTAAATGGGATTCGCTCCGAGTGTATTTGCGCCGTTTGTACGACGGATCGCATCGCGAGTGTTAGCGAGCGTAATCGAGCATTACGCTACACGAATAAAATTCTGCTCAGAGACCGTGGCTGGGTTCTCCCGCCGGTCGATGACCCAAGTATCATTTCCCTCCGCGAGGAAGCCATATGTTCTGGCGGAATGAGTTGAACAAGTGACGACCTCGAAAGTGGGTCGAATCGCGCGCGGCTGCCTTGTAGTCGAATTTTCCTCCGTTCGGAATAAGGGCGGATCTTGTGATCTTCGTACGCTCCAATTCATTCCAGTCGGATCTACGGATCTATCTCGCGATCGTGCGAGCCTCTTTAACCGCGACGCCCGAGTGTTTGTGCCATCATTTTTAACGAGCGGCTAATCGAGCGGCTGATGAGGACGATTAATTCGACGAAGCGGGGCACGCGCCCCGAGCACAATAAGCCCCAGTAAAAACGAATCAATGGAACGATTCAGATCGAAATTAGCATAGCTCGCGCGGCCGGGCATGCAAAAACGCATGCGCGTCGAAAAAGTTTCCAAAATTCTACGCGATTGTTCTCTCCTTTTTTCTTGTCTTTTTTACCTCTCTTTCTCTCCCTCCCTCCCTCCCTGTAGATTCCCACGCGGAAAGCGAGTCGTCGAAGCGAAAAGTCAAATGAGCGGGCGCGAACGCGCCGTTCGCGGCTCGCGCTCGATCGGTGGCCGATAAATGTGTCCTCTTTGCTGCAGAATCGCCGAGGCGTTATGTGGAGGGTGAGGTAACGATTCACTATCGCTCGCCGGTGCGCACAGAGGCGAAGGAGCCGTTGAGCGAGGAGGAACTCGCGCGCCGAAGCGCGGAGAACATGCGGCGCGTCTACCAGGAGGAACGTCGTCGCAAGTACCTTCAGGAGTTGCACGACATCGACTCCCGCAGGCACACGGACAACTTCATGTGAGTAGGACTAATTTTCGTCTTTTTCTCGTGGCCTCTCTTCCCGTGGATTTCGCGAGGTTTTTACGAGAGAGGTACTCTCGTTGAGGAAAAATAGAGATGAGGAAGCTGGTCCTTGAATTTGTTTCGTTATAATCCTTGCGAGGATTCGCTGTCCTTCTCTCTCCTGTCTCTCTCTCTCTCTCTCTCTCTCTCGTGTACGTGTGAGACTCTTTGTTCTTTGCACGCAAGTAACTACGTTTCCAACGACGATGTTAATAACGTGACGAAAGATGCGCGTGCATCTTCAGCTTCGTATCGTCGTCGGCTCGGAAACGCTTCCCGCCGTTCAACGGCCATTGCGCAACGCGTCATTGTGTGTTGTCAGCTATTTTACGCGGGCGTCACAATGAAATCGTAATTGTGCGCGCAGGTAGAATAACGGGGACCGGTTTCATTGACGTCTCTCTCTCCCTCTCTCTCTCTCTCTCTCTCTCTCTCTCTCTCTCTCTCTCTCTCTCTCTCACTCTCCGAAGAAGGTTGCTGTAGTCTTGAATTTTTTTCCGAACTGTCAGTAGAATAGAAAGTTCCTCGTAGATTCGGAGAAGAGTATCTACGGTCGAGAGAAGTCTCGAGCTTGAAATTCCATTCGATTCTTGGGCTAAGATTATCGAGCACCTTATCGTCAAGAACTATTCCGAAGCACCATTCACGAAAAACTGCAAAGAAATATCGGAGCAGAACGAGAGAGTCTCCTCCTCTCTTTCCTTCTCCTTCTCCCATATCTACATTTCCTTTTCCAATTTCGTCCAAGTTCCAAGCGCAATGCTCAACAACCGTCGAGTCGCTAGGTCGGAGGCAGCTAGAATTTGCTCGAAATAAACAGAAAGACAATCTTGGCCGAGTCATGAAGAAACCTTTCCAATTCGAACCGACAATTGCAGACCCTCGCAGAAGTCGCCCATACCTTTGAATCGCTACGACGACTTCGTGGACGATTTAAGTCAGCGAAGTCGATCTCAAGATCAAACGCCCGAGCCGCGTTTGGTGGCGAGAGCCCTTTACAATTTTGTCGGCCAGTCGTCGCGGGAATTGACTTTCCGGCGCGGCGACATCATATTTGTCCGACGACAGGTGGACAAGAACTGGTACGAGGGCGAGTACAATGCCATGATCGGACTGTTTCCCTTCAACTACGTCGAGGTAATTTATTTTCTTCCTCGAGGTCGAAATTTTATTAAGTCAGGGAAAATTAAATATTTTTGCGAGAAAACGCGTGTTTGCGAAACTCGGAATTTACTTGTCGCAGATTCTACCGTACGATGGCATGCGAACGACACCGAAGAAGGCCCACGAGGGACAGGCACGAGCCAAGTTCAACTTTGTCGCTCAGACTAATCTGGAATTGTCCTTAGTGAAGGGTAAGCTAGAAAGTGGAGGGAGAATTTTGGAAATTTTTCTTCTTCATCCCCACATAATACCCACATAAATATTCCCTAACAATATTCGTGTACTTCTGCAGGCGAACTGGTGGTGCTGACTAGAAGAGTCGACGAAAATTGGTACGAGGGGCGCATAGGAAACCGCAAGGGCATCTTTCCCATTTCCTACGTCGAAGTCATCACGGAGCCCGGACATCGATCAGGTAATGCAACGAGGCGTCGAATTGGTGAGGAGCGACAAAAATCTGCAGGGGTATCATCGACACCTGATGACGGGGCACGTCTTTGTTGTTATTTCAGAGACACCGATCCAGAGCAAACCGGTGGCCTCTCCAGCGGCGCACAGCCTTTTGGCGAATGGCTCTTCTGGAGGCAAGATGAGTATGGGACCCCATCATTACGTGCCGTCCATCCCGGTCAATATAAACACAACCCAGCCCCATTATAATTCACTGGTAATTATCGCACGATACCTCGTGGAAGGGTCAGTCCCAGCGAGGGAAAAAGTTTCCTTCGTATTATCTAGTAACACGATCTCTTCAACTTTCAGCCACGAATGGGCGGAAGCAAGCTGCATGTGTCGCAGCTCAGCGAGACTCTACACATCGACACACACTCGGAACCGATCCCGTGAGTTTTTCATATTTTTATACGGAGATTTAATAAACTTCTCTTTCTCTTTTTTGTGCTTACGCAATTCCACGTTGTTCCACGCATTATTTCAATCAAACTTCGTCGCCAATATTGACGAAGAAATTTCTGCTTGCTCAGAATGTCCGAGTGAGGACACGAGGGTTTTGTCAGGGCTGAAGAATGTCATAACCCAAACGATGTATCGTCGTCGTTTACAGATACCGGGCGTTGTACAACTACAAACCGCAGAATGAGGACGAGCTGGAGTTGAAGGAGGGTGACACGGTATACGTGATGGAGAAATGCGACGACGGCTGGTACGTCGGCTCCAGCCAGAGGACCGGTTACTTCGGCACCTTCCCGGGTAACTACGTGGAACGATTGTGAGGAAGGCCGGCGATCCAGGACTTGGACGCATCGCGTATCAAGGCCCGGGATAATCTTTACCAAAGCACTAGACGGGATCGTTAAGATATACATGACAGACCGAATTTCAGCGTTTAACCCGATCGCTCCTGGCAACGACAAGTCGTTCTCGGCAACCTCGAGCGTGACACCGGAGACTTTCGCAAGTTCTCACGTCACGGTCTCCGTCGGTAAGACACTTTCGCAGAAGCGGATCCCTATACAGTAATTTCTAATCTTTTTATCAAGGTTAAGTGCAAAGAATTTTCGATCGTCATCCGTACTGTTGCGACGTCTCCGACAAACGCTAATCTCACGATGATTACTGTCTCTCGTTACGTTTGTGGCTCTAACGATCTTATTAGACGCGTGAATCGCGCTAGGACGCGAATTGCTAGGGTGATTTTAGTTTGACGGCTCTTATGCTTCGGTAATTATTCAGACTTTGTAATAAGTGCACGCGACATTCGCTAACACGCATCGGTTTGCAAATTTAGATATTTTCAGTACATCGTCTTTGTATTCGACTGCTCTAACAGAGATATCTATCTTCGAGACGGGATACGAGATCGACTGGTTTCTCTTTGGAAACGTAATAATACGTAATTTCATATAGCACACCGTGCATAATACAACGAATGAGGGTCCTAATTAGATCCACACGAATGCCAACGTCACATTAACATCTATCTCTCGAATCGAACGTTTACGGTAGAAAAGTTACGCGCTACGTCACTCATCTTATCGTCCTGGTAGACGGACAACTCATTAGACGAGAGGATTAAGAGTGTATACGTAGCATGGAAGTAACAAACGTCACAAGAGTCTTCCTTTTTTGGGTCTAGCGACGATGTTATCGATAACATATGGAGATTAGGACAAATCTTAGAACTGTTGGCGTTCGCGGTGAGGCGTGTGACGGTGCTCCGGACACAATTGGAATTATTGTCGCTGTAATTAACGTCCGCGTGTGTTCGGTGCGGACTTTTTATACCTTCTTTATCGTTATTCATCGCTGAATCGTCAACGTTCGCGGAAATACGGGTATGTATCGTCGGTATAAATCTACCGTCGCGGTTTACAATACGGACTGATATCTCAACGATGTTTCTCAAACAATCGAACGTGTCGTCGATACCCCGAGATAATTATCCAAGATAATTGCTGATTGTGTGTCGGGGCCCTCTTTGGGGTCGGTTCTACCAAGCAAAATCTAGCGAGATAGTCCGCTAAGGATACGCGTGTTTGTAAGTAGCTGTAACAATTAGTAACTTATTGTTGTTTCTGTTCCTGGCGGCTAGCCTGGAAGAGATCGCGTCTCCGAGCGAATTTTGCGACGTGTGTCGAAAAGGTAAACATAATGAGAAAGATAATGAGAAAGATAGAGCGATAACGCATAGAGGGAACGCAGGCAGGGGAGGATTCCGCGGGCCCAACGAGATGGCGGATGTAACAATTGGTTTGGGGTTTACGGGACGACTGTTTTGCGCCGCGAGGGAGAATTAACGTACAGTGACTTGTGTTGAATTAGACGCGACGGATTTCCCTATAATTTACTTACTGTACTGTAGATAAATCGGCCACTGTTATTGTTGCATTCGTGAGTATTCGAGACTAACGACTTATAATTGAAAGTTTGCCTTCCTAAATTAATATTTTTGTAAGCGCATTATTTGTACCCAGAGTTATATATATATATATATATAAATATATATACAACACACATACATAGAGAGTAGAGAGAAGTATATATATCTATATACATAAGCATACAGATATATCATATATAGTGTATCACGAGATATATATATATATAATATATAATATAAAAGGGTATCATACACATACACATACATACACATACACACACACACACACACACACACACACACACACACACACACACACACACATAGTATAACTATACGAGTAACACTAATGCATCGATGTACACACAGGCAGAAACGTGTCTATATGTGTACACACACACACACACACATACACACACGCATATATACACGTTTCATGTATAATCTATGTAAATAATTGCGACGAGAGGATCGCCAGGTTCCTCGCGACGTAAAAGTAACGTCGATGTCGCCGCGACATCATTTGAGCCATGTCGTCGAGATCATTTCCAACGTCACTTCGCCATGACCCACGATTGCCTATCCCCCCCCCTCTAAGGGTTGCAGCAATAGAAACGCAGCCGGGAATCAGACAATACTACTACAATAGTAATTACAATAATTACTAGCGGGACATGAGATAAGCACGTGGCAAGGGCATTATACGGGCGCCGAAGTGTATCCGATAGATCCGATAAAGTGGTAGATGTCGTTTTTACCTTACGAGAAGGAGCTGACGACGAAGATCCGTCTCGTTTCGTTGTCTCGTGCGAATGTCGAAGCGAACATGCGAGGTGCGTCAAAGCTCACGCCCGTCTCGTGCGAGGCCTGTCTCAGTTTGTCGGAATACACAACGATCGTGTCGAGGCTCTCCTGAAAATTTGGCGAATATCAAACGCTCGAGTCGGAGTTTCTCCGCTGAAGTCGACAGTCCGATAAAACGCGAGATCTCTTCCACCAGAGAAAGATAAGGAGACGTGCAGTGAACATACCATAGACTCGTATATATGGATTGAGCGTTCCACGGGAGACTGCGAAGATTATATTTGAAAAAATGGCTCGTGTCGCAGGCGCATATTCGTCTTTTGTCTGGTCTTATTGTCGGGGGGGAAAACCTGACGCCTGTGAGCGCTGGAAGGAGGAGATACCAGGTGTCTTTTATACCTCGTCTTGGAATCTCTCTCTCTCTCTCTCTCTTTCTCGTAAGAAGACACAGTCTATATATACAAGTCTATGAAACGTACGCGGGCTGTTCGCGTGCGCCGAACGAGCTTGCGTCTTGCGTATACACACGCGCGCATATATCCACGTACATATCTCATTATAAATCGTAAGAGTCGCGTCTCGAACTCGGTGTCACACGATGTCGTCCGATGCGAAGGCGAGGCGAGATCGTGAGCAACGCCATAGGACGACTTTCGTTTCTTTTCGTTGATTGTTGCAAACGTTTCCACAGGATCGCCCGATATTTTCGCACAGTGCATCTCTTGCTCCGTGCAAGGTCGCGTTGATGTAATAGCTCGTCGTCGGGCAACCCTCTCAGATTGATTTCTCGTTTGGTCTAGTACAGCCGCGTCGGCTCTATACACTGATACGTTTTAGCGACAGCGTCGGCAGATTTACCTGCTTCACGAGACACGACGTTACTACTACCGCTCGTCCGCTCGTCCGATTGTGCGTATTGCGCTTGATTCAACTCGAACTTCACCAGCGACGATCCGAATTCACTTGTTTTCACGATACGCGAACTCGCGCTCTAACGATGTTACTATGTATTATATAATCTAGATGCAAAAATAAAACCTAGTCCATTACTAAGATCCGCGTGAAATGCCGCGGTGATGACTCACCTCTCGATTAATTAAGATATCAGCATTGACGGAGAGAGTGAACGTTACCTTTCTGAGTTTTTCCATTCCACTTCTCTATCCGCGATTCTCTTAACGCGCCGTCCGTGAAACAGAGAGATGTCAAGTTTAAGTTGTACTTAACTGTAATATCTTAATGATACCGCTACGTTGCAGCGTACATTTATTTCGCAGAGACGCTCGTCGAATGAATAACACGGGTCATGTGAATATTGTATATAAGAGAAAAATAGCATTTTATTCCATCAAGAGGAGACGCCGGAGCGTGTATGAATATATTACTTTTCAGACGCTAACGATTTCCACGACATTGTTTTAGACGCAGAAGAATTATCGAAATATGCTGCTTATTGGACAGACGAAAGCACGGTGAAATATGACATCGACGTTTGTAAAACCTTTAAAGTAAGAGTATTGAAATTCTTAAACATACTTGAGAGGGAGAGAGAGAGAGAGAGAGAGAGAGAGAGAGAGAGATGCCATAGTACATAATAAAAAATAAATATACTTGACGTAAAAATATATGATACCGCGGCAATCCTTTTTTACCGTGGTGAAGCCCTGCAGAGAGAAAATAAAGATCCTGCTGGCGCTCAGGGTGTTGGATTGCAGGCTCTTTGTTATTACGTGCAGCATTAGCTTTCGTGACTTTACGGGTATTTCGTACCAGCTGCAGTTGTATCTGGAATGATGCCACGATCGTTGAAATTTCAAACAGCAGGCATCTTTCCGTCTGAATTTGGTCATCTAGAATTTACTTTGACGTTACTGCGGTTGTCTTACATTTTGTCACGTATTTGCAGACTGTGGTCTATCAGTCTTTGACCTTCCCAACAAAAGACGAACAAGTGCACCAGTTGCGCAATCACGTAGAGAGCGTACCTTATCACTTCTATGTTGTTGCCGGAATGCAGCGTGATCTTGAAAATAACGCAAACGCGATATTTCGTTATCCGATCTTCTAATCTGTTTATATTTATATATACGTATTTATTTATATATACGTATATTTATATATACGTAATCGTTTCTCAATTAGTAGATACGTACTTGAAATAAGGTCATGCTGAGTCCTACTGTTAGGATCAATAATTCTATACCAAAACTTATGGTGAAGATACTTTCCAGAAGCTCCGCGAACCTGTGATAGAAAACTACTATAGTAGTAGTATTTTGAAACAGGACGTCTCTCCCTCTCTCTCTCTCTCTCTCTCTTACTATTCTACTACATTATTTACGCTTTGAAAAATTTTACTTTGAGTTTTTAATCAACACTCGGATCGGTAGATATTCCGTGTATTTTCATCATGCGCTATAATATATGTTTGCAATGTTACGTACTCACTCTAGAGCCGCCCAATGTATTTTCACGCAGTGCGCCATTCTTTGGTTGTACACTTTATCCAGAGTGTTATTAACAACTCGTATTATGTCGATACTCTCGCACATCAGGTGCTCGAATCGAAATCTGCAAATTTATACGCGAAATCACCGCAAGTACAACAACCAAGAGGTCTGCTGTTCCAAGTCGGGTTGTTCTTACCCGGCCACTGCGAAGGTGCCGCAGACGTGCTCGACGAAAGTCATAAACATAGTATCATAAGCAACCAGTCCCATCATACTTACTACCCCGGCCAGGAAACCTTGAGAAAAAATGTAAAAGAAATATTTCCTCTCGTCGACAAAGTAATACGCCTCGAAAGGCAGCGTTACAGGACGTGACTCGTTGAGGGGCAACACGATGTCCAGTACTCGCGATATGAGAGCCATTGCCATGAATATGGCAACACCGATCAGACAGACCGCTGCAATAAGCAACTGGCCCGTAAAAAACAGAAAGAAAGACAGAAATATATCTATATACGATCGGTGAAATGGCACCGTTGACGTGCTTACCGGAATACGCGAGGACGAGCCACTTCGCACCCGTGGCGTACATTTTCATGATCTCGTACTCTTCTGGGGTTTGCAAGTTCTCCCAATCGTCAATCACGCGTTTGGTAAGGATCCTCATCTGATTGCGACAGCAACAAACGTTAAATCTTATATAATCGAATTTACGAGGAATCGCGTGCCAAATTGGCGAGGATCGACTTGCAGCCTGCACTCGAGCGTATTTAACATACTTTGCTGCTCTTGTACTGACAAAGGCACGTCTTCAACATAATTACGATCATCAACATGTACGACGGCATAACCCTCAGAATGCACTCCACGTCCCCGTCGCACTGAATAAACTTGCACATCTGAAAGTGTCGTCGCTATCAGCTATAACAGAAACCGTAGCTCCGCGTGTCACGTTAGTTGTGTGATTTTTCATTATCCGCAGAGTCGAGTGCAGAGACGAGCGAGTGACAGCCATGGGCGTAAAATTCGACGGACAGAAGCTCAAACCTGCGGCACGTTTATGACAAGCACATTCGACATTATCACACCCGTCCTCAACATCCTGTTCCTCTTATTCTGATAGGGCCATTGACCGGTGAGCAGTGACAATCTTTTCGTGACGTCGTAATAACGGTTCCAAGTAGACTTCATGCTTCGTCAATAACTGCCTCGCTGTCGGTCACACTCGGGTTGAGTGAACGTCGCGACTTTTGCTCTTCGGCGGACGAATTAATAATTCATCTGGACAAGACCGTGCGTACTCGGACGGTGGAGGAAGCTGCGTAGCAATTACGCAAGCCGCGTCTACCAATGACAAAGTACATGAAACTTGACAGGGTAGCATTTGCACAACGTCGTTAGTAAAATATGAGTTATACATTCGACTCTCCCCTCCGTGCGAAAAGTATCGATCAAAATGTTGAAGGGGGACATAAGTTGTTCTGACCGCGGGGCAAGGGGTGATAAGTTTCTTCGTTCGAGGATGACCCACCAGTCGCATACGTTAGGGGATGATAAGAATTGCGATTGTAAACCATGAGTGCAGAAATCGGCCGCTTGATGCTCGCAATTTGTTCTTCTGTCCGAGGACTGTTCGATCCTCTTTCGACACAGAAATTCATCTTGCGTGTATCACCGTTGGTGGAAGGACACACACGAATAACAGCCTTGAGGAATACTTCTTTTTGCGGCGACAAACAGGGCAATTTGTTGTATCGCAAATTATACAGGTAAATCAAACTTTCAAGTGGTGCGAATACGAGAAAAATAAAATTGACTTTATTTTGTCTTACAAGACTACATATTGGAGCATATACGGTATTGCATGAACTCATGGAAACTCCCATTATTTAATTACTGACCGTCGCTGACTAGTCGACCGACGAAAGCACGGTAAAATATGACACCGACGTTTGCACCACCTTTAAAAAACACAAAAATTTGGTCATGGGACACGAGGCGGTGCATGATGCGTAATAATGAAACAAGCACATTTAATCGCTGTAACTTTATAATCGCTATGGGCATTTCTTTACCGCGGTGAAGCCTTCTAGAGAGAAAATGAAGACGCTGCTAGCAGTCAAGAATTTTGGTCGCAGGCTCCTCTTCATTACGTGCAGAATCAACCTTTGCGACTTTGCAGGTATTTTGTACCAATTACAGCTGTATCTAGAATGTATTTTAATCGTTACGAATATTTTGTCGGATTGCTCTTTAGCTGGCAAACTTGCGGATTTATTTTGAAGTTACCAGGGCTGCCTTACATCTTGTCACGTATTTGCAGACTATGATCTATCAGTCTTTGACCTTCCCAACAAAAGACGAATAAGTGCACCAGTTGCGCAATCACGTAGATGAGGTACCTCATTGCTTCCACGATGTTCGACTGAGACGTGACCTGACAGCGACAAATTTAATATTTTGCTACCTGGTCTTGCAGTCCGATTACAATTATAACAACGCTCCATTACGCGGTAAAATTAAACGTATGCTGATGAAAACGTGAAAATTTCTCAACAGACAGGACACACTTACTTGAAATAAAGTTATACTCATTACTATCGTCACCAACAGTAATTCTATACCGAAGTTTAAGGAGAAAGTTTCCTCAAGATGTCCCGCGAATCTGTGGCAGAAAAGCGCTACAACAGCGTGATATTGTAAATATTTTTATATTACTTTTCTCCAATATTTCGTACTCACTCTATAGCCGCACAATGCATTTCCACGCAGTACGCTATTCTTTTATTATACACGACACCGAGATCGTTGCGCACGATTTCCATTACGTCGGTATCCTCACGCACCAAACGCTCGAAACGGAATCTGTAAATTGTTATGTCGCACTTAACGTCGGCGTCAGGCGATATTATCAAGTTAAACGATAAATAACGCGCATGCGCGTCACACTCACCCTGTTACTGAGAAGATGCCGCATAAGTGTTCGACGAAGGTCATGAACATGGTGTCGTAAGCGACCAGCCCTATTACAACTATTTCCGCGGCCACGAAGCCTTGCGAGAAAATGTAAAAGAAGTATTTTCTCTCGTCGACGAAATAATACGCCTCGTAAGGCAGCACTATAGGGCGGGATTCGTTGAGGGGTAACACTCTGTCCAGTATATAGGGCACGAGAGACACCATCACAAACACGGTAACGCTTACCAGACAGACCGCTGCAACAATCGTTGGTCTTTATTGCCGATTGTAAAAGTGCGGTTAAACCGAAATTGATGCGTCCTTACTGGAATACATAAAGACTATCCATCTCGCATTCGCGACGTACGTCTTCATGATCTTGTACTCTTCTGGATTCTTTCTCAATCCCTCCCAATCGATGAACACGCGATCGGTGAGAGCTTTAATCTGGATAAATATTGTATGTATTTTTCAGGAAATTGTACTCTCCTCAGTGTATACGCGAATTTAAGGGGACTGGAGGGTCAGATTACTGAAAAATCGTGCTTGTTTTTGATAATACTTTATGACGAACTGAATAAATGTGCAAGAATGAAAATTTTAGATATATTTATCTAACATATGAAGAGTAGAAAAATTTTGTTTATTAACAAATACTTATATAAATATAAGTCCATTTAAATTTTAAACGCGTTTTTCTCGAAATTTTATTGTTCAACTTTTTGCAGTGATTTCTCCGAAACTGAGCTTCGTATCGATTTGAAATTTTAAAGCAATAATATTTGTTCATCTGGCTCTCAGGTGAACCATGGACAATTACGTCAAAATATTTAATTTCGAGATATTGATTTTTTTATTGTGAAAGAACTGAAAAATTTGGATATTTTCTTAATAATAGCTGCCATTTTGTTAATTTTGTTAGATTTTTTTTTTGTAATGGTTCACCGGATAATGATAAGCCTCCTCAAGATTTTTAGCTAAAATTCGCTCTGATCGGATCATCGAGAGCCGAGATATTGCTGCAAAAACGACAACTTGGAAAAAAAGGAGAGTATATTTCAACTATATATATCGTATATTTGTATGAGTATTTGTTAATAAACAAAATTTTTCTACTCTTCATATGTTCTATAAATATACCTAAAATTTTTATTCTTGCACATTTATTCAGTTCGTCACAAAATATTATGAAAAACAAACACGATTTTTCAGCAATCTGACTTTCCAGTCCCCTTTATAAGCGAATTTATTAACGTACCCCGCTACTCTTCATTTGGCCTACATACAGCTTGAGAAAAACCACGATTATCAATATGTACGCTGGCATAATCCTGAAAATGCAGTCAAAATCTCTGTCGCAGCGAGCAAACATGCATATCTGGAAACAACATTGCTAGCAAGTTGCTTAATTGAATTAATTATTAGCTCAACTCTACATGTTCAATGCGGTTAATTGAAGGAGGGCCACAAGCAACGAACTATTTATACCGAAATAGAAATTTAATGACTACGTGTTCGTAAAAGTAAGGTTGCTTAAATGTTCTGCGTACCACATATATCACGCGATTCGTTATCCGCTGTCGAAAGAGGAACGAGTATGACAGGTGAGGGCGTGAGTTTGATAGAGGCTCGAACCTGCGGAACAAGCATGACAAGTATAGCCATCGTTATCACGCTTAGCCTGAGCACCTTGTCATTCCTATCCTGATGAGGCCACTGACCGGTGAGCAACAAAAACTTCTTTGTAACGCCGTAATAACTATCCCAAGTGGATTCCATGCTGTTTCCGAGGTAGTGTTACGTCCTCGACTGTCCGCGATTGATTGAATTTCGCGTATTCTCTTCCGGCGAGAAGATCGAATTATTAATTCACGCGTGTCGATATTACCACACTCGAATTCTGTCGCGTGCGGAGTCTCGCGAGTGACAGGTGAATATAATTCCGCAAGGTGATGGTTGTGTGTACTCTGCCATCTTGGCGAAACAACAGTCGCATGCGCTACGCCCCCTCCTCCGTGTTTGAAGTATTAATCAAAACGTCAGAAGAGAAAATAAGTTTCTCTTTACTATCATGTAAAGGGTGGAAAGTATTCTCTTTCGAGGAGCGCACATCAAGGACACATGGCAAGAGCCCATAAGAATTGCGATTCTAAGTCACGAGAGATCGTTTATTTTGCCGCTTGCAAAAACACAAGTATGACTTGTTCTTTATGTCACATCGGTAAATCGGCTTTATTGGTAGCCGTTAATAGTTTTATTGCAGTTATGTGTAAAGGATTAAAATTTCATGCGTATCTTATGCGTTCTTAATGCCAAGCGTAAATTATGTGTGAGACATATATTTGTTTTTTTTCTTCTTTGCTTGTTCTTTCCCTTTTTTTTTTCCTTTAGAAAAAGAATGCCGTCGATCTGTTGTTGTGTATACCTTTGAAGAAAAGCACACAATTGTAATAAAAATATTGAATTTATTCTTGCTTCTAATACCTAACCTAACCTAACCATTCATATCGCACGAGGTGTGAGTATTGCATATGAAAATCCGAAATGGGCATTCGGAGCGTTGAAAAACAATAACGATCACAGTGAGGTCAATGGTGGAGAAAACGATGTGTTTACGGAAGATAGAGACGCCGATTATAAAAACGATGTCGCGACAGAGGTAGGCAGTTAGTCGCTGTTGGACGCCCGAAAGAGACGTGCTATCGCCACTCGTGCAGAAAGTTGGTGAGTGTTAATCAAACCGTTGTTTTTTAATGTTCATCGGGTGACCGAAGTCGAGCATTGTTCCCTTATATAGTAATTAGTTGATTTCTCTCAGTCCCAAATACTACTGTCGTCGTGCGTTTCCCTTCCGACATCGATCCGATTCAGATGTTTTCTTGGTCGCCAGACCAGACTCGCCGTGCGTTTTCCCGGGGGGGGGGGGGGCTGGTATGACCTAAGTGATCTGAGCCAGCAGCTGAGAGGGACATCTCGTGCGCTTTCCCTTAATGTCCACTGTACCTTTTGGTGCTGGATGGTGAGCTTTAGGTAGGGATACGTTGGTGATTTCCTCTAGTGCTTTCCCTTGGAGATCTCTGACTGCCCGCCAGCGGTTCGAGTATGCGCGTACCCATTTGAACCGCCATTTTTAATCAATTATCGCGTGAGGTAATTACACAAAAGCCTAAAGGTGTTCGGGCACTCGGTGCGTCTCCGTATCCCGCTCGACCTCCACCGGCGAGCGTCTGAATTATATTATCGTTATGCTGTCTATTGTTTTTTCTGTGTTTACTACCTCGAACCGCTCGTCTATTCATTCGGCTCTTAGTGTGTATGCATAAGGCAAATAAACAAAAGAAGAAAGGTCATGTCTATACATGGGACTCGCTCCCATGTTGTTTGTTTATACATCCTATACGTTACTCTTACATATGATCAATTATTTCGCATTACGCTTGTGATTTTAATCATTTTATTACACGCGCAAATTATCACCAGATCGATTTCAGATTCACATCATCCGTTCTTTGAAAACTGTCCAGGTTTCATTAAACGTAACTTGTAAAGAGAGAATGTTGAGCATAATCGAAGCATTTTTGATAAACGGATAATGAGTGGATTATGAATAATGAGTATACTAAAAATAATATTTTATTCTTTTTTGTGAAACTGGGCATGTTGGAGAATATATGTATGGTATATTGTTACTTTCCGAATAATGTGGCTATGTGTGTATGTGTATGTGTATATGTTATTTCTATTGACAACACTATTGTCAATTTTTTCACAGAAATATTATTTAAACATTAATCATTGATTACTGGACAGACGAAAGCACGGTAAAGTATGACATCGACGTTTGCACTACCTTCAAAATAAGATCGCTAAAATTCTTAAAAGGATTTGAAACAGCGCGACTCGCGTCGTAATGTCGAGCAATAAAAGTAAATAAATTTGATTTAAATAAGTTATGTCTCTTTTTTACCGTGGTGAATCCTTGCAGAGAGAAGATAAAAATTTTACCGGCGCTCAAGAATTTCGGTTGCAAGCTCCTTTTTAGCACATGCAAGATTAGTCTTTGCGACTCTGCGGGTATTTTATACCAAGTGCAGCCGTATCTGCAACGTTACGATTATCGTCGAAACTTTCATTGGCGCATATTTTGTCATTAGAATTTCTTCGTCGAAAATCTACTTCGAGGTTACTATAGTTGTCTTACATCTTGTCACGTATTTGCAGACTGTGGTCTATTAATCTTTGACCTTCCCAACAAAAGACGAACAAGTGTACCAGTTGCGCACCCACGTAGATGACGTACCTTATTACTTCCCAGATGTCATCGGATTGTAATGTGATCTCGAAAATGTGAAATCAAGGCAAATGTAATATCTTGTTATTTAATCTTACAATCCCAAATTATGATTGTAAACGTGACCGGTGATATTTTTCGATTTTCTCTATGCAATTTTTCCACAGATTAGGCACTTACTTTAAATAAAGTAATGCTCATTCCTCCTGTCATCATCAGTATTTCTATACCGAAAGTTAAAGAAAAGATGTTCTCAAGATGCTCCGCGAATCTGTAGCAAAGTATAACATTGACAATTTTTAGAATAGCAGTTTTACGACGGTAGTTAAATATTTCAACAAGTTACAACACGATTATTATTTTTTATTGTTCAACAAAATACCGATATCAGTTATTATGTTATTGTAACTTTCAACGATTTAAAATTAAACTGCTCATCTCACATTAAATTTTATCCGAAATCATCTGAAGTGCAATTTGAATTTTTTTCTTTAACCGATTATTAACTAAAAATTACTGCGAGGCTCCAGTATTCTCGAAAAAGAAAAATCCCGACTAACCAGGGATTAACCTATTTGATCTTAAAAAGTAATAGAAACAGGAGTGGGGGTGATATATGTTCTAATTTTATACTGTAACATAATTTCAATGTTACATACTCACTCTAGAGCTGCTCGATGCGCGTGCACGCTGCAAGCTATTTTTTTATTGTACATATCCAGATCGTTATTAACAGTTTTCATTAGGTCGGTATCCTCGTGTACCAAACGCTCGAAACGAAATCTATAAGTGATTGAAATGCGAAACTCGTGACATCACACTAAGGTACGAATGAAAAGCGTTATTCTTACCCAGCCACGGCGAAGGTGCCGCACGCGTGTTCCACGAAAAACATAAACATGGTGTCATGAGCGATAAGCCCCATTATAACTATATGCAAGGCTATCAGACCTTGGAGGAAAATGTACAAGTAGTATTTCCTCTCGTCGACGAAGTAATACGCCTCGTAAGGCAGCACTATAGGGCGGGATTCGTTGAGTGGTAATACAACGTTCAGCATGTAAGGTATGAAAGCCACCAATACGAATAGAGTGGTACCGGCCAGGCAAAACGCTGCAACAGATATATGTTCCTCCTCGTCGATGGTGGAAAAGCAGAAGAACGGGAATCAAACCGTCAGCTTTCTCACCAAAGTATATAAGGGCGATCCATTTCGCGTTTGCAACGTAAGTTTTCATGATTTCATACTCTTCCGGACTTTGCAATCTCCCCCAATCGACAAACACGCGATCGGTGAGTGTCTTGATCTAAATATAACCGGCCAATCATTAAATTTCGTAGGACTGTCCGAGGAAGAGTTTCACGCGACGCGGATCTAAATGTATTGACGTACTTTGCTAGAGCTGCTTGTGTACACATTCATCGTAATAAAAAGTACTAACAAGTACGACGGCGTAGTCCCGAGGACGCACTCTAGGTCTTTGTGGCAATAAACAAACTTGCACGTCTGGAAACATTATGGCCAGATTGCTCAACACAAGTAATTATCACGCGTCTTTACGCGTATTCAATGCAACTGATTAAAAGAAAACCAAAGAGAGCGTCAAACATTAAAATCGATACACAATCTATTCGTGAAAATTGAACTTTGAGTCTACCGATATGAAAACAAAAAGTAGGTCACGTGGCTCGTCATCCACTGCCGAATAAAGAAACGAGGCTGACAGGTGCGACGACTTCGCGAAAAGCGACTCTAACCTGAGGAATGTTCATGACGAGCAATGCTGTCGTCATCATGCTCAACTTGAGCAGCTTCTCTCTTTTATTCTGATAAGGCCACTGACCGACGAACGATAAGAGTTTCTTCATGAAGCTGTAATAACGATCCCAAGTGAATTCCATGCTGTTTCGAGATAGTGTTACGCCCTCGATTGCCCGCGACTGATTGAATTTCGCGTATTCTCCTCCGGCGAGAAGATCGAATTAATAATTCACGCGTGTCGATATTACCGCACTCGAATTCTGTCGCGTGCGGAGTCTAGCGAGTGACAGGTGAATACAATCCCGCAAGGTGGTATTTGCGTGTACTCTTGGTCGTCTTGGCGAAACAACAGAGTTGAGTGAATGCGCTGCACCCTCCACCGCGTTTGAAATATTAATCAAAACGTCAGAGTAAATAAGCTCCTCTTTACCGTGGTGCAAAGGGTGGAAAGTTTTCTTCGTCGAAGAGCGTACATCAAGAACACGTGCCAAGAGCCCATAAGAATTGCGATTCTAAGTCAAGAGAGATCGTTTGTTTTGCCGCTTGCAAAAACACAAGTATGACTTGTTCTTTATGTCACATCGGTAAGTCGACTTTATGGGTAGCCGTTAGTAGTTTTATTGCCATTATATATAAAGAATTAAAATTTCATACATATCATTGCGTTCTTTATACCGAGCGCAAATTATAATCAATTATTTCTCATTATATTTGTTATTTTATTCATTTTATTACACGCGCAAATTGCCAAACCGATTTTAGATTGACATCTTTTGTTTTTTGAAAACTGCTCAGGTTTCGTTAAGCGTGTAACTTGTAAGGAGAAAATGTTGAGCATGATCGGAGCATTTTTGTTAAACGGATAATAGGGATTATAAATAATGAACATATTATTAAAAATAGTATTTTATTCTGTTTTGTGAAACTGGACATGCTGGAGAGCATATGTATATTGTTACTTTCCGAATAATGTAGGTATGTGTGTATGTTGGTACGTGTATATGTCACACTGGTCATTACATAACTGTCAGTTTTTTCATAGAAATTTTATTTAAACATTAACCGTGAATTACTGGACGGACGAAAGCACGGTAAAATATGACATCGACGTTTGCACTACCTTCAAAATAAGAACGCTAAAATTCTTAAAAGGATTTGGGGCAACGCGACATGCGTCATAATGTTTTAACAATGAAATAAATATATTCGACTTAAATAAATTATATCGCTTCTTTACCGTGGTAAATCCCTGCAGAGAGAAGATAAAAATTTTACCAGCGCTCAAGAATTTCGGTTGCAAGCTTCTTTTTAGCACATGTAAAATTAGCCTTTGCGACTCTGCGGGTATTTTATACCAAGTGCAGCCGTACCTGCAACGTTACGACGTTACGATTATTGTCGAAACTTCCGTTGGCGCAGATTTTATCGTTGGGACTTCTTTGTCGAGAATCTACTTCGAGGTTAGTAGTAGTCCGTAATTGTCTTACATTTTGTCACGTATTTGCAGACTGTGGTCTATCAGTCTTTGACCTTCCCAACAAAAGACGAACAAGTGTACTAGTTGCGCACCCACGTAGATGACGTATCTTATTACTTCCCAGATGTCGTCAGATTGTAACGTGATCTCGAAAACGTGAAATCAAAACAAAGGTAATATTTCGTTATTTAGTCTTGCAGTTCGAAGTTATAATTGTAAACGTGACCGGTAATATTTTTCGATTTTCATTGAGCAATATTGTCACAGATTAAGCACTTACTTGAAATAAAGTAATACTCATTCCTACTGTCACCATCAGTATTTCTATACCGAAAATTAAGGAGAACATATTCTCAAGATATTCCGCGAATCTAGAGCAAAGCATTATATTGACGATTTTTAGAATAGCAGTTTTACGATGATAGTACTTTTAAACATTTCAACAAGTTACAACACAATTATAGTTTAACAAAAATACCGATATTAGTTATTGTGTTTATCGTAACTTTGAACAATTTAGAATTAAATTGCTTATGTCATATTGAGTTTCATCCGAAATCATCTGAAGTGTAGTTTAATTTTTTTTATAACCGATTATTAACTAACAATTATCGCGAGAGACCAGCATTCTCGAGAACGAAAAGTTGTGATTATTTGAGGGATTAGCCCCATAGAACTTAAAAAATAATTAAGTGTAAAATAAGGAAGTGTGAGTTGGTTATAAATATTCTCATTTTGTACTGTAATATAATTACAATGTTACATACTCACTCCAGAGCGGTCCGATGCGCATGTACGCTGCAAGCTATTCTTTTATTGTACATATTATCCAGCTCGTTATCAACAGTTTTCATTACACCGGTATCTTTGTGTACCAAATGTTCAAAACGGAATCTGTAAATGATTGGAATGCGAAACTCGTGATATCACGTGAAGGAACGAATGAAAAGCGTTATTTTTACCCAGCTACGGCGAAAATGCCGCACGCGTGTTCCACAAAAAATATGAACATGGTGTCATGAGCGATAAGCCCCATTATAACTACATGCAAGGCTATCAGACCTTGGAGGAAAATGTAAAGGAAGTATTTCCTCTCGTCCACGAAATAATACGCCTCGTAAGGCAGCACTATAGGGCGGGATTCGTTGAGTGGTAACACAATGTCCAGTATGTACGGTATGAGAGCCATCAACACGAATATAGTGCAACCGCCGAAGCAAACAGCTGCAATAAATGTATGTTTCTCCTTGTCAATGGTGGAAAAGCAGATGAACGAGAATCAAACCAGCGGCTACCTCACCGAAATATATAAGAGCGGACCATCTTGCATTTGCGATGTAGCTCTTCATGATTTCGTACTCTTCCGGATTCTGCAATTTCCCCCAATCGATGAACACACGATCGGTGAGTGCCTTGATCTAAATATAACCGGCCAGCGTTAAACTTTGTTGGACTGTCCGAGAAAGCGACACTCACTCGACACGGATCTAAATGTATTGACGTACTTTGCTAGAACTGCTTGTGCACATATTCATCATAATCAAGATTATTAACATGTACGATGGCATAATCCCGAGAATGCACCCTAGGTCTTTGTTGCAATAAACAAACTTGCACGTCTGGAAACATTATCGCCAGAATGTTCAACAAAAAAAATTATCACGCCCTTATGCATATCCAGTGTAATTAATTAAAGAAGAACTAAAGGAAGCGTCGAACGTTGAAGTCGATGAGCAATTTACTCGTTAAAGTTGGATTTTAAGTTTTCCGACATGAAAACAAAGTAGGTCACGTGACTCGTCATCCAGTGCCAAATGTAGAAACGGAGATGACAGATGCAACGAATTCGCGAAAAGCAGTTCTAACCTGCGGAATGTTTATGATGAGCAATGCTGTCGTTATCATGCTTATCTTGAACAGCTTCTCCCTTTTATTCTGATAAGGCCACTGACCGCCGAACGATGAGAGTTTCTTCATGAAGCTGTAATAATGATCCCAGAATTCCATGCTGTTTTGAGATAGTGTTACGTCCTCGATTGCCCGCGACTGATTGAATTTCGTGTAGTCTCCTCCGGCGAGAAGATCGAATTAATAATTCACGCGTGTCGATATTACCACACTCGAATTCTGTCGCGTGCGGAGTTTAGCGGGTGACAGGTGAATATAATCCCGCAAGGTGGTATTTGTGTGTACTCTTGGCCGTCTTGGCGAAATAACAGAGTTGGGTGAATGCGCTGCACTCTCCTCCTCGTTTGAAATATTGATCAAAACGTCAGAGTAAATAAGCTCCTCTTTATCGTGGTGCAAAGGGTGGAAAGTTTTCTTTGTCGAAGAGCGTACATCAAGAACACGTGCCAAGAGCCCATAAGAATTGCGATTCTAAGTCAAGAGAGATCGTTTGTTTTGCCGCTTGCAAAAACACAAGTATGACTTGTTCTTTATGTCTCATCGGTAAGTCGACTTTATGGGTAGCCGTTAGTAGTTTTATTACCATTATATATAAAGGATTAAAATTTCATACATATCATTGCGTTCTTTATACCGAGCGCAAATTATAATCAATTATTTCTCATTATATTTGTTATTTTATTCATTTTATTACACGTGCAAATTGTCAAACCGATTTTAGATTGACATCTTTTGTTCTTTGAAAAATGCTCAGGTTTCGTTAAGCGTAACTTGTAAGGAGCGTAATCGAAGCATTTCTGTTAAATGGATAATAATAGAGATAATGAATAACGAGTATACTAAAAATAGTACTTTATTCTGTCTTGTGAAACTGAGCATGTTGGGGAATATATATATATAAATATGTATATATTGTTACTTTCCGAATAATGTGAGTATGTGTGTATGTCACACCGGTCATTACACAATTGTCAATTTTTTTTACAGAAATATTATTTAAACATTACCCGTTGATTACTGGACGGACGAAAGGACGGTAAAGTATGACATCGACGTTTGCACTACCTTCAAAATAAGAGAGCTAAAATTCTTAAAAGGATTTGAGACAGTGTCTCATATGTCGTAATGTCTAACAATAAAATGAATACAATCGATTTAAATAAAATATATCGCTTCTTTACCGTGGTGAATCCTTGCAGAGAGAAGGTAAAAATTTTACCAGCGCTCAAGAATTTCGGTCGCAAACTCCTTTTTTGCACATGCAAGATTAGCCTTTGCGACTCTGCGGGTATTTTATACCAGGTGCAGTCGTACCTGCAACGTTACGATTATCGTCGAAACTTTCATTGGCGCATATTTTGTCATTAGAATTTCTTCGTCGAAAATCTACTTCGAGGTTACTATAGTTGTCTTACATCTTGTCACGTATTTGCAGACTGTGGTCTATCAGTCTTTGACCTTCCCAACAAAAGACGAACAAGTGTACCAGTTGCGCACTCGCGTAGATGACGTATCTTGTTACTTCCCAGATGTCGTCGGATTGTAAAGTGATCTTGAAAATGTGCAATCAGAAATGGTAATATCTCGTTATTCAGTCTTACAGTTATGATTGTAAACGTGACCAGCGATATTTTTCGATTATCTCTACTCAATTTTTTCGCAGATTAGGCACTTACTTGAAATAAAGTAATACTCATTCCTATTGTCATCAACGCTAATTCTATACCGAAACTTAAGGAAAAGATATTCTCAAGATACTCCGCGAATCTGTAGCAAAGCATTACACCGGCAATTTTTAGAACAGCAGTTTCACGATGGTAGTACTTTTGTACAGTTTATTGTTTCACCACTTCATGTAAATCTTATAGTTTTTCAAAAAGTTACAAATACTATTATCGTTCAGCAAAAGTATCGATATTAATCATATTATGTTTATTTTGAAGAAATTTAAAATTAAAACTGCTCATTTCATATTGAATTTCATCCGGAAGCACCTGAATGTAGTTTGAGTTTTTCTCTTTAATCGATTATTAACTAACAATTACCACGGGGCCTCAGTGTTCTCGAGAAGGAAAAATCGCGATTAACCGCGAATTAACCTATTCGTTCGTAAATAATAATAGAAGTATAACTAAGTTCTCAAAAAATAATAGTTACATACTCACTCTAGAGCTGCCCGATGCGCGTGCACGCTGTAAGCTATTTTTTTACTGTACTTATTATCCAGCTCGTTATCAACAGTTTTCATTAGACAGGTATCTTCGTGTACCAAACGCTCGAAACGGAATCTGTAAATGATTGGAATACGAAACTCGTGACATCACGAATTAAGGGGACTGGAGAGTCAGATTACTGAAAAATCGTGCTTGTTTTTTGATAATGTTTTGTGACGAACTGAATAAATGTGCAAAAATGAAAATTTTTGATATATTTATATAACATATGAAGAGTAGAAAAATTTTGTTTATTAATAAATATTCATATAAATATACGTCCACTTAAATTTTAAATGCGTTTCTCTCGAAATTTTATTGTCCAACTTTTTGCAGTGATTTCTCCGAAATTGAGCTTCGTATCGATTTGAAATTTTAAAACAATAATATTTGTTCATTTGGCCCTCAGGTGAACCATGGACAACTCCGTCAAAATATTTTATTTCGAGATATTAATTTTTTTATTGTAAAAAACTGAAAATTTTGAATTTTTTCCTAATAATAGCTGCCATTTTGTTAATCTTATTCGATTTTTTTTTATAGTGCTTCACCGGATAATGATAAGCCTTCTTAAGATTTCTAGCTCAAATTCGCTCTGATCGGACCACCGAGAGCCGAGATATTACTGCAAAAACGACAACTTGAAAAAAAAGGAGAGTATATTTCAGCTATATATATATATCGTATATTTATATGAGCATTTGTTAATAAACAAAATTTTTCCGCACATGTTATATAAATATACCTAAAATTTTCATTCTTGCACATTTATTCAGTTCATCGCAAAATATTGTCAAAAACAAGCATGATTTTTCAGCAATCTGACCCTCCAGTCCCCTCAAAGGACGAAAGAAAAGCATTACTCTTACCCAGCCACGGCGAAGATGCCGCATGCATGTTCCACAAAAAATATAAACATGGTGTCATGAACGATAAGCCCCATTATAACTATATCAGCGGCTACTAGACCATGGAGGAAAATATAAAAGAAGTATTTTCTCTCGTCGACAAAATAATATGCCTCGTAAGGCAGCACTATAGAGCGGGATTTGTTGAGTGGTGACATAATGTCCAGCACGTATGGTATGAGAGCCACCAACACGAATAGAGTGCAACCGGCCAAGCAAAACGCTGCAACAAATGTACGTCTTTCCTCGTTGATGGTGGCAAAGTAGAAGAACGGGAATCAAACCGTCGGCTTCCTCACCGAAATATATAAGGGCGATCCATCTCGCGTTTGCGACGTAAGTCTTCATGATTTCGTACTCTTCCGGATTCTGCAATCTTCCCCAATCGACGAACACGCGATCGGTGAGTGTCTTGATCTAAATATCACCGGCCAACATTAAATTTCGTAGAACCGTCCGGAAAAGCGTTTCACTCGACGCGGATCAAAACGTATTGACATACTTTGCTAGAGCTGCTTGTGTACACATTCATCATAATCAAGAGTACTAACAGATACGACGGAGTAGTCCCGAGAATGCACTCTAGGTCTTTGTTGCAATAAACAAATTTGCACGTCTGGAAACATTATCGCCAGATTGCTCAACAGAAGTAATTATTATACATATCCGATAATTAAAGGAGAATTAAAGGAGAACCAAAGAGATTGTCGAACGTTGAAGTCGACACGAAATTTACTCGTTAAAATTTGAGTCTACCGATATGAAAACAAAGTAGGTTACTTGACTCGTCACCCCGTGCCGAATGTAGAAACGAGGGTGACAGGGTGCGACGAATTCGCGAAAAGAGACTCTAACCTGCGGAATATTCATGACGAGCAATGCTGTCGTCATCATGCTCATCTTGAACAGCTTCTCTCTTTTATTCTGATAAGGCCACTGACCGATGGACGATGAGAGTCTCCTCATGACGCTGTAATAACGGTCCCAAGTGAATTCCATGATTTTCGAACGAGTACTTCGCTTTCGACGTTGCCTGCATCTCGAATTTTCTCCACAAACGTGAGGAACAGATCAATAATTCATGTGAACGACGGTGCATACGGACCGGAATAGAGTGCTACGTACGCATCGATATCACCCACTTGGAACTTTCTGCAGCTTAGTAATCGCACGCGTCGCGTCTCCCACAGTGACAGGCAGGTGCAATTTGACAGCGTGACATTTGTTCATTAGTGAAGCAACAGTGCTTCGCACGCTATGCCTCCCTCCGTACGGAAAGTATCAATCAAAACGTCCGAGGAGGGAATGAATTCTTTTTACTGTCGGGGGAGCATGAAGGACTCCTTTTTTTGAGCTGCCAGGTATTGGAAACACGCGGAATGGCCAGTCATGAATTCTAAGTCATGAGCGACGCTTTTCGCAAGGATCTTTCGTCTCGACGCGACTGCTCTGTCTTCGATAAATTTAATTTCGCGTGTGGTGTCGCTGATGAGGAGGAAGCTGTAACAATCATGAGCATGATCTGCATCTCAAACATCGGGAAATTCAATTTATCATGTGAGGATTGCACATTCTTAGTCAATTATTTAGTAAATTATAAGCGATTGTCGTTCAATAATCGTTATTTTTCCCTCCTCGTTATATAAAACATGTCGACTAAATATATTTTTAAAAATCGTTTCAAGGATGTCCAACTTGCTTTCAAGTGCGATTTCAAAGAATAATAAAAAGCGCGTTCGTATCTAACAGCATATTTTATTGTTTACATCTATAGATATATCTTATCGCCACACACGCATGAAGTAATCCCTTAATTTCGGATGCAGATATAATTTTGGACGCATCAACGATTGACTGATCACTCCATAGACGCCAGTACCGTGAAGTATGACATCGAAGTTTGCAAGATCTTCGAGGTAAGATAACATATGAGATTAAAAAAGCCGCTATTTGCTGACACGTCTGAAACACTCGCGTTGTGTTACAACGTTGCTTTACCATGCTGAAGTTCTCCATGGAGAAGACGTAAATGCCAGCGCTGATACAGGAAGGTTGAATGCTTCTCCTCATCACGAAAAGGAGCATCTTTTGCGTCCTTATGGGCACCTCGTACCAACGGCTGTTGTAGCTGCAACGCAAAGCGATGCAACGGAACGCCGACTATGAATAACCAGACGCGGTCGATGATCATTATATGGAACCTTTCTCGCCTTACATCTTCTCGCGCGTCTGAAGGCTGTGGTCCATCAATTTCTGTCCCTCGAAGCTCAGGCAGAATAGGTGAATCAGTTGAGCAACCACGTAGAGAATGTATCTTATCAGTCCTATCATGTCGTTGACTTGCAGCGTAATCTTGAGGCCGAAAAATATAAAGATTTCATTTCCCTCACACTCATATTGTTATTATTCGTGATTAATACATCATTCGCATGCTGTGCGATACTAATATCAAAAATACGATAATACATGAGCCAGCCATTTCTCTCGAGGAGCAACAGCTCGTCTAAGCAACATGCAAAATCTGATACAGGCAAACACGTACTTGCATCAAAGTGATGCTTATCAGCACCGTAATTATCACTACCTGTAAAGCCAACGTTAACGAGAAGGTATCTTCGAGCAGCTGCGCGAAACTGTGGTGAGTCAGCGGAATAAACATTATACAATCATGTACGGTTAATAGAAATTTTCATTCGTTCGCGTCACGAGCACACACTTACCGTATGCCCCTCCGATGCACTTCCACCGAGAACGCGATTCGTTTGTGATACGAGACTTCCGGTCGAGCGCGTACGATCGTCGCAGGGTTCATGTGTTCGTACAGCAACCGATCGAACTGAAATCTGCGAGTATTGACGCGACATTAACGCGCATGACGACATGTGAAACAATTAACCGCACTCACCCGACTATCGCGAAAACGCCGCAGACGTGCTCAACGTAAGTCACGAGCAGGCAATCATGGGCGATTACGCCGAACAGTACAATTTCCCAGGACAAGATGGAGTACCAGTAAATATAGTAGAAGTATTCCCTGTCGTCGACAAAGTAGTACGCCGGATGCGGCATGACAAGAGGGCGAGATTCGTTGAGGGGTAACACAACGTCCAGGAAGTGCGGTATGAGGGACATCGACAGGAACAGGTACATCGTTATGAAGCAGTATACTGCAACAGGTGGAAGTGACCGACGCTCGTTGGATTGTCATTATTTTCGAGATAGACAGATATCTTTTTTCTTTCGACCTGTGTTTTGGGTTGATATTTTTTTAATTAGACTGTAGTAGATTGCAAACGAGCGCTTTTCATCCTTACACGTGTATGTCAAGGAGTACCGTCTGCCATTCTTGGTGTAACTCTTCATGATCTCGTACTCCTCCGGAGACTTGAGCAAGTTCCAATCGACGAGCAAGTGATCGATGAGATCTCTAATCTGGGAACAGGCGATGGGTAAAACAGCTTCATCTGTTCACACACGTGCGGCTTCCTAACGCGCTTAGCTACCCTACATTTTGGAGAAACTAATGACGAGTGATGATAATGATCAGTGTACTTTGTTTCTGCTGAAGTGACACGTGTATATCTTCACCAGGGCGATGCTCGTTAGCATGAACGATGCCACGGTCGGGAAGAGGCATTGCCGGTCTCCGTCGCACTCAAACATCTTGGCTACCTGAAAACATTGTCGTTCGCAGGTCGGATCGCAGGATCGACGACTCGCCTGCACTTTCGTCAGAGCTGATCAATATATTACTTGCGGCACGATCACGGAAAATATACTCAAGATAACCATGCTGAAACTGAAGGTCCTCATTCGTGAACGTTGGTAAGGCCATTGGCCGGCCAACGACGACACTTTCTTCACGACGCCGTAGTATCGATTCCAACGGCAATCCATTTTCTTCCGTCTTCTTACGAAAACATACAGCTTCTTCCTCGTTTTCGATGTCTCGCTCGACTGACTTTGTAATGCCGTTTCGATTAAGAAGCCATGAACCCCTGTCGCGACAGTTAACACGACAACCCGGATGTAACCGTGAATAATGCAAACTTAAACAGAGCGTGCTTCTTCATGGTAATTTTGCACACATGTTTCTCTCCTCACGAAACAACGTCACGCGGCTCTTATAGACAAAGTAGCACTTGTCCTTGTCACTAAGTATAAGTTGGCAATCAACGTAACCCTCGATCGTCAGACAGGTCGTACTCGGTAGCTTCCCTTCTTCGTACGCTCACATTGACAAGTCTTCAACCTTTTTGCTTCTGAGTCATGATATTTGACCTAGAAATGCTCAATTGCGAAAGTGAAGGCACTAACAATACATGTCTGCTTCGCTCAACGATGTTGTACATTCATTTCGGAGCCTTCCAATATATGTGCATGAGTGAGTACACGAAAAATGACTAAATGTTGTAACAATATGCAAACAAAAGCATCGCTGATGAGGAGGGAGCTTCTCTTTGTTGTAACAATCATGAGCGTGACCTATATCTCAAACTGCATCAGTTCAGTTTATCATGTGATAATTCTTCTTATTCTTAGTAAAGTACCAAGCGATTATCGTTTAATAATAGTTACGTTTTTCTTTCTCGTTATATAAAACATGTCGTTATATAAACGTACTTTTAAAAATCGTCTCAAGGATGTCCAATTCGCTTTCAAGTGCAATTTAAAAAAATAATGCAAAACGCGTCCGTGTCGAACAACGTATTTTATTGCTTACACCTATAAATACATCTTATCATCATACTCGAATGAAGTAACCCCTTAATTTTAGATGCAGACGTAATTTTCACGTATCAACAATCGACTAATCACTCCATAGACGCCAGTACCGTGAAGTATGACATCGAAGTTTGCAAGATCTTCGAGGTAAGAGAATATGTGAGATTAAAGAAGCCGTTATTTGACGCACGTCTTGTGAAACGCTCGCGTTGTGATACATCGTTGCTTTACCTTGCTGAAGTTCTCCATGGAGAAGATGTAAATGCCGGCGCTCATAAAGGAGGGTTGAATGCTCCTCCTCATCATGAAAAGGAGCATCTTCTGCGTCTTCACGGGCACCTCGTACCAAGGACTGTTGTAGCTGCAACGTTACGCGATGTGGAACGCCGACTATGAATAATCAGACGCGGTCGATGATCATTATATGAAACCTTTCTCGTCTTACATCTTCTCGCGCGTCTGAAGGCTGTGATCCATCAGTTTCTGTCCTTCGAAGCTGAGGCAGAATAGGTGAATCAGTTGAGCGACCACGTAGAGAATGTATCTTATCAGTTCTATCACATCGTTGACTTGCAGCGTAATCTTGAGACCGAAAAATAACGAATTCATTCTTCTTACACTTCTATTGTTGTTACTCGTGATTAACACGCCATTCATATGGCGTGCGATATACTATTAGGTGTGTGAATTAATTCGGTCCATCTGGCGGTCAATGCTGTACTATGTACATCATTGACCGGCAGATTGCTGTACTATGTAATTTTCTAACCTCTAATGTCTGCAAAAGGCTTTATTTTTTAGTTTTTATATCTGGCAATAATATTCAGTTGATAAACATTTGGGTTTGTAACAATAACATCGTGTTTATCTGATTCGAAAATGTCGAAATTCGAACCAAAAAAGCATCATTTTCGGGAAGTTCTCATTTTCTATTTTCATTTGAAGAAAACAGCCGCTGAAGCTCATCAAATGCTCGCAGAAGCTTTTAGTGAAAGTGCTCTCACCGATAAATCATGCAGAGAATGGTTTCGACGTTTCAAAAGTGATGATTTTAGTGTCGATGACAAACCTCGTCCAGGTCAGCCAAAGAAGTTCGAGGACAAGGAATTGCAGGCGTTAATCGATGAAGATCCGTGTCAATCGCAACATGAACTCGCGCAATTGTTGAATGTTGATCGATCAACAATTTCTGTGCGTTTGGCAGCCATGGGAAAGATTTACAAAGAAGGAAGATGGGTGCTATACGAACTGAAAGAAAGAGACGTCGAGAGGCGAAAAGCCATGTCTGAAATCTTGCTTGCCAGGCAAAAAGAAAAGATTTTTTGCATCGTATTATGACTGAAGACAAAAAGTGGATATATTTCGATAATTCCAAATGAAGGAAATCCATTAGCGACCCAGGAAAATCGTCCACTTCGATATCAAAGCGGAATATTCATGGAAATGGCAAGAAAGTAATGCTCTGTATATGGTGGGACCAGAAGAGTGTAGTGTATCATGAACTATTAAAACAGAGCCAAACCATCACTACCGAACTTTACCAACAATAATTGATCCGTTTAAACAACGCATTGAAGAATAAGCGGCCGGAATATACAAAGAGACACAACAAAGTGATCTTCCAGCACGATAATGCTCGGCCACATGTTAGAAAGATTGTGAAGGCCACCTTGGAAGCACTTGGCTGGGACGTTTTACCTCACCCCCCTCCGTATTCACCAGACATTGCTCCATCCGATTATCAATTGTTCAGATCGATGGCACATGGACTTTCAGACCAGCACTTCAACAATTATGAAGAAATAGAAAAATGGCTCAATGAATGGATCGCTTCGAAGGACGAATCGTTTTTCCGTCACGGAATGAAACAACTGCCAGACAGATGGGACAAAATAATAGCAAGCGATGGCAAATACTTTGATTAGTGTACTTATTCATATTTTTCCATACTAAAGTCTTTTTTTGGAAGAAGAAACGGACCGAATTAATTCACACACCTAATAATATCAAAGATACGCTAATAGATCAGCCAGCCATTTCTCTCGAAGAGCAACAGCTTGTCTGAGCAACATGTAAAACTTGACATAGGCAAACACATACTTGCAGCAAGGTGATGCTCATCAGCACCGTAATTATCGCTATCTGCAGAGCCAACGTTAACGAGAAGGTATCTTCGAGCAGCTGGGCGAAACTGTAGTGAGTCAGCGGAATAAACATTATACAATCATGTACGGTTAATAGAAATTTCCTTTCATTCGCATCGCCAACATACACTCACCATATGGCCCTGCGATGCGCTTGCACCGAGAACATGATTCGTTTATGATACGAGACTTCCGGTCGAGCGCGTACGTTCGTCGCAGGCTCAGAGCGTTCGCACGACAACCGTTCGAAACGAAATCTGCGGGTGTTGACGCGACATTAACGCGTATGCCGACATTCGCGCAGGTGCAACAATCGGTTGCACTCACCCGACTATCGCGAAAATGCCGCAGACGTGCTCGATGTAAGTCACGAGCAAGCAGTCGTGGGCAATTACGCCGAGTACTGTAATTTCCCAAGTCAAGGTGGAGTACCAGAAAATATAGTAGAAGTATTCCCTGTCGTCGACAAAGTAGTACGCCGGATGCGGCATGACGAGAGGGCGAGATTCGTTGAGGGGTAACACAACATCCAGGAAGTGCGGTATGAGAGACATCGACAGAAACAGGCACAGCGATATCAAGCAGTACACTGCAACAGATCGAGGTGACCGACGCTCGTTGGGTTGTCAATATTTTCTCGATAGACAGATATCTTTTTTTTTCGACTTGTGTTTTGAGCCGATATTTTTTTAATTAGACTTTAGACTGCAAATGAGCGCTTCTCATCCTTACGCGTATATCCCAAGGAGTACCATCTGCCGTTCTCGGCGTAACTCTTCATGATCTCGTACTCCTCCGGAGACTTCAGCAGGTCCCAATCGACGAGCAAGTGATCGGTGAGGTTTCTGATCTGGGAACAAGATCGATGGATAACGGCTTCACCTATTCACACACGTGAGACTTCCTAACACGCTCGGCTGGATTACGCTTTCGAGAAAATAATAACGAAACGATCAGTGTACTTTGCGACTGCTCAAGTGGCACGTGTACATCTTCACCAGAGCGATGCTCGACAGCATGTACGCTGCCACGGTTGGAAAGAGGCACTGCCGGTCTCCGTCGCACTCAACCATCTTGGCTATCTGAAAATTGTCGTTCGCAGGTCGGATCGCAGGATCGACGACTCGCCCGCGCACTCGTCAGAGATGATCAATTACTTGCGACACGATCACGGAAAATATACTCAAGGTCACTATGCTGAGGCTGAAGATCCTCATTCGTCGCCGCTGGTAAGGCCATTGGCCGGCCAACGATGACACTTTCTCCACGACGCCGTAGTATCGATTCCAGCGGCGATCCATTTCTCGCGAGCATAAAGCTTCTTCTTCGTTTTCGACCACACGCGCTCGACTGACTTTGCATCGCCATTTCAACTAAGAAGCCATTAATTCCCCCGTCGCGACGGCTAATGCGACGCCCCGGATGTAGCCGTGAATAATGCAAGCGCTTAAACAGAGCGTGCTTCAGCACGGTAATTTTGCACACACGTTTCTCGAGACGTGTCATGAGAGTCTTATAGACAAAGTAGCACTTGCCCCGTCCTAGCCACTAAGTATAAGCTGGCGATCAACGAAACCCTATCGACAGGTAGGCCGCACTCGGTATCTCTCCCCCTTCGTACGCTCACATTGACAAGTCTTCAACCTTTTTAGTTCTGAGACATGACACTTGACTTGGAAATGTTTAGTTAGGAAGGTGAAGGCACTAACGACAGATTGTCTGCTTTCCTCAATAATGTTGTATACTCATTTCGAAGCCTTCCAATGTGTGTATACATTGATGAGTACACAAACAATGACTGAATGATATAACAATATGGAAACAAAAGTATATTAATTTATTATTACTATATAAAATAAAGAAAGATGCGTATACATGTATCACTAGGATATCAGTCGCCACTAATCATGAGCTACTGCAAGGATGCGAGCAACGTGAAGTACGACATTGAAGTCTGCAGAACCTTCGAAACAAGAAAATTATGTGTCGTTGAAGCAATCTATAAAATAACGCATGAGACAAGCAGGTGACCTTACTGCGCTGAAGCTCTCCAAGGAGAAGATATAAACCTTGCCGGCGCTCAAGCATGTCGGTTGCAGACTCCGTATTATCACCATAATAATAAGCTTTTGCGATTTTATAGACGCTTCGTACCAGGAATTGCTGTATCTGTAACGTTCCGAAAACGGTTGAGTCAAATGCCGAGAGTGTCGAGAGCGAAGGTTAAATACATATACTTTCTTGTCGATAATTACTTGCCACCTAGTGATTACTAATTAACATTTGAGCAAACCGAGAGCATAAATCGCGGCCTTACATCTTGTTGCGCGTCTGAAGACTGTGATTTATCAGCCGCTGACCCTCGAAGCTGAAGATGAACAAATGGAATAACTGACCGCTGGCGTAAAGTGTGTACTTCAGTATCTTCACGAAGTCGGAGCTTTGCGTGATCTTGAGCACGGAAAGTATTTGTTAGTATCAAGTCGAACGTAGCCTTACAATAAACGAACAACATACATACTTGCAGTGCTGCTTAACGTGATGCTTATATTTATCGTGATTATGCATAATTGTACTGCCAAAGGTATGAAAAAGATGCTTTCAAGAATTTGCGCGAACCTGCGACGTAAAAAGAGATGACATGCTAACAGAATTTCCTCTATCACATATTTCCTATCGCATATCGTTTTTTATCTAATTTAACTCTTGTATTGAACTGAATATCAGAAACGTCTTCACTTTACTTTGAGTCGAGTTCGAAAATATTTGGTTACGAAGGTGAAGCCGCGATGATTAATGTGTTCAGTTCGATTGCGCGATATGTACTCACTCCAAAGCTTCCTGATGCATACGCACGAAGGAAGCGACCTCCTTACGATATATACTATCCACATTAATCTTTGTGTCCTCCATTGTCTTGTCCTGATTACAAAATAAACATTCGAGACGATATCTGCAAACGATCCGTGCATAATTGCGCTTGCTCTTTGAACATAAAATGAAGAGTCACACTTTCAATATATTAAGCGTTTTTAAGACTTCGTCGGATCGTCAATGATTTAATTGATCAAAAGATACATCAATTTGCAAACATAGAATCGATACTTCTTACGATACATACTATTCAAATCAATCTTTGTGTCCTCCATTGCCTTGTCCTGATTACAAAATAAACATTCGAGACGATATCTGCAAACGATCCGTGCATAATTGCGCTTGCTCTTTGAACATAAAATGAAGAGTCACACTTTCAATATATTAAGCGTTTTTAAGACTTCGTCGGATCGTCAATGATTTAATAGATCAAAAGATACATCAATTTGCAGACGTAGAATCGAATAATTGCCTGAAGAAGGTAGCGAAACGCGAAAGATAACAATGGCAGTTAGTATTTCAAACTATGACATATATGGTGTTTTGTTATTATCAAGATAAAAAATGAAGAAAGAGTCCAACGTACCTCTTCTTACTAAATATATCTCAATGTGCTTGTATTTAGCGTGGTGAGTTAGTTAAGATTAAAATCCGTTTACCCGAGCACGGCGAATATGCTGCAAACGTGTTCCACGTAAGACAAGAACATGCAATTGTGTGCGAATAGTCCGACCTGGACTATTGGAAACGCCACGAAAGAATGACAGAAAATGTATATAAAATATTCCTTATAATCTACGAAATAATAGCCTGGATATTGCAGTAGCATAGGACGGCACTCGTTGAGAGGTAAAACAATGTCGAGTGTTTGCGGTATAAACGACATCGAGAAGAATATACACAGACCTACAAAGCAGTATACTGCGAAAGATACGAAATATTTCTAAAGTTAGATATGACGTTAAAGTCAGAATACAGAATTTAAGTCAGAGATTAAATTAAATAACGAATAACTAAAGTATAAAAGGAAAGAAGCATAAAACACTCACTCGGATATATCAAAGAGAATTGTCTGCAATTTTCGGCGTACGACTTCATGATTTCGTACTCCTGAACACTTTTCAGCAGTTTCCAGTCGGCGAATAAATGCTCCGTCATTTCTCTAACCTGGCGAAATATCCGTTAATGGTACATCTTCCATTTTTTGATTTTCTAACCAACACTCGTATTAACACGCGAAAAAGACAGACTTTTCCACGCAGTTCCAAGGAAAAGCGTCCATTTGATATTTCTCCAACCGGAAAATTTCCAAGTCGAAAATTGCTGTTATTGTTATTATAAATTAATGTTATCAAATTACATAAGCGAAGGTGTGCGGCGGGACGTACTTTGCGAATGTTCACAACGAACGTATACACCTTCACCGAAACTATGATCGTAAACAGGTACGACGTCATCGATTCGAATTTACACTGTAGGTCCTGCTTGCATGTGAATTGATATGCGATCTGGAAGCGACATTAATTTTTTTCTTTCAACAGGATATTCCTTGCAGGGAGGGATCGCATACGGGAAAAAAACTCATGTAATGGATAAGAGCCGGGTTTACTCCCTAATGGAGTTATCTTGTTTCGCATATCAATAAATTTACCTGAGGAACGAACAGAGACAGCATGATTATCGTCAGGAAGCAGAGGCGAAAGATTTTGGCCTTCACGCTCAGAAACGGCCATATACCACTGTATGATGAAAACTTTTTCACGATGCCGTAATAATGATTCCATGTGACTTCCATTGTTCATCGACAGATATTGCGATTACCCGACATCGCATGATGAAGCAAAGTGCAAGTCTCGTCCTCCTCCCCGTCCTCTTTTTCTTGTGGCGGTAGTGGTGAATATATAATTCACGTGAACAAAATGAAGTATAGGCGAATGCTGCAACATGCAAAGTGTCCGGTATTGCGATCGTGCATATCGCAATGGTCGGTAAGTACGGCAAGTACACTTTGACATCTGGTTATTTAAATAATAGAAGGAGAGATGTCATTATACGCGTGCCACTCTGTAGTGAATTATGTAGATTTGTAATATTCCTCGACATCCCTCTACAAAGGACGCATATCGCTTAAAGCGAGTTACGAAAATTGATTTTTCTATTTACGTCGACAAAATGTTTCTTCTCTCCTTTTTAATTTCTTTTCCTTTTTTGCGGAACTCGACGTCAGGAAGAAGGGACGGCTGATTTCTGAGTAAGATGTAGTGAGCGGTGAGAGTGTATCCTTCCTTTACCTTGATAAGTGCATTTCTTTTCGTTATCAGATAACTGAGTGATTGGGTGCTCAAATGAAAAAAAATACACACACAAGCAATATTCGATCAATATTCACTTACCGACCGTCATTGATTCCCAGCTGATTTCTAATCTTACTCTTCGTTTCTCTGCAGCAGTGTGTACGCTGCTCACCTGAGTTGTTTTCACAACAATCAAACCTGGAAAAAATCCTACCAGCGGGTTCCCAAGTAGTACCAAATACTAGGATATTGTTATTAGTACCAAATGTTGGCACCGCTAATTTGGGAGATTATTCAGGACGAAGAGAGCGACCAAGAGTGGAGATTCTACACGAATAAACTGTACAAATACTACGTATATTACATGAACAAGGTATATTATACAAAACATAAGCATAGTTCTACAACGGTGTCGCAAAGATACACCAATGCAAACTAATGTACAATATAAACTAAAGTATATTAGTTTATTACATATAAAATGAAGAAAGATGAGTATGTATCATTAGCAGCACATCAGTCGCCACTGATCATGAGCTACTGCATGGATGCGAGTAATGTGAAGTACGACATTGAAGTCTGCAGAACCTTTGAAACAGGAAAATTATGTGTCGTTGAAGCAATCTATAAAATAACGCTTGCGACAATTCACAGGTGACTTTACCGCGCTGAAGCTCTGCAAGGAGAAAATGTAGATCTTGCCGGCACTCAAACATGTCGGCTGCAAACTCCGTATCATCCCTATAATAATAAGTTTCTGCGATTTCATGGGCGCTTCGTACCAGGAACTGTTGTATCTGCAACGTTCCGAAGACGATCGAGTCAAATGCTAAAAGTGTCGAGCGCGAAAGTTGAATATACACACTTTCTTATCGATAATTACTTGCTACCTAGTGATCACTAATTAACACTTGAGCAAACCGAGAGCATAAATCGTGGTCTTACATCTTGTTGTGCGTCTGTAGACTGTGATTTATCAGCCTCTGACCTCCGAAGCTGAAGATGAATAAATGAAATAACTGAGCGCTGACGTAAAGCGTGTATCTCAGTATCTTCAAGAAGTCGGAGCTTTGCGTGATCTTGAGCACGAAAAGCGTCTGTTAGTATCAAGTCGAACGTAACCTTACAATAAATGAACGACGTACATACTTGCAGCAAGGTGACGCTTATTCCTATCGTGCTTAGGAGTAATTGAATTGCGAAAGGTATGGTAAAGATGCTTTCAAGAACTTGCGCGAACCTGCGACGTAAACAAAAGATGAAACATGCTAACAGAATTTTCTCTATCACATATTGTGTCTTTATCTAATTTAACTATTGTATTGAACTGAATATCAGAAACGTCTTCATTTTACTTTGAGTCGATTTCGGAAACATCTGATTACGAAAGTAGAGCCGCTATCGATGAATGTATTAAGCTCGACGGCGCGATATGTACTCACTTCACAGCTTCTTGATGCATACGCACGGAGGAATCGATCTTTCTACGATAAATACTATCCAAGTCAATCTTTGTGTCCTCCATTGTCTTGTTCTGTTTACAAAATAAATACTCGAAACGATATCTGCAAAACGATCCGTGCATGATTGCGCTTGCTTTTTAACCATAAAGTGCAGAATCATACTTTCAATATATTACGGGTTTGCAAGACTTTGTCGGATTGATGATTGATCGTTGATGATTTAATTGACTCAAAAGGTGCATCAATTTGCAGACTTAGAAACGAATAATTGCCTGAAGAAAGTGGCGAGAGATAACAATGGCAGTTAATATTTCAAACCATGACATATATAGTGTTTTGTTATTATCAAGATAAAAAATGTGAGATAAAAAATCCGACGAACGTTCGCAAACCACTCATTATTAAATATATCTCGATGTGCTTGTATTTAGCGTCGTGAATTAAAGTTAAAATTCAAATTCGTTTACCCGAGCACGGCGAATATGTTGCAAATGTGTTCCACGTAAGACATGAACATACAATCGTGTGCGGTTATTCCTACTATGATTATTGCAAACGCCACGAAAGAATGGCACAAAATGTATATAAAATATTCCTTATAATCTACAAAATAGTATCCCGGATACGGTAGTACTATAGGACGAGACTCGTTGAGAGGTAAAACAATGTCGAGCACTTGCGGTATAAGTGACACCGACAAGAATATACACGCACTTACTAAATAGTATACTGCAAAAGACGCGAAACATTTCCAAAATTAGATGACGGTACAGTCAGAATGTAGAATTTAAGTCAGAGATTAAATAGCAAATATCTAAAGTACAAAAAGAAAGAAGCGTAACACTCACTCGGATATATCAAAGAGAATTGTCTGCAATTTTCGGCGTACGACTTCATGATCTCGTACTCTTCAGCACTTTCCAACAGTTTCCAGTCGGCGAAAAAGTGCTCCGTCATTTCTCTAACCTAGCGAAATATTCATTGGCGATACGTCCTCCATTCTCTGATTCTCTAACTAACGCTTGTTTTAACACGCGGGAGTGACAAACTTTTTGATGCAATTCCAAGGAAAACCGTCTATTTGATATTTTTCCAACCAAAAAACATCCAAGTTGGAGTATTAAAATGCAATTACAAGCGATAGGTGTACGGCGGGACGTACTTTGCGAATGTTCACAACGAACGTATACACTTTCATCGAAGCTGAGATCGTAATCAGAAACGACGTCATCGACTCGAATGTACACTGTAGGTCCTGCTTGCACGTGAATGCATATGCGATCTGGAAGTGTTACTTCCATCAATTTCTTTCTTTCAAAAGGATATTCCGTGCAAAGAGATCACGGGAAAAAGCTCATGTAACTGGATAAGAGCCGGATAAAAATTTGAAGACGAGAAGCCGATGTCTCTGTCACCGAGACCGGAAATATTTATCTGAATTGATTCAGCTGTATTAGAAACTCGATCGAGGAAAGCCGAGGCGCAACTGACTCGTGAGTAGAAACCTACCGCGGGAGGTCCTTTCTGTCCTTACAATCGAATCTTGCTCGTGCAGTCGGCGGAAAATTCACTTATCCTAACGGAGTTACCTTGTTTCGCGCATCATTAGATTTACCTGAGGAACGAACAGAGACAGCATGGTCACTGTCAAGAAGCAGAGGCGAAGGATTTTGGCCCTCATGCTCAGAAACGGCCACATACCAGTGAATGATGATAACTTCTTTACGATGCCGTAATAATGATTCCATGTGGCCTCCATCGTTCATCGACAAATACTGCGAGTATCCGATACCGCATGATAAAGCTAAGTGCTAGTCTCGCCCTCCCCCTGGCTCTCTTTTTCTCGTGGTGGCAGAGGTGAATATATAATTCACGTGGGCAAAATGAAGTATAGGGGTGTGCTAGGACACGCAAAGTGTCCGGTATTGCGATCGTGCGTATCGCGATGGTCAGTAAGTACGTACACTTTGACATCTGGTTATTTAAATAATAAGAGGAGAGAGGTCATTACGCGTGCCACTCTGTAGTAGAATTATGTAGTTTTATAATATTCCTCGATATCCTCCTACAAAGGGACGCATATCGCTTAGAGCGAGTTGCAAAAATTGATTTTTCTATTTACGTCGGCAAATTGTTTCCCTTCTTCTTTTTAACTTCCTTTCTTTTTTTGCAGAAATCGACGTCAGGAAGAAGGGAAGGCTGATTTCTGACAGTAAGATATAATAAGCGGTGAGAATGTATCTTTCTTTACTTTAATAAGTGCAATTTCTTCCGCCATTGGATAACTAAATAGTTGCGTGTACAAAATGAAAAAATACACACATAAGCAATACTCAATATTCGCCTACTAACTAACTATCAGCTGATTTCTAACCTTATTCCTTTGGTTGTCTGCAGCAGTGTGCATGTTACTTACCTGTGTTCTTTTCACGATAATCGAGTATTTGGAAGAAATCCTACAAGCGGATACCCAAGTGGTATTGAGTACCAAGGTATCATTATTGGCACCGCTAATCTGGGTGATTATTCAGGACGAAGTGAGCGAACAAGAGTGGAGATTCCACACGTGTAAACTGTATAAATACTATCTATATTACATGACAAAGGTACATTATATAAAACGTAAGCATAGTTCTACAATGATATCGCAATGACACACCAGTCGGTTTTTCACCGATGAGACATCGGTGTCGTCGTGTAACTGCGAGATACACGGAACTGTATCGATCATGAATTACTCTAAAAAGACGCGAGCACCGTGAAGTACGACATCGAAGTCTGCAGAACCTTCGAAGCAAGAGAATTATGTGTCGTTGAAGCAATCTCTAAAGTAACGCTTGCGACAATTCGTGGATTATCTTACCGCGCTGAAGCTCTCCAAGGAGAAGATGTAAACCTTGCCTGCGCTCAAGCATGTAGGCTGCAGACTCCGTATCATCACCATAATAAGGAGCTTCTGAGATTTCTTGGGCGCTTCGTACCAGGAACTGCTGTATCTGCAACGTTCCGAAGTCAAATCGAGTCAAATGCCGAGACTGCCGAGCGCGAAGGTCGAATACATTTTCTTGCCGACCGATAATTATTTGCTATCGAATGATTACTAATTAACACTTAAGTAAACCGGGAACACAAGTCGCGGTCTTACATCTTGTCGCGTGTTTCAAGACTATGATCCATCAGCTTCTGGCCTTCAAAGCTCAGGATGAATAAATGGAACAGCTGACCGCCGACATAAAGCGTGTACCTTAATATCTTCAAGAAGTCGGAACTTTGCGTGATCTTGAGCATGAAAAGTATTAGTTAGTATCAAGGCGAGCATAGCCTTACAATAAACAAATGACGTACATACTTGCAGCAAGGTAACGCTTATGCCTATCGTGCTTAGGAGTAATTGTAATGCGAAAGGTATGGTAAAGATGCTTTCAAGAACTTGCGCGAACCTGCGACGTAAACAAGAGACGACGTGCTAACAGAATTTTCTCTATCGTATTCGGACGTTTCTACGTCTAATTTAATTCTTGCATCAAATTGAATCATCGATAGAGAAAAATTGAATCAGAAACGTCTTCATTTTCCTCCGAGTTGATTTCGGAAACGTCTTACTACGAAAGTAAAGCTACTAACGATGATTGATTTGTTTAGCTCGATACGCGATATGTACTCACTTCAAAGCTTCCTGATGCATACATACAAAGGAAGCGATCTTTTTACGATATATACTATCCAAGTCAGACTTTGTGTCTTCCATTGTCTTGTCCTGATTACAAAATAAATACTCGAAACGATATCTGCAAACGATTCGTGCATGATTGCGTTTGCTTTTTTGAACATAAAATGAAGAGTCACACATTTCAACATATCAGGGGTTTGCTAAATTTTGTTCGATCGTCGATGATTCAATTGATCAAAAGATGCATTAATTTGCAGACGTAGAATCGAATAATTACCTGATTAGGGTGGCAAAAACCTATGAATGACAGTGGCAGCTATTTTAAACCATGACATACATAGTATTTCGTTATTATCAAGACAAAAATGCGGCTATAAATCCAATGAACGTTCGCAAACCTCTCATTATTAAATATACCTCGATGTGCTTGTATTTAGCGTCGTGAATTAAAGTTAAAATTAAAATCCGTTTACCCGATCAGAGCGAATATGTTGCAAACGTGTTCCACATAAGACATGAACATACAATCGTGTGCGACTAGTCCGGCCAGCATTACCTCAAACGCCACGAGGGAATGCCAGAAAATGTATACAAAATATTCCTTATAATCTACAAAGTAGTATCCCGGGTATGGCAGCAGCATAGGACGGGACCCGTTGAGAGGAAAAATAATGTCGAGTATTTGTGGTATAAGCGACACCGACATGAATACACACACACATGCTAAGCAGTATACTGCAAAAGACGCGAAATATTTCCAAAGTTAGATGACGTTAAAGACGTTAAATACAGAATTTAAGTCAGAGATTAAATAAAATAATAAATATCTAAAGTATATATAAGGAAAGAAGCATAAAACACTCACTCGGATATATCAAAGAGAATTGCCTGCAATATTCAGCGTACGACTTCATGATCTCGTACTCTTCGACACTTTCCAACAGTTTCCAGTCGGCAAATAAGTGCTCGGTCATTTCTCTAACCTGGCGAAATATCCGTTAATAGTACATTCTCCATTCTCTGATTCTGTATGCAATACAATACGTGCTAACATGAGGGAAGGCACAGACACTTTTTCACGCAGTTCCAAGGAAAAGCGTCCATTTGATATTTCTCCAAACGGAAAACTTCCAAGTTGGAATATTAAATTGCAATTACACAAGCGATAGGTATGGGGCGAGACGTACTTTGCGAATGTTTACAACGAACGTATACACCTTTAACACAGCTATGCTCGTCAACAGGTACGACGTCATCGACTCGAATATGCACTGTAGGTCGTGCTTGCATGTGGACTGATATGCAATCTGGAAAGCGTATTCGATTTTTTTTCTTTCAACAAGATATTCCTTGCGGAGGTCGCATACGTGCAAAAAGCTCATGTAACTGGTCGAGGACAAAAATTTGGTGACGAAAAACCGATCTCTCTGTTATCGCGACCGGAAACACTTGTCTGAACTGATTCAGCTGTATTGGAAAACCGATCGAGGCACAATTGATTCCTGAGTAGCAATTTTCCGCGGGTGGTCCCTTTCTGTCTCTATAATCGAATTTTGCTCGTGCGGTCAGCGAAAAACTCACTTACCCTACCGAAGTTACTTTATTTCGCACATCATTAGATTTACCTGAGGAACGAACACAGACAGTATGATCACCGTCAGGAAACAGAGGCGAAGGACTTTGGCTCTCACGCTCAGAAACGGCCATATACCAGTGAGTGACGATAACTTCTTGACGATTCCGTAATAATGATTCCATGTGACCTCCATTGTCCACCGAAAAATACTGTACGTATTCGATATTGCATGATGAAGCAAACTGCAAGTTTAGCCCTTCCCTTCGCTCTCTTTTCCTCGTGGTAGCACAGGTGAATACATAATTCATTTGGACGAAATGAAGTACAGGCAAGTGGTGGAACACGCAAAGTGTTAGATATAGCGATCGTGCGTGTCGCAATGATCGAACAACTACAATTTGATATCTAGTTATTTACATAATAGGAAGAGAGTGGTCACTCTGTAGTTATAGTGGCAGAATTATAGTAGCAGAACTAGATATATCCCTCGACATCCTCCTACGCGGAACGCATACCTGTCGTATAGAGCGAGATGCGAAAATTGATTTTTCTGTTTACGTAGAAGAAATGTTTCCGCTCTCCTTTTTATCTTCTTTTCCTTTTTCCACGAAAATTGACATTAAGAAGAGAGGAATTAAGGCTGATTTCTTATAGCAAGATGAAGTGGACGGATATTGTCGCTCTAAGTCATGTAAGATATCTTGAAAAAAGGCTTTCTTTCCTTCTCCTTTAGCGCTTGCGCTTCATACCCCATTTCTGGCCGGTAACCTATTTAAACCTAGCTAACCTAAACTGTCTAAATGCGCCTAGCTTTGACAAATTGATTTTTTTCCGCAAATATTGACGGTCGTGCAAAAGCGAATAAGAGACAATTTTCCCTTCTGGACATTTTTTCCTCGTCCCATCTTCTTGTGTTCACATTGACAAGTCCTTAACTTTTTTGTATCTGAGATACGACGTTTGACTTGAAAATGCTTAGTCATGAAAGTGAAGGCACCTACCACACATTGTCTGCTTCGCCCAACTATATTGTATAGTACACTCGTTTCGGAGCCTTCCAATGTATGTGTATGAGTGAGTACACGGAAAATGACCGAATGATGTAACAATATGCAAAGTAAGAAATATTATTTTATTATTACTACATAAAATGAAGAAAGACGCCTATACATGTATCACTAGCAGGATATCAGTCGCCACTGATTATGAACTAGTAAAAGGATGCGAGCACCGTGAAGTATGACATTGAAGTCTGCAGAACCTTTGAAACAGGAAAATTATGCGTTGGAGCAGTCTCTAAAATAACGCTTGCGACAATTTACAGGTGACTTTACCGCGCTGAAGCTCTGCAAGGAGAAAATGTAGATCTTGCCGGCACTCAAGCATGTCGGCTGCAAACTCCGTAGCATCACCATAACAATAAGCTTCTGCGATTTCATGGGAGCTTCGTACCAAGGACTGTTGTATCTGCAACGTCTCGAAGGCGATCGAGTCAAATGCCGAGAATGTCGAGCACAAAGGTTAAATATACACACTTTCTTGTCGATAATTACTTGCTAACTAGTGATTACTAATTAACACTTGAACAAACCGAGAGCACAAGTCGCGGTCTTACATCTTATCGTGCGTCTGAAGACTGTGATCCATCAGTCTCTGGCCCTCGAAGCTGAAGATGAATAAATGGAACAGTTGAGAGAAGACGTAAAGCATGTACCTCAGTATCTTGAAGAAGTCTGAGCTTTGCGCGACCTTGAGCACAGAAAATGTCTGTTAGTATCGAGTCGAACATAGCCTTACAACAAACGAACGACGTACATACTTGCAGCAAGTTGGCGCTTATTCCTATCGTGTTTATGAATAATTGCACTGTGAAAGGTATGGTAAAGACGCTTTCAAGAATTTGCGCGAACCTGCGATGTAAATAAGGGACAACACACTAACAGAATTTTCTCTACCGCGTATTCGGACGTTTCTTTATCTAATTTAAATCTTGTATCAAACTGAATATCAGAGATGTCTATATTTTTCTTTGAGTCGAGTTTGAAAACATCTGGCTACGAAAGTAAAGCCACTAACGATGATTAATGTGTTCAGCTCGACTGCGCGATATGTACTCACTTCAAAGCTTCCTGATGCATACGCATGAAGGAAGCGATCTTTTTGCGATATATAATATCCAAGTCAGTCTTTGTGTCCTCCATTGTCTTGTCCTGATTACAAAATAAATACTCGAAACGATATCTGCAAACAATCCGTGCATGATTGTGTTTGTTTCTTGAACATAAAACGAAGTCACACTTTAAACATATTAGGGGTTTGCGAGACTTCGTCGATGATTTTATTGTCTCGAAAGATGTATTAATTTGTAGACGTAGAATCGAATAATTGCCCAAAGAGAGCGGCAGAAAGTGATGGATAACAAATAAGCTATTTCAAACTGCGACACACATATGTCGTTGCATTATTATCAAGATAAAAAAAAATACGACTAAAAATTCAACGAATGTTCGCAAACCTCCCATTACTAAATATATCTCGACGTGCTTGTGCTTAACGTGGTGAGGTTAAAGTTAAAATTAAAGTTCGTTTACCCGAGCACAGCAAATATGTTGCAAACGTGTTCCACGTAAGATATGAACATACAATCGTGTGCGACTATTCCGGCCAGGATTATCTCGATCGCCACGAAAGAATGGCAGAAAATGTATAGAAAATATTGCTTATAATCTACAAAGTAGTATCCCGGGTACGGCAGTAGTACAGGACGGGACTCGTTGAGAGGAAAGGCAATGTCGAGTATTTGCGGTATAAGCGACATCGACATGAATATACCTGCACATACTAAGCAGTATACTGCAAAAAATGCGAAATATTTCCAAAGTTAGATGACGTTAAAGTCAGAATATAGAATTTAACTCAGAGATTAAATTAAATAACAAATATCGAAAGTATAAAAGGAAAGAAGCGTAAAACACTCACTCGTATATACCAAAGAGAATTGTCTGATATTTTCGGCGTACGACTTCATGATCTCGTACTCTTCGACACTTTCTAGCAGTTTCCAGTCGGCGAATAAATGTTCCGTCATTTCTCTAACCTGGAAAAATATCCGTTTGATATATCCTTCATTCTCTAATTAACGCTCGTGTTAACACGCGAAAGAGATAAACTTTTCACACAATTCCAAGAAAAAGCGTCCATTTGATATTTCTCCAATCGAAAAATTCCCATGTTGGAATACCAAATTGCAATTATAATATTACGAGCGAGCGAGCATTATGTGTGTGGTGGGACATACTTTGCGAATGTTCAAAACGAACGTATACATTTTCAACACAGCTACGAACGTAAACAGGTACGACGTCATCGACTCGCATGTGCACTGTAGGTCCTTGCACGTGAACTGATACGCGATCTGGAAGCGTCATCGATTTTTTTCTTTTAACAGAATATTCCTTGCAGAGAGATCGCATATAGCAGAAAAGCTCATGTAACTGTATAGGGGCCGCACAAAAAATTTGTTGATGAGGAATCGATATTTCTGTTACCACAACCGGAAAAACTTGTCTGAACTGATTCACCTTCACTGGAAACCCAATCGAGGGTAACCGAGAGCGCAATTGAAACTCACGAGTAGAAATCTTAAGCGAAAGGTCCCTTTCTATCTCTACAATTGAATCTTGCTCGTACAGTTGACGGAAAATTCACTTACCCTAACGGAGTTACCTTGTTTCGCACATCAATAGATTTACCTGAGGGACGAACACAGACAGCATGATCAGCGTCAAGGAGCATAAACGAAGGTTTTTCGCCCTTACGTTCAGAAACGGCCATATACCACTGAATGATGATAACTTCTTCATGAAGCCGTAATAATGATTCCATGTGACCTCCATTGTTCACCGAAAAATACTGCATGTATCAGGTATCGCATGATGAAGCAAAGTGCAAGTCTCGCCCTCCCCCTTGCTCTCTTCTTTTCGTGGTGGTAGAGGTGAATATATAATTCACGTGACCGAAATGAGGTATAGGCGAATGCAACACGCAAAGTGTCCGGTATAGCGATCGTGTATATCGCAATGATCGGCAAGTACGTACACTTTGACATCTGGTTATTTAAATAATAAGAGGAGAGAGGTCGTTACGTGTGCCACTCTGTAGTGAATTATGTAGTTTTATAATATTCCTCGACATCCCTCTACGAAGGACGCATATCGCTTAAAGCGAGTTGCGAAAATTGATTTTTCTATTCACGTCGGCAACTTGTTTCGCCTCTTCTTTTTAACTTGCTTTCTTTTTATGCAGAAGTCGACGTCAGGAAGAAGGGAAGGCTGATTTCTGATAATAAAATGTAGTGGACGGTGAGAGAGTATTTTTCTTTACTTTGATAAGTGCAATTTTTTCGTCATGAGATAACTGAGTAGTTGGGTGTTCGAAATAAAAAAAATATACACACAAGCAATACTCATCTACCGTCCGTCATTGATTCTCAGCTGATTTCAAAAGGCACACTGTGACTATTATACGCGAAACTGCGAGTTCAAACAAGGTGAGATATTCATATCTCAGCAATGGCTGAACCGATCGAGGTCTTTTTAGTCCCAATCGATTCGGCTTTAAAAAATAGGAAGCAAAATGTTCCTGTGATTTTTGTGTACGTTGTCTCTAAGTGGTGGAGGTATTTTAAGATAAAGTCCGAATCACGGAAAATTTCGATTCAGTAAAAAAGTAAGAAACTTCGGACGCACAGGAGTGGGGATACGCGTGTATCACGTTTTTCCGACACCAGCAGCTAAATTCTGTAACTCGTTATTGGAGTTAACGACACTTTCGTTATCGTTGCGCAGCTTTTGTACACCGTAGAAAAGCTGAGCAACGATAACGAAAGTGTCGTTAACTCCAATAACGAGTTACAGAATCCAGCTGCAGGGGCGCTATGGGAGCGCTGAAGAAGCAGACAGCAGCGAATGCGAGCGAGTAAGCGAGAGATATGCTAGAATACAGTATAGGAAAAAATATGCGAGAGAGATAGAGAGGGGGGGGTGAGGGGGAGTGACAGAGAGAGAGAGGAGTGAGAGAGAGAAGAGCGAGAGAGAGGAGTGAGAGAGAGAGAGAGGAGCGAGAGAGAGAGAGAGGAGCGAGAGAGAGAGAGAGAGAGAGAGAGAGAGAGAGAGAGAGAGAGAGAGAGAGAGAGAGAGAGAGAGAGATAGGAGATGGAGGGGGTAAGGGGAAGAGAGAGGGAGAGGGAAATGAAAGGGTGAGAGGGGAGAGTGAGAGAGGGAATGTCTAAAGATAATGTATAACATAAGTTTTTACAAGTAAAACTTATATTAAACTTACCTTTTTAAACAAAAAGGTAAAAAAAAGGCGCCAAGTACGAGCGCAGTACACGTATTGTGTTATTTTTAGAAATTTCAAACTCAAATTATTTTTTTAGGGTATATATGTGTACATAAGTTTTTACAAGTAAAACTTATAACTATAATAAAACTCTACAACATTATTCTACTGTACAAAAGAAGTGATATATTAGAACAGTAGCGCCAACTGAGAAACCTAACATATATATATGTATATATATATATGATTATTGTATATTTAATATTTTTAGAAATCTCAAATTCTAATTATTTCCTTTTTTAAGATATATATTATGTACATAACATAAGTTCCTACAAGTAAAACTTATCAAATTATTTTTCTTTTAAGATATATATGTACATAAGCTGTTACAAGTAAAAATTATATCGGGTTATGAAAATTTAACACGTTTATCAATAGTGTCCAATATTAAAAAAATATTAAAAAATATTATTAAATATTAATTAATATTAAAAATATTAAAATATTAAAAAATATTAATATTAAAATATTAAAAATATTAAAAAAAATATCTTTTTAAAGGTTATTGTTATTCAAGGAAAACCTAGCTACAAAAAATGTCCATAACATAAACTTTTACAAGTAAAATTTATCATTATTTATTAGAATACTGAGTTATATGGTTATTTTACTTGTTATTATAACAAATTAATTATTATAACAATGCAATAAAAAATATTGAGCAGTGTGCGCGTTAGTCTCTTGGGTTATTTTCACGACTACTGGGAATCTGAATGAAATCCTACAAGCGGATACCCAAGTGGTTGATGGTATTGAATATCAGGATACCAGATGTTAGCACCGCCAATTTGGCAGATTTTTCAGGACGAAGTGTGCGACTAAGAGTGGAGATTCCATACATGTAAACTGAATAAATACTACCTTTATTACATGACAAAAGTACATTATATAAAACGTAAGCATATTTCTACAATGGTATCGCAATGACACACAAGTCGGTTTTTCACGATGAGACATCGGTGTCGTCGTGTAACTGTGAGATACACGGAACTGTATCGATCACGAGTTACTCTAAAAAGACGCGAGCACCGTGAAGTACGACATCGAAGTCTGTAAAACCTTCGAAAGAAGAGAATTATGTGTCGTTGAAGCAATCTCTAAAGTAACTCTTGCGACAATTCGTAGATGACCTTACCATGCTGAAGCTCTCCAAGGAGAAGATGTAAACCTTGCCCGCGCTCAAGCATGTAGGCTGCAGACTTCGTATCATCACCATAATAAGGAGCTTCTGTGATTTCATGGGCGCTTCGTACCAGGTACTGCTGTATCTGCAACGTTGTGACGGCGAGTCAAATGTTAAGAATGTCGAACGCGAGAGTCGAATACACACGCTTTCTTGTCGACCGATAATTACTTGCTACCGAGTGATTACTAATTAACACTTGAGCAAACTGAGAGCATAAGTCGCGGTCTTACATCTTGTCGCGCGTCTGATAACTGTGATCCATCAACTTCTGGCCCTCAAAGCTGAGGACAAATAAATGGAACAACTGACCGCCAACGTAAAGCGCGTACCTCAATATCTTCAAGAAGTTGGAGCTTTGCGTGATCTTGAGAATGGAAAGTGTTTGTCAGGATCAAATCGAACATAGCCTTACAATAAACGAACGACGTACATACTTGCAACAAGGTGATGCTCATTCCTATCGTGCCTACGAGTAATTGTATTGCGAAAGGTATGGTAAAGATGCTTTCAAGAACTTGCGCGAACCTGCGACATAAATAAGGGACGACATGCCAACAGAATTTTAACCCTATTGAACTGAATATCAGAATCGTCTTTATCTTTTTTTGAGTCGAGTTCGGAAACTTTAGACTACGAAAGTAAAGCCACTATCGATTATTGATGTGTTCAGCTCGACTATGCGGAATGTACTTACTTCAAAGCTTCCTGTTGCATACGCACGAAGGAAGCGATCTTCTTACGATATATACTATCCAAGTCAGCCTTTGTGTTCTCTATTATCTTGTCCTGATTACAAAATAAATACTCGAAACGATATCTGCAAACGATCCGTGCATGATTGCGCTTGCTTTTTGAACATAAAATGAAGAGTCATACTTTCAACGTATTAGGGGTTTGCATGACTTCGTTGGATCGTCAATGATTTAATTGACACAAAAGATACGTCAATTTGCAGACGTAAAATCGAATAATTGCTCGAAGAGAGTGGCAAAAAATTATAAGTAACAAGAGCATTTATTTCAAACCTTGATAACATATATAGTCTTTTGTTATTATCAAGATAAAAGATGTGGTTAAAAATGCAACGAACGTGTTCGCAAACCTCTCATTACTAAATATATCTCGACATGTGTTTAACATAGTGTGATTAAAGTTAAAATTAAATTTGAAATTAAAATTCGTTTACCCGAGCACGGCGAATATGTTGCAAATGTGTTCCACATAAGACATGAACATACAATCGTGTGCAACTATTCCGGCCAAGATTATCTCGAACGCCACGAGAGAATGCCAGAAAATGTATACAAAATATTCCTTATAATCTACGAAATAGTATCCCGGATATGGCAGTAGTATAGGACGGGACTCGTTGAGAGGTATAATAACGTCGAGTATTTGTGGTATAAGTGACACCGACATGAATACACACACACATGCTAAGCAGTATACTGCAAAAGACGCGAAATATTTCCAAAGTTAGATGACGTTAAAGACGTTAAATACAGAATTTAAGTCAGAGATTAAATAAAATAATAAATATCTAAAGTATATAAATGTATATAAGGAAAGAAGCATAAAACACTCACTCGGATATATCAAAGAGAATTGTCTGCAATTTTCGGCGTACGACTTCATAATTTCGTATTCCTGGACACTTTCCAACAGTTTCCAGTCGGCGTATAAATGCTTTGTCATTTCTCTAATCTGGCGAAATATCCGTCAACGGTACATTCTCCATTTTCGGATTCTCTAACCGACGCTCGTGCTAATACGCGGGAGAGGCCGTGCGAACACCCGGAGTATTTGCAAGTCGGAGTTAAATTTCAATTACACGAGCGATAAGTGTGCGGAACGTACCTTGCGAATGTTCACAACGAACGTATACACCTTCAACGCAGCTATGCTCGTCAACAGGTACGACGTCATCGACTCGAATATACACTGTAGGTTCTGCTTGCACGTAAATTGATACGCGATCTGGAAGTGTCATCGATTTTTTTCCTTCAACATGATATACCTTGGGGAGAGATCGCATACAAGGAAAAAGCTCATGTAATTGATTAGGGGCTGGGTCAATATTTGGTGACGAGAATGTCTTTGTTATCGCGATCGAAATATTTGTCTAAACTCAGTCACCTATGCTGGAAACCCGATCGAGGATAACCGAGAGCGCAATTGTCTCGTGAATAGAAGCCTCCCGCGTAAGATCTTTTTCTGTTTCTGTACAATTGAATCTTGCTGGCACAGTCGGCGAAAAATTCTCTTACTCTAACGGAGTTACCTTGTTTCGCATATCAATAGATTTACCTGAGGAACGAACAGAGACAGCATGGTCACCGTCAGGAAGCAGAGGCGAAAGATTTTGGCCCTCATGCTCATAAACGGCCATATACCAGTGAATGATGATAACTTCCTTACTGTGCCGTAATAATGATTCCATGTGACCTCCATTGTTCACCGATAGATACTGCGAGTATCCAATATCGCATGATGAAGCAAAGTGCAAGTCTCGCCTTCCCCCTCGCTCTCTTTTTCTTGCGGTGGCAGAGGTGAATACATAATTCACGTGGATGAAATGAAATACAAGCGACTGCTGCAACATGCAAAGTGTCCACTATAACGATCATGCGAATTGCAATGATCGACAAGTACACTTTGACATCTGATTATTTACATAATAAGAGGAGAGTCGTCGGTCTGTAGTGTTATAATATTATAGTAGCAGAAGTAGATTCGTAATACCCCCGACATCCCTCTACGCGGAAAGCATACCTGTCGCTCAGAGCGAGTTGCGGAAGTTGATTTCTTTATCTACGTTGATGAAGTATTTCCTCTCCTCTTTTTTATTTTCCTTCCCTTTCTTGCGAAAGTCGACATCAGAAAGAGGGAAAGGCTGATTTTTGGTAATAAGATGTAGTGGATGTTGCCGCTCTAAGAGCTCATGAGTAACACCTTGAAAACAAACTTTCTTTCTTTCTGTCTTAGCGTTCGTGATTCATACTCCATTTCTGTCCGAAAACATAGCTACCTAAATTTGCCTAGTTTTGACAAATTGATTGTTTCTCGCTAATATTGACGACCGTGCGAGAACGAGTAAGGCAATTTTCTCTTCTGGCCACTTTTTGCTTGCGGTAACGCAAAAGGGTGAGTGCATCTCTCTTTACTTTGATAAACACAATTTCTTTTGTCATCAGATAATTGGGTGTGCGAAATGAAAAAAATATACACACAAGCAATACTCGATAAATACTCACTTACCGTCCGTATTTTGATATTTGAAATCAGCCCAGCTGATTTTTAATCCTACTCTTCGTTTCTCTGCAGCAATGTGCAGACCAATCACCTGGGTTGTTTTCACGACGATCGGATATCTGAAAGAAATCCTACCAGCGGATTTCCAAGTGGTACCAAATATCAGAATACTGTTATTGGTACCAGATGTTAGCACCGCTAATTTGGTAAATTATTCAGGACGAAGAGAGCGACCAAGAGTGGATATTCTACAAGAGTAAACTGTACAAATACTACCTATATTACACGACAAAGGTACATTATAGGTACATTAAAGGTACATTATACAAAACGTAAGCATAATTCTACAACAGTGTCGTACACCAGTCGATATTTCTCGGTGAGACGTCAATGTCGTCGTGTAACGGCGAGATATACGGAACACTGGTATATCACGAGTCACTCTAAAAAGACGCGAGAACTGTAAAGTACGACATCGAGGTTTGTAGAACCTTTAAAAACAGGAGAAGGGCTCCGCGTCATTAAAAGGATTTTGCGGAGACGAGAAGCAACGTCTTTGCAATAATCGTAATTTTACCATGGCGAAGTTTTCCAGCGAGAAAACGTATAACTTAGCAGCGCTAAAGAAAGTCGGTCGGTATGTTTTCATCATCACTAACATGAGCAGCTTTCGCATCTTTATGGGCAATTTGTACCAAGGGCTATTGTATCTACAACAACTCCAAGTTACGACATTTGAATATCCGCAAAATGACAGAAATCGGATAGGTAACTAAATAGTGTAAATGATCGCCTTTCTTACATCTTATCGCATATCTGAATACTATTGTCTAACAGCTTCTGTCCTTGGAAATTCAGGCAGAACAGATGAATCAGTTGACCAATGACGTACAATATGTACCTGAACACCGTCAATAGATTGGACTCGACCGTAATCTCCAGCGCGTAAAACATAAAATTGTAAATTTAGATGAGTGATTAAAAGAATTGAAAAAACAATAAGAAAGACGTAAGCGATTTTATCCGACGTCATTTTGTAATAAACGTTTAACACACTTGCTGTAAGGTAATGCTGAGCCCTATTGTGGCTATGACAATTTGTAGTCCGAAAGGCTTGGTAAAAGTATTTTCGAGAAGTTGCGCTAATCTGCGGCAAATATAAGCGTGAAAATACCATCGGAAATCCAATTTTACTTTTCTTTCTTGAAATTTATGTTTTCGAAATATTTTCCTTTTTCGCTTCAAAGCGCATGATATTTCTCGTTGGCACTATGTACTCACCGTAGGGTTTCACGGTGTGTTTGCACCAAGTACGTGAACCTCGCATGATATTTCTCGTTAAAATCATCGCTCGTATCTTTTATCATTTCATTGCATTCATAAAACAAGTATTTAAAGCGGTATCTGCAAGCAGCAGTATACAGAAGCATACAGAGGCGCCTAGCTTATGCACTAGATAAATTATATAAATTTCTTAAGGGGATTGGAGGGTCAGATTACTGAAACATCGTGCTTGTTTTTGATAATACTTTATGACGAATTGAATAAATGTGCAAGAATGAAAAGTTTAGATATATTTATATAACATATGAAGAATAGAAAAATTTTGTTTATTAACAAATATTCATATAAATATAGGTCCACTTAAATTTTAAACGTGTTTTTCTCGAAATTTTATTGTTCACTTTTTTCCAATAATTTCTCCGAAACTGAGCTTCGTAACGATTTGAGATTTTAAAGCAATAATATTTGTTCATCTGGCTCTCAGATGAACCATGGATAATTATGTCAAAATATTTCATTTCGAGATATTAATTTTTTTATTGTGAAAGAACTGAAAAATTTGGATTTTTTCCTGATAATAGCTGCCTTTTTGTTAATTTTGTTTGATTGTTTTGTAGTGGTTCACCGGATAATGATAAGCCTCCTCAAGATTTCTAGCTAAAATTCGCTCTGATCGGACCATCGAGAGCCGAGATATTATTGCAAAAATGACAACTTGAAAAAAAAAAGGAGAGTATATTTCAGCTATATATATCGTATATTTATATGAGTATTTGTTAATAAACAAAATTTTTCTACTCTTCATATGTTGTATAAATATACCTAAAATTTTCATTCTTGCACATTTATTCAGTTTGTCACAAAATATTATCAAAAACAAGCACGATTTTTCAGTAATCTGATTCTCCAGTCCTCTTAATTACAGCACATTGATCGCGTAACGCTATTCCTTCTTAAAAATTATGCTAGAAACTTGTCGGAGCATGAGTTTCCGCGATGACGCTCGATGACAACGCGATGGCTAGCGATTGTGAAGCATGACAGAAAAGAGCATAGCCCAAGACCTTTCGATCTTCGACAAGGAATGACGCGATAAATAATTGCGGTTTAAAAACGTCTGATATAGATATTGGAAATATACAAATCTCAAAACATTGATTCGTGCCCGAACTCCGTCCTTACCCGGTCACAGCGAACATGCTGCAAATGTGTTGGACGTAACTCACGAACATGCAATCATGGGAGATTACTCCTACCAATACTATTTTCCACCCCAACAGCGCATGTATGAAAATGTATATAAAATATTTCTTCTCGTCTACGAAGTAATACGCTGGATGCGGCGATAACATGGGTCGAGATTCGTTGAGAGGTAAAATAACATCGAGTATGAACGGTACTAAGCAGACACACATCAATATATACAGCCCTATGACACAGTACACTGCAAGACACCAAGATTATTTCGCGAGGAGAGAAACGCGGAGCTGACGCATACCGAAAGCAGATCATCTCTCCGTGGCTTTTATGATCTTACCTGAATATATTAAGGAGTACAGTCTGGTATGGTTGGCGTACGATTTCATGATCTCTTGTTCCTCGGAATTTTCCACCATTTTCCAGTCGACGTACAAATGTTCGGTGAGTATTTTCAACTGACAAACAGCCGATTAACGGCACACTTTTTTACGAGCTAACGAAATAGTACCCCGCCCCGCCCGTCCCCGTAGGTGTGGCAAAGACGTTTGACAAAGATACAAGAAATAACGAAAAGGAAAAATGATCTTGGTAGTCTCCGACTTAGAATGCAAATTCTCCAAAACGAAAAGCAAAACCTAGTGCATCTTTCGGTACAGTGTGCAGCTATTTCGTGATCGTGATACGGTAATCGTGTGTTGTCGAACGTACTTCATGAATGTTGAGCTGAAATGTATACACCTTCACTAAAATCACTAACGACAACAGATACCCCAACGTCGACGTCAATGTGCACTGTATGTCTCCCTTGCATCTGTATTGAAATGCTAGCTGCAAAATTGATCTTTTGATTTAAAAAATGCCAGCCAACACGCGCGATCACTTGTAATCTCTCACACACGCACACACTCTCTGGTTCCCCTTTTTCCATTTACCTGCGGAATGACTATAGTAACCATGATCGCCGTCAGCACGGAGATGCGGAATATTCTTGTTCGTCTTTCCAGATGCGGCCACATGCCGCATACTAGCGATAACTTATAAGCGACCCCGTAATAATGATTCCAGATATTATCCATAGTTTACGAAGAAGTACCGCACTTGTGGTGACGCACGAAGAAATGAAGCTCGAATACCCCGTAAGGGCTGAATAAATGATTCACGTAGACAAAGTATATGCGAACGCTATATGTACGTATACGAAGCCCTGCGTACTTCGTAATCGCACGCGTCACTTCTCACAGTGAGCGACGGGCAAAATATTTCGCGAGACACTTTGACACGGTAGTATTTGCATTTTATCTCGAGTGACATAGGAAGTCTCGCGATTTTCCTCTGTCTGCAAAATATATCGGTGAGCTAACCCCCGGCAATTATTCCTTCTTTCTATTACCAGCAAAGCGTTTCTTTACCTTTGCCTTTACTTTTCTTCTTTTTTCTTTTCTTCGGCAAGACGCGAGGCAAGGTGAAATGTAGGTAATAATATAGAACATCGAGTAAGTAAGGAATATTTGATATACAAGCCATTTCAAATTTGACTAACCCTTGGAAGCTACCGTCAAATATCATCCTAACCTAACTTTTTCTTATTATCGTTTATAGTACAGTATATGCGAGAGTTGATCTGTTTTATTATAATGTTGCCACTACTGACAGCGTGATTAAATATTTATAAAATTAATATTGCCAGAATGATTACATTTTTTAGTAAGATCAAAAATTCGCACGGGGTGAAATCTCACCTATGGTAGACTTTAAGGGTTAAACATGAGCTAAACATAAATAATTGCAGCTGGGTATAAGATGATAAAAAGGAATCAATCGATTATATATAATGTGCAAAAATTAAAAAGTCGCTAAATCATGGAAAATAGGAAAAATTGCGCACGCTATAATTTAGGCAGAAAGCAGTAAGTATTTAATATAAGTCAGGAATTTTGTTTCTATTTTCACGTAATATTATTAAACGACTCGTCAAAAATCCATTTTTTTCAATTTTATAATCTAACAGCGAGTTGAAAAATCGTTATAATTGAGTTAAATAATCTTTTCTTCAAACACTATGACTTTGAAGCTATTTACTTTGAAACAGGATAGCCAGATCAGAAGCGTGGCTGATCAGAGAAATCTTTATTTTTATTTTTTATATCGTACAATTCAGGGATATGTAAGAAAGAGATAATGCTGTTATATTACACACATGATATCGGCATGATACGCAATATTATAAACATGTCAATTTTGTTTGATGGAATATTAGTGCCGTTATACAGTTGCGAGAACAATGTCACGAATTATTAAAAAGACGCGAGGACTGTAAAGTACGACATCGAAGTTTGCAGAACCTTTAAAAAAAAAAAACGAGAATCTTTATGTCATTAAGAAGCTCTCGATTTGTTGCTCGCGTTAATCTATACTTTACCGTGGCGAAGTTCTCCAGAGAGAAAATGTAGATTTTGCCGGCAGTCAGAAGAGACGGCTGAAGACTCTTCATCATTATTAGTATAAGTAGCTTTCGTAAATTTCTGGGTGTCTTGTACCAGGAACTATTATATCTGCAATAATTCAAGAATACACACAATCTAGATGTGAAAGATAACACAGTGCAGTTACACGTAGTTGAACAATTGTCTTACATTTTGTCGCGCGTTTCAATACTGCGATCTAATAGCTTTTGCCCCTCGAAATTGAGAAAGAACAAATGAAAGAGTTGACCAAACACGTAGAACACGAATTTGATTATTTTCAAAATGTTGGACTCTTGTGTGAGCTCCAGTATAATAAATATGAAATTGTAAATTTTCAGATTATCAAATTATATACGGGGGAAAAGGGTGAGAAAAAATTTACACGACAATAATGTGTTCTAGAAAATAGCGTAGACAATTTGCGTGCTAAATGGATACATACTTGTAGTAAAGTAATGCTCATTCCTACTGTACTTATACCCATTTGTACAGCGAAAGGTATGTTGAAGATGCTCTCAAGAAGTTGCGCCAGTCTATGTAAATTGCAACAGACTGGATAATATCGGCGAGCGAATCTCGTCACTTGCAATGTATTCTCTTTTCATTGTTTCAATTGGAAAATATAGTCGACTCAACTCGATTCAACGGTATGTACTCACTCTAAAGCTTCTCGATGCGTGTGCACCAAATACGCGACCCTTCTGCGCAATTTCTCGTCAAGATCAGCATTTTCATTTTTACTAAGCGCGTCCTTACGATCATAAATTAAAGATTCAAAGCGATATCTGCGTGCAAAGTGTACGGATATGGGTGCTTTCAAATAACTCGTAAAAAATATACACATACAAATATATATATTTTTTGGACGTCAGCATTTATGTACGAATTCTCTTCTCACCCGACCACGGCGAACATGCTGCTCACATGCTCGACGTAACACACAAACATGCAGTCGTGGGCAAATATTCCGATTATTACGATTTGCCATGACAAAAAGGAGTGCCAGAAAATGTAGGTGAAGTATTCCCTGCTGTCTACGAAGTAATATCCTGGATACGGCAGCAGTAGCGGGCGAGATTCGTTGAGGGGTAACACGACGTCAAAAATATGCGGTACAATGGACACCGACATGAATACAGTGGTCCCTACGATGCAATACACTGCAAAAATAGTCCGAAACGCGACCAAAAAATATTATACAAAGTGTCTTAAAAATACCGAAACCCCCCCAGATAACTTTGCAGGATCAAGTTTTCATGAAAATCTTTAAATATAAAAGTTGTAGAAAATCGAGTAGCGGACTTGATAGTGACCTTGAATTTGATCTTGACCATGACCCTCAAGGTCATTTGGAGGTCAACTTATGTTTTTTTAAACGGGAATCCTTACTTTTTATTACACTGTTTTCTTCTAATAATTAATTTGAACAACTTTTATCTAAAACATTTTTTTATTTGACTAATATTTTTTTAGATATTTGAGGAAAATTTGATAACTTTTTCAATATTTAACTTACAGTATCTCGCTAACTATTTGTCGGAAGAAAAAGTGGTATTAGACTTTCTTGCTTTGTTTAGTCTCAAGAATATATTGTTACAATAGTGCCCTGAGTTTTGTTAATTTGATGATTTTGAAATTTCCAAAAGTCAGTAAGTTAACAAAAGTCAGGGCGCTATTGTAATAATATATTCTTGAGACTAAATAAAACAAGAAAGTCTAGTACCACTTCTTCTTCCGACAAATAATTAGCGAGATATCGTAAGTTAAATATTGAAAAATTTATCAAGTTTTCCTCAAATATCTAAAAAAATATTAGACAAATAAAAAAGTGCTTTAGACAAAAGTTGTTCAAATTAATTGGTAGAGAAAAAACAGTGTAATAAAAAATAAGGGTTCCCATTTAAAAAACGCAAGTTGACCTCCAAATGACCTTGAAGATCATGGTCAAGGTCAAATTCAAGATCACCATCAAGTCCGTTACTCGATTTTCTACAACTCTTGTTTTTAAAGTTTTTCATGAAAACTTCCCGCAAAGTTATCCGGGGATTCCGGTATTTTTAAGACACTCTGTATACAATTATACGAAATCATATATATTGGGTTGGCAACCAAGTGATTGCGGATTTTAAATAAGAATGAAAATTCAAAATTTTTAATTTACTTTAAAAAATTTTTTTCAATACATGTATGCGATACATTGAGCTTCTCTGCAATATCCACGTGTTGTGCTATGACGATCTGAATCGATAATGGCCTTGATATGGATCTCATCGACTTCAACTGGACGGCCAGATCGTTGAGCATTTTTCAATGAAAAATCACCAGAACGAAATCTGGCAAACCAATTTTGACACTGCCTTTCTTTCAAGGCTTCATTCCCATATACGGCACATAACTTCTTGTGTGCTTGCGATGCGTTCTTGCCTTTTCGGAAATAATACAATAAAATATGTCTGAAGTGCACGTCTTGCTCTTCCATTTTTAAATTGGGATAAAAACAAAACTAAAGAACTAATCGATATAATTTTTGTATTAAATGAAAGGTAGAAGTCCAAACAATAAGAAAAAATATAGGTTAGGTACTTTGAACACGTTAACGAAACAAAAGAAAGTGTAAAATCCATCTGTCGACAAAATCCGCAATCACTTAGTTGCCAACCCAATAATTATATGATATGTAAATTATATATCATTGTACATGATCCATGTACAAACTTTGTCTCCATATGACCTTGTATATAATCATGTGAAATTGTGCATGTTTACGCTGAAGAAAAATTAAGTGAGGGAAAGAAGAAATTGTTTTGTTCAATTATGCGTCTATGACACAAACATAAGCAATTATTTTGTTGTATTCGCACAATAGCATTTTTTCCACAGCGTGGGCATATATAATTTTGTTTGTTTATACACATTATGTGTAGAAACAAAAGTACATAATTATTTTTTCTCAGGAACAGTGGAGGGAAAAATGCAAGGATCCGATCGAGAACAGAAATAGACCTTGTACCTCACCTGGGTATATTATGGAGAACCGTCTGGAATTCTCGGCGTATGACTTCATGATCTCGTATTCTTCCGGAGTCTCCAAGTTCTTCCAATCGACGTACAAGTGCTCGGTGAGTTCTTTAAACTGCAAAACGTCGATTAATAATAAGCGCGTTCGTCGGCGATCTAATCTTACTGGTGACCGTCGCGAGTTTTAAGGTGGACTACATCTTTATATCCAGTACAAACGTTCGTCCTTTACACCTTGACCATCGTGTATCGTCGTGTACGTACTTTAAGAATGTTCAACTGAAATGTGTACACTTTCACTACAGCAACAATCGACAACAGAATCGCCGTCAACGACAGAAGAAAGCAATGTATGTCTCTGCACCTGAATTGGAACGCCATCTGGAAAATGTATCGCTGTTTCTCGCGAAAGTTCTCACCTCACATTTTTCACGCGTTACCTGCGGAACAGAAATGGTTATCATGTTGACGATCTGCAGGCCGATGCGGAACAGTCTCGTCCTCAGTTGGAGAAACGGCCACAGGCCGGCGAGCAACGATATCTTTTGCAAGGTGCCGTAATAATGACTCCAGGTGATCTTGACAGTTTCCATCGCGGAAATATCGCATTCTCGGTGCAGCGCGGCGAAACAAGCTTCGCCTCCTGGCGTGTAAGGGACAAATAAATCATTCAAGCGGGCGGTAGAGCATATACTAATACCACATTTCCGAAACCGCCCACGTGGCAGTTGAGTGTGTCAAGTGGACGATGATCCACAGGAAAATGCGTATCTTTACACTCTGTCAGTGGTGAAGTCTAGGGAAACTTTGCGACTTCCCCCTTGCGCGTAACACATCGACCGAATAATTACGAAAACGAGTCCTTACCGTCTTCTCTTCTCCACGAACACGTGTCAGAGAGAAATCTACGTGAAGGTAGATAGTGTTGGGTGAATGGACGTGTTCCTCGAGCAGGAGACGCTAGCTTCTGAATATTGCAGTTGCTACTTAATATACCAGCAAAATAAAAAAATACACCTACTCATCCCGCACATTTTTGCCATTATCTCGGCGAGTGTAGAGCGTTTCTTCGACTATCAATGTCATTGAGACGCTGTCGAAAATTTTCCGAACGAAAATTCATTGCTCGGAGTTATCTTTGGTAGAAATCTGTACAATGGCGGAAAACTGATACGCTTTAATCAATACGGTTAAAAAAGGACGTTTGATTTTTAATTTAGAAAAATTCCCTCTGAGAGACACGTGTCGGACGAGTTACGATTTACAAAAACGGTTACGCCGACTACAACGGTTGATAAAGAGAATGTGTCGTGCGATCCATGGATCACCACTGGCTTGCAGACTCCGCCATGTATTGTTCACTCTGGTTGATCATGGTATTGCAACAGCAACAGTTACCTGCTGCAGGACACACAGTTCCCTGAATCCTCTCTTTTTCTCAAGTGCCTCCTCAATAAAAAAACACCACGTTTCCATTCGACTGCGAATTAATAATTAATTACACATTTGAATTAAAGCTGAAGGTAAGACTTTATCGTTGGACCGTCTTCTGTTCTCTAATGGTACACGTTTATCTTAGTAAATTACTAATAACCATTTAGTAAATTATTAAAATATCAACTCTAACCACACACTTGTGAAGTTTTTATTTAACGATACATTGATGGGAAAAAAATTTCCAAGGGACGTTCCAAGATGGAGAGAGTTCCAGATAAAAAAGGCAGTTTACTTCACGAGAAATGCTTTTATTAACAATCACAAGAGAGGGGGTGATAATAAATAATCGTGCCGCGCGAGAAATAAATAAGTCGACGATCACGTCGGAGCAGCGACGTTCTCGCAGCGCGTGTCAGACGATCATCGCGAACACCGCGATCAGTGTCCCTTCCGTGGACTCCGATGTGGGCGCTGCTAATTAATTACCCCGCAGTGGTCCTCCACGTGGTGGTCCACAGCCGAAGACAAGTATGGCGGCGAAGGGCTGTCGATTGTTGGTCCCGCGGGCGAATTTCGGTCCGCGTCAATCCGCGGCTGTCAAGGGTTCGGGCAAATCTCTCGACCTCGGATTCTCAAACTTGATCGGGAATTTAATCGGCTCAATTAAATCCTCGACAAGTAAACAAATCCGCGCTCGATGCGAGCCAGAAGCGAGTCTCGTGGCATGACTCGTAGCCGTCGCGAAGTCTTGGGATCGCGACGGGAGGGTGAAGGAGGCAGGGAAGGAGAGAAAGAGAGAGAGAGAGAGAGAAGAGGAGGAGAGCTCTCTCGTGCGAGCGAGACTGACGGTGGCTCGTTAGAGTTAACTTCGCGAGAGGCTGCTTCGTGGTTATTTGGCGTGAGTTTCTTTGGTCGTGTCTCGTTTGCCGACGGTTCAGTGGTCGGGGAAGCGATCCGATTCGAGAGGCGGCGTCTCGGCCGGCGGTCGACGCGCGTCGTTAGGGCGAGTAGCTTGTGGAGCCGCCCGAGGACGAAGACAACGACGAAGAGGAGCCCGCCGAGCTGTACGAGCTCGAGCTGCTGCCGGGCGCGTAGTAGCTGTACGCAAGATTCTGGGCCTCCACGCCGTTGGTGGGCGTCCAGACGCGCGAATATGGACCGTTACCGTCCCACGTGTTGGCTGGGTCGTAGCTCGACGTCGTCGAGAGAGAAGGTACTCCGTACGCAGTCGCCGGTTCCATGGACATGCCTGCGGCTAAAAAATTGCGATGTTTGCGTACTCGATGAAAACGACACGGACATGGGAAACACGTTTTGTTGAAATCGCGCGATTACCAAGACTAGATAACCAAGACTAGAAACGTTTAAACGTCTTTTTAAACGTCCCTAAATGCTTCACTGAATGACTCAGCCAGTGGATAAGAGCTAACTACTTGTGTCACTTTTAGTTCATTTTTACTTTGTTTCTTTCAATTGTCAGAAGATGCATTCAATTGTAAAACAGTTTCTTGTGAGGTTCGTCAAGGTGTTGCTTTTGCCCGCTGGCTGTATCCTTTGCTTTATATTTCATCTTGGAAAATGCTACGCGACGATCAGGGATGCTTTAGTGAAATTTACTGCAGGAAATGTCTTGGAAATCTTTGCTGACTGTGTGAATCATTCAGAAAGCGACATGCGTACGCACCCATCGGCATCATCATGCCGCCCTTCTTGAAGAACTGCAACGCGACGAACCCGATGACCACGAGAATGGCGAGCTTCGACAGGATGAGGGCCTTGAGCGCCTTCAGTCCGATAATGGCCACGAAGATCGGCATGAGCGCCTTCATCTTCAGCTTCAGCAGCAGCAAGAACGGTAACAAGAGCTTCTTTTTCAAGAGCCCGCGGGCTTGACTGGTGGCCACTTCGTTATCCTTGAACTCAATGTCCAGGTCGGTCAAGCTCCTGCTGGGCCTGTACTTGAGACTGGCGTCGACGAAGGGCAGACCCAGGCCGTAGTCGAAGCTCTTTAGGTACTTGGTGGTCCGGACGACAATTGCCTCGTCGATGGTCTCGAGCGACCTCGCCTCTGTGCTGCTACCCAGCTTGCCGTCGAGGTAATCCAAAACATGATGCTTCAGGCAGGAGAGCCACGATTCCGCGGCGACGCACTCGTTCAAGGACTTCACGAGGAAGTCCTGGTTGGCCGCGCAAGATCCAACTAACAGAACGATCGCGCCTACCGATGCTATCAGTCGCATATCGGCGGATCCTCCTCTCTGCGTTTTCTCTCGAAGCTTTCACGGACGATTCCGGCGACAGTCCCACCACGCGTCGACAACAACAGTAACAACAATAAAAATAATTGCGCTCGATTGTACGTGCGTGCGTGCGTGCGTTCGTTTGTGCGAACGAGTGATGATCGGCGATCGAACTGCGACTGACGGAGGAGTGGCTCGCCCCTTTTATTTAATTTGTCCGCCATGAATCTATGTTATTCGGTCGCGCATGCCAGGAATCGGCGATTGGAGGAAAATTATTCAAATTTCACTGGCATGGAGCGCCGGGCTCCTCTCCGCTCTCCCTCGTCGCACCCCGTCGCGCGGTTGCTCCGCGTCCGTCGCACCCATTCAACGAGGCATACGCGCCTATATCGATTGTCGTGCGTCGCGTGCGTCGTACACGATGGCATGCGACGAAGACGAGCACGGGAAACGGAACTCGCGTGTCTCTCCACCCCGACGTGCTCTCACTCGTCCGACTGTCGTCGGACACGGAGGACGCCGCCGCGGCCTCCATGCCTTCTACGACCCGCCGCTTAACAGAATGCTTTAACCGTTTCCCGCCCTGGCGACGTCGCTGATTTGCGCGTCATGTCGTGGAGATTGCGGCGCGAACACGCAAGCAACGCGAGCAACGCAACAATTTTGCCGAGGAAACGAGCTATGCGCGTAAATCTTGGCGCAAATTGCATCCTTGCGGTGCAGTGGGAAATTGGGTCGATGCGGTCTGCAACGCGTGCTGCGGATTTACTTTCGGCCTCGGTTCAAGGAACGGTGCGATTCTGACGTCATGCGCGATGACGGTAGCGATACATTTCACAGAGGCGGGAAGTTTGCGAAGAAATCTGAAGAAACATTAAAAAAATCGTCAGTTTAAAAGTCCGCTCTGTGGAAAAGTTCGCTAGAAGGAGGAATACGAAGAAATGTTTGAGCGTTACGTGAAACGCAAAAACTGGTGGGCAGTTCGATCGAGATCGTTTGGTCGAATAATCGTTTCTCCCTTCAAGCGAGAGGTAATTCAAGTAATGGTAGCAGTAACCTAGGTTGTCGTTGACACATTATGAGGGCATCGATTATTATTTGAATCTCGTTGGACGATGCAGTTTTATTCAGCTCAATCCGTAAGATTGTTTATTCCGCAAATGGCGAGTGTGTGACTTGAAATGTGGTACGTCGGCGGTGGAGCGTTTTTCCTCGCGTTTCTGTAGAAATTACGAGTCACGTAATGTGTTAAGCCAGTGAAATGACTCTCAGGCGGATGACTTTCAATCAACTTTCGTAGGAAACGAAAGTGACTGCATTCGTATGTAGGCCTTTTCGTGTAAATGTCCCATAAATCTTCGATCAATTTGGAATGCGGGTGACGTCCTCGCGAGCTCGAAGAAGAACGACGACATGGGGGAGGATCGTGCCAGAGAGAAAGACGAATCATGCTACGGAAACTATAAACACGTCAACTTAAAATCCGCCTTCTTTAAATCACATTGTCGCATGTCAGTTGTTACGAAAAATTACGACTTTGAGTAAAATATTTACTCGACTTTTTTTTAATTTTACGAAAGACTATCGTTAAAAATTACTCCATTAAAATTAAAACGAAATGATATATTTTTATTTTAAAATTCGACAGAGAGATATATTGAAGCGAGTTTTTATGCAACATCCCTCGTTAGATTTTCTGCTTAAATAACGAAGAAAATAAAATAATAACGCGCTAAAATGGAAACTAAAAATTTCCTAATACAAACATGTTCGGTTATTTCCTCCTGAATAAGTCTCAGCGTTTGACGAGGAACGGTGTCGGGTTGTGATGAAATATTCAAGGTGCAGCGCAGAGTACGTGTGTGTGACTTGCAGTAATAATTTATTAAATAGACAGTACAAATAGGAAGAGAGAGCTAAGTATTTTACAAAAGCGCCGGCGACGAACAGACGGCGGCGTCGGCGGCGGCAGCGTTAGGATTGCACGTGAGCGGAGTACGCATGATTATGCGCGAACTGCGACGACGGCAACTGATCCTGATCCTGGAAGGACCTGTATTGAGCCTGATACTCCCAAGGTCCGTGGGCGATCGGCGCCCCGTGGCCGTCGGCGGCGATCTTCTTGCATAGCTGAAAGATGGCCATGCCAACCGAGACGATGAAGCTGAAGAACGAGAGTTGCAGGGCGTTCCAGGCCTTCAGGCCGAGCACACCGATGGCCAGTGGGATCAGGGTCATCGCCTTCAGCAACACGAACACGAGGATGGGGATGACAACCTTCTTCAGCTTGGACCTGCGGGCTTCGTCGACGGCACGGCCCTGGCCGAACTTGACTTCGAAGGTGAGCTGGTCGTCCTCGATGTTGCGCGAGCTCACCTTCACGGCGGAGTCCAGCGGCAGCTTGAAGGTCACGTCGTGAGAGGCCAAGTAGTTTTGCACGGTGTCGAGGAAGGAAACCTCGCTACGGGCGGACACTTCCTCGACGGGTTGCGAGTTACGCGTAACTTCCACTGACTCGGATACCTGGAAGAAGGCCGCGACGGTAAGCGAAGGAATATGTAAATGTATGATAAAAATCTCCCCGAGAAAAGTTGAATGAAAACGGATGGTACGACATATAACTTCACACGATTCTGATCCGGAAAAGTTGAAGGGAGAAGCCAAAGACTGTAAGCACGAGAGCTCTGTGACATCACAGTCTGAAGAATCACCCTGAAGAGAGGTGCAACGAAGCATCTCCGACACTTGCCTTGAAGTTATCCTTGCTGAAGGCCTGGTCGATCAGATTGAACACCTTGAACTTCATGCATGCGACCTCGTCGTTCTTCTGCGCGCACTCGGACCTACTCTGATCGACCATCTCGTCCATGGCGTTCTTCCAGTTCTCATGCTTGGCCGGTTGCGCGACGGCTAACGCGAGCAGGGCGCACGAAAGGACGAGGAACTTCATGGTAGCAGGGGGTGTGTATGTATGTAAAAGGCTGCCGCTTCAGGTACACCCGCTCGAGTATGATGAATGAGGACAATCGCGGCACGACGACGACTGATGCCGATGGGTTGGGCAGTACGGTATTTATACGAGGCCTATCGTCGAATCGCACAAGAGTCGCACGTCGAAGAGTCGCGTAGCGGCGCTCCCGAACACTCCCCCACTTCCGTGGCGACTAGGCTGGATTTTCTTTTCGTTCAGTATGGTCTTCGATTATTGAGGCCTCGCCACGGAGCATGCCGCGACTACCTGATGAGGGAGGATAGAACGGAGCCGGTTTGCTAAGGTTGGCCACGCTACGCGCAACATGCGACGCCGACGCCCGCGCCGGCGTCGAATCGGGGGTAGCGGCCGAACAATACAGGTCGTACGTGTATCGTTCGGCACGCGAAACGCGACGGAATCTATGATATTTAATAAACGCCAGGTGGCTTTCTACGAACGATCGGGGGCGCGCGGTCAAGCTTGCGACAGCCGTGAAATATTTTCGGAGCATGGCCCGGAACGAAATTTTTCATTCACGGACGCAGCCGGACTGCCAAATCGACTCGGACCCGGATCGTCGCGATCCGGTTGACATCGCTGGTAGATACCGCTGCGACGGTCGCTGAAACCTCAGAAGGAGTGGTGTGTCCGCTTTTTCATGCAAAGATTTCGCATCGAAACTGATATGGATCTATATTTGAGGAAAAAAAGGTCGGTCGAATTAACATGAGCGAACCAAACTAGGCTGGGAAACTCTAAGATCCGCGAACTTACCGCCGCTACACTCGTTTTGAATCTCCTTCATGTAGATGATGTAAATTAAAGTTCACAATTATGGTTGGTGACGAAAATTGAACGTCCACTATGTGGACAATAAAAATTGTGTCTCTGTTGCGTCAAGTTGATAAAATGTCACTTTTTCGTTAAACACGTTCTGTATTAACGAACAGTCGTGAGAGACACGTAAGTCGGAACGATGCAGCTGGCCAAAATCCTTCGGGACCCATCAATAACGAGACATCCGTACGGCGCGCCGTAACAAAAGCCTGCTTATCCCAGCATTGAAGTCACCGCAAGGCAGACGTAACGTCGCGTTGATCGTTCATTCATGCCACGATCGTGACTTTCCACACGAGCGGCTCCGTTAAAGCTCTCTTATACACACACGCTTAGCCGTCGTCAGTCATCAGTTAGATAGATATCCAGTCGCTAATTTCACCCCGCCGGGCCACCCAATTAAATGGTGTAGCTTCTGATCGCGCTCGAGGGAAAACGGCGCGTCGACGACGCGACGAGCGATCAGCGATGCGCGCCGTGTACGAAGTTTCTCGCGCGTGAATGCGTACAGAGTACCATTCGCATAGACGCTTCTGTCAACGCTGCCCGACTTCTACCTTGCCGTAACAATGAAACGGCAATTGGACTTTTGGGTCAAGTTTGCATAAGCATCCAGGTCGGCCGGCCGACGAAATGTCGATCGACGTCTTTCGTATTTTTCGCGAGACGCGTCGATGCCCTGCGCGTTCGGCACGGCGAACTGCAAGCTGGCAAAATCGAATTATGGAGTGCGAACTGAGAGCGTTGCTGTGCACCGACAGGCTATTCTCTCTCTCTCGGGACACTTAGAGATTTGCTTCGCCCGTGGAATTTCGTAAATATTGGATGAATTCCGCACACGTTGACGAGTCTCTCGTTAGAGATTTTAATCGCTTTGACGTATCACGGAGACGCGCCTCTTTCGAAAGCCTTCGGTGTACACTTTGCGATACGTAGTCGCTGATTTGCATCGGAGTTAAATCGCTGGTCTGATTTCATGCGATAACGCATTTGCATGTCTCGTGTAATCAAATACGTAACGTGGTGCATCAAAAATAAAAGCCGGTGTCAGTGAGCGAGTCACTTTCTCGCTTCCGACATACTTCCATGTTCATTTATTATGCCTTTGCGTCGCTCCGCACTCTTCTTCCTAAACGTTCATTAACGCGTCTCGGTGTGTCTCGAACAACAGTTTCAATAGCCGAGAATAAAAACGAGAGTCGCAATGCGAATGGGATGGGATCAAGGTGGGAATAATCGCCCAGTCGCACTTGATGAAGTAATGTAAAAACTTTTATTGAGCATAAATAACGGTGGCAGTACACTAACGCGACGAATAAATGATATTAAGTAAATAATTTACTAAAAAAAAGTAACGAGGCACAACGATCACGATTCTCATTCTACTACGTTCTCCTACTTCCTGTAGGCTCTGTAAGGTCCGTGAGGCGCTGTATCCCAGTGAGGTGGGTGTTCCACAGGTGGGTGTCCGTAGTGGACAACCTCGTAGGCGACTTTCGGTTTCGTCAGCTTGAAGATCAGCATCGCTCCGCTGAGGACCATCGACAGCAGACCGAGAGTGAACGCCTTCCACGTCTTCAAGGCGATCAGAGCAAGAGCGAGGGGTACCAAGGCGGTGGCCTTGAACTTGAGGCCGAGCAGGAACGGTATCATCACTTTCTTCACGAAACCGCGACCTGTGAACATGAATGGAAGATTACTGAGAATGTTGAACCTCCTGGTTATTTGTTCTTGCAATTGACTCAAAGTCTAGGTAATAGATGAAGAGAACAGACGCGACGTGCGTTCCTCGTTCACACGTTCATCACTCGAACCTTGTCCATTGGAGGAGTCGCTGAGAGGAACGGTGAGACTCCTTGGCATACTGTCGATCAAGGACCTAGGAACGATATTGGAGCCTGTGATCGCATCCGGCAACTTGGCCTCAAGCTGATGGCTCGACAGGTACGCGTCCAATTTCTCGAACATCAGCGTGCGCAGAAGCTTCCTCTTGGACGGGTCCTCGGTGTCGTACTCCTTCGACAAGTCGTAATCCTTCGCTTCAGCCTCGGGCGCGACACAGGATTTAATCACCGCCAGATCCTCCGTGATCGCCAGTCTGTCTTGCTTCACTGCGTCGGTGAGATAAGCCAACACCTTCGGTTTCACGCAGGATAACATGGACTCGCTATCCGCGCATCTGTAAAGTTAGAATGCATACTGGAATGAGACAAACGTTTCTAACATGACTCCCTGGAATTGTTCTAGAAAAGTAAAATTGATTATAGGAACCTACTGCTGCGAATTTTTATATAAATATTTTTATATTTATCAAATTTTCGTAGCGAGCACATTATGATTGCTATAAAAACGCAATTGATCCCTGATGCGATCACAGGTAGAATAATCAGAACTTTTCTAATTTACACGCTACTTCTACTCGCGTAGTGAGGGATATGCTTTTGTAATTCACCTGTGATAAATTTTTTGCAGGACCCCGACGGTGGTGTCCGCCCGTTGCGCACCAGTGAGGGTGGCCAGAAGCGCTACGAAAGCAACGATGGCTGAGATCCCCATGGCGGTACCACCGATTCGCCAGGCCAAGCACCGAATGCCAGTTCGAACCAAGTCAACGGGGTTTTATAGCCGATGGCAGCCGCGTACGGCTGATGAATTCTGATGAGGGACGTGGTCGGCTACCGGATGGTCGAAAGAAAAGAAGAAAGCCTCATTATCTAGGGTGTCGATATTTCCACGGCCCCGACAACCGCCTCGTCCCTCCGCGATGATTTCGTTTTCGACATTAGCGCGGAATATCACTTCCGCTCGAGCGTTGCGCCGGCTTAGCGAGGTCCTGTCCGTCTGTTTTCGGCTCAGCTCGGCTCGGCTCGGCTCGGCTTGCTGCTTGCTTTTCGCTCTCGTTCGATTTTAATTTAGGAAAATGGGTATCTCATTTGGGGAAACGGATATCGAACAAGTAAGTGTATCCTCGCGAGGTTTGGGGATAAGTGATGAAATGTTAAAGTTAAATAATGCAAGCGTTTCTGAGCATTGCGATGATTTGGTTGGAAAGATCGATACACAGCACTATTGCTCGCATTTTGACAGTTTCATGAAACCCTAATAAGCGACTTTTCCGAAGAAGAGCTTCACTTGAAAGAGAATACTCGCTCGTAGCTCTGTTCTTCTTCTTCTTCTTTTCTCTCAGGCATTACTTCCTGCTGAAAACGAAAGGCGCAAGCGCGGCTACAGGGATAATAATACGACAGTACAAAATTAACTTGTTTCAGCATTTTTATTGCGTCAACGCTATGGATACACAACAACGCTACAAAACTGTTGAAAGTTCTTATTGAACAGTTGAAACTGCTTATTTTTATACTTTTTACACTACACGTTTCTTACTAAGGTTAAAGCTAAGGAGAGTAATGTTAAGTAAAACGCAATTATTTTTGGGTATGGCACCCCGATGTATTATGTGACAGCAATCGATTATTTGCAATCCAGAAGAGACAAGCACACAGATCTACGTCCGTCAGAGACGCGACTCTTCTCCATTTGTTTCCGTATCATATACACTCACACACGCGCACACATACACCCACATCTCGCACACTCCGCTTCTATTCTTTATATTCCACTCTATATTCGGTCCAAACCTGACCGAATCAACGAAATTCCTCTCATTCTTTTCCGCAATACTCCGCACGCTGAGTCAACAATTACAACGCGCGTATCCAGCCCCTAAAATGCCCCTTAATCCAACGACTGAGCTCGTCAGTGCTCATCTCCGAAGACGGCGATCTTGCCGATAACGTGTCAACAGAGCAGGAACTTTGACGCGTCATCGCAAAATCCGACGACTTCATTCGTATCGACGTATCCTCCTCTGAATCGACGTATCCGGCCTCTGAATCAACCAGAAGAAAAGAGAAAGAAAGAAGAGAAGGACAAACCGACATGAAGCGCAAATAAATATCACACCCAACGTGCCGATCAAGGGCCTTATCTCGAACACACAGCGGCCTCCGTGAAATATGCCTCCGACAAACCATTCCTTCCATCAACTCCAAATCCGCTTCAGAAGAGAACTTGAGAGAGGCATATCACAGCCAGCGCTCGCGAAACAGGCGTCCGAAACAAGGCCCCGGTTCCTTACGACTACGTTAATCGCTACGACGCGATGGCACCCACATCCTCGCCGACGAGACGACGGTCCGCGGACGCGGTCTCCCGGTGCAGACAGGTAGGTGAATTCGCAGGTTACAAACGGAAGTGTAAATTAATGCATGGCAGTGACCGTCGGTCCCCGCCGCGCTCAAGTTGCGCGGCGCGTGGTCCCTCCAGCTCGGACCCCGGTTGAGCAAATATACGCGTCCGACAGTACTGTCGGCGCCGCGGGGGACCGGCAACAGCTGTCGCGGGTTCTGATTGCGGGTGCGCGCGACACGTCGGCAGAAGTTCCATGTTCATCACGGCGCGCCGTCTACTCGGTGTTCACGTGGCAGGGGTACTTGTGCAGGCAGTCTCCGCCGTCCTGGCCGCGTCTGGCCGCGTTCGTGTACCGCTGGAACCTGTGGCTGGACGCGCTCTCCGTCACGCCGCGCTTCAGCTCCTGCGGGTCCCTGTAAGCACGCGAACATTGAATAATCCGATCCGCGGTCAGGATGACGCGCTACGATCGCGACCTGATTCGCGCCGGCCGCTTCCTCCCGCCGGGACAATTCGACGCGAGGAGGCGCTGACGCAATTCAATCGAGGCAACTCGCCCACTTGGGAGCTCGTTACTCCGAGCAGCCGTGATTGTGCGTGGACGAGTTATCCGACAGGCGTCGCTGGGGCAATGCGAAATTGTTCCATATATTTCCGCTCCGTCGCGCCGCCGCGGACGGGAGAGGCGGGAGGGGAGATAAGAAAAGCGGTATCCTTACCGGTTGTTGGCGGAATGCTTAAATCGCGAGACGGAATACAATACAAACCTGGGCGAGCCCGACGGCATGACTCTGCGCGACTCGCGATCGCGAGGTTGAGTAAGAAGCAGGCAAAACGAGCGCGAGACCGCGAGAAAAAGAGAGAGAGCCGGCCAAGGCCAAAGTGACCCGATTAACGCGATTCGGAGCGCGGGCGATGTGATGCGGTACGCGACGTCCACCTTTCTCCTGGCTCTCGCTTGGCGATTTAGCCGATAACGCGCGTAGTGTAGCGGAGCGACGTGTGGAACGCCTTCATGTTTGATGAGGGACCTCGGTCTTTCGGCGGCTCTCAGAGGACGAACGGTCCTACCGGACGCGTCGTGGACTTCAGCGAGCTCGAAGCGTTACGGTTTCATTTCCTTTCGTTGACCGCGCGAGTGCGATTCAACCCGTCTGACCCTTTGGGCCATTTTCACCCACCCCGAAGAGCGTGGAAGGGTTTTGCATCGCAAGATTCGCTTTGCAACCGCCGCTTTTTACCCCCCCTCCCCCCCCCCGACTAACTTGACTAGCCCTACCGCGCTGTCCGCGTCGCCGCGTTACCTGGAGAGCTCGTTGGACACGAGGTTGCTGTGCGGTGAGTAGACCGCCGGGTTCTTGTACATGCTGCAGACGAGCCTCTCTCGGCACGACTCTTCGTAGAACCTCAGCTGCCCGAAGATGTCGTCCAGCCGTGCGATTATCGGCCCGTAATACTCGTCGTCGGTTTCTTGCGGCGAGACCGGCACGCTCGCGCTCTTGGCCGCCGCGACGGGGGTCAGCAGTCGCTGCGGCTGCTCCGGTCGAGCGTTCGGCACGAAAGCCGCGTACGGGTTCTTCAAGTTCGCCAGCGGCGTCTTCAGGTTCACAGAGAGGTGCGGATTCACCGACAGCGCCGACTGCTGTTGAGTGCCTGGCCGCCGGTACTTCAAGTCGTTGAGATACCCGGAGTAGGCCAGGTTGTGCGCGTTAGCCGACACCGAATTGTCCAGGAAGGTCGTCTTGACGTTCGTCGCGTATTGCGGTAGCCCGTACGAGCTTTGATACGCGGAGCTGGTAGCTGGTACGCGATTCAGATGACTCGAGTCCTCGTACGGCTCGTGGTACGGCTCGATGCCCCATTCCTTCAGCTCCTCCATGTCCTTTCGGTACTGAATGTGCGGATGAGCGTAATCGTAGCCGTCAAAGTCGACGTCGTGATGGTGATGGTGGGGATGGTCGTAGTACGCGGGGAGCGGCACCGGCACCGGCACGTGGTGATGGTGATGCGCGATCTAAGACGAAGAGAAAGAAGAGACGTGTGTTCTTGTGTAAACGTGACAGAGATCCAAACGTCAAGGGCATCGCTTACCTGATGGTGGTGGTGGTGAAACTTGGTGGCGTGACTGGCGTGGTAGCTGGAGCAGAGCTTGAAGATGTGCGCGAAGGCGGGGATGAAGAAGAGCAGCAGCTTCAGGAAGAGCTTCTTCGCGGTGCCGACGCCGAAGAGGAACGGGATGACGAACATGAACTTCACCTTGATCAGCTTGATGATCAGGAGGAGCGCCAAGAAGCTCGTCAATAATTTGTTCTGTATGAATTTTCCTGAAAGAGAAAGAACATGGCGTTGTTATTTTTACATGTCGCTTGTCGCAAGAATAGAACGCTGTTATCGTAATTATCATCGTCATTGTCATGAACGTTGAATTAATATCTCGGGAACGGCGACTGATTTACTGATTTTCTTGAAGATCCGTCCCTGCTCCGCGACCTCCCGCGTGCCAAAGTCCAGCCTGAGGAGAGCCCCGTTCTCGTCGACCTCGCGCGGGCTGATCTTCACGGTGGCACCTTCGAAGAACCGAGGCAGCTCGAGCTCGTAGTTGCGAGTCGACAGGAACTTGAGCGCCTTTCGTCGCAGCGCGTTCGTAATCTCCTCGAGTGGTGACTTCGGCTCGTCCTCGAGCCTTCGACCTTGCCCCGCGTTCGCTTCCTCGTCGCTTCTCGTCTCTTCCGCTCGGTCGGTGCAGTCATCCAGGCCGATGTCGTCCACGAGATTCTCGCGGACATCGTTACGCTGGTCTTCTGACGTCCTCGGACACGTCGCCTCGTAAGTGACGTTGTTTCGCGTGAGTGTCAGCCCGTCGAACACCGTGATGTTGTCGCGCTCGATAAACGCGTCGTCCAGGTAGCTGTACGCGTTCTTTTGTATGCAGGAGAACGTCACCCTCTTGCTGCAGTCCCTGAAGAGCCCGTGCCAGAGCTCGTTTCCCGTCTCGTTGGCGGATTTCGGCAGGCCCAAGTTCAGGAAGCTCGCGTATAACCTGAACTTCTCGGCGCTGAACAGCTCCGAGCGCGACAACGACGTGATCGAGAGGCACCACAGAAGCACCGTCGTCCAGCGACACATCTTCGGCATCACTAGCCGCGCGCGGATCGACCACGTGTGTGTGTGTGTGTGTGTGTGTGTGTGTGTATCAAGTAAAGCGCACTGCTGCGTATTCCTATCCGACTGTGTTTATGACCAGAAAAATGTGAGGTAACGTCCCGGAAGCACTACAACGCTCTGAATGCACGCTGGCGAGCAGCGTATCACTGAGCCAGCAGCTGGAACCGGCGCACTTTTGATTTCGCGTCGAAGGTCATCGCCGAGCCGGTCCTCGCGGATTCTTTGGTATCTACCGGCAGTGGTAGCGCGGCTTTCCTACTTATTGGAAATCGTCCAGTTGTCCAGCGGGTCGACCCGCCCCCTCCGCCGAAAATCCCGCCGCGGCCTTCTCCCACCGTCTCCCTAGCGTTGTTGACGTTGTCCTCCTCCTCCTCCTCCTCCTTCTCCTCCTCCTCCTCCTCCTCCTCTTCTTCTTCTTCTTCCTCTTCTTCCTCTTCTTCTTCGGCTGCTGCTGCTGCTGCTGCTGCTGCTGCTGCTGCTGCTGCTGCTGCTGCTGCTGCTCCGCGGAGCGGATCGCCCGCGAGTGCTCGGCGCGACGCACGATCGGCGAAGCTCACATGGTCGCATCGTCGTCACCAAACACCGACGACCGTCAGCACCGGCGGCGAGTCGACCATGGCGTCATGGCGACCGTCACCGTTCCGTCACACATGTAACGCCTCGTATTGACCGCTGCGGTCCCTCACCTCGCGCTTTCTTTCTCACCTTGCCCGTCGAGACGCGCTCCGTCCGATCTCCCGCTCCGTACTAACCACGAGCCTCTCCGCGAGTTCTCGGTTACAATTCACCTGAGCGTCAAGTGTGTCAAAGGCCCTCCTACTCCGTCGGCGAGCTCCTCCGTGGAAGGTCATTATCGTCTCTTCTCGGTAGGTTGCAGCCAAAGCCTACGCTTCTACATGCACGCGTTACACGACCGCCTGCCGAAGCGGCCCGCGTTTCGGGCGTGCGTCAAGAGAGAAGACGCCTTCTTCGTCTGGGTCGAGGTAAAATACGAGCGCTCGCGAGCATCGGAAATTTCCCAGCTGCGTGTGCGCTCACGTGGGGAATGAGGAAATCGAGAAATGTGTCAGCTGCTGCGCCGCGCAAGGCGTTTTCTCCTTTGGCGTTCTGTCTCGTCCGGGTCCGCCGCCGCCGCCGCCGCTGCCGCCGCCGAGCCCCGAATTTTGCCCGGTCGGAGTTCGGCCGTGACTGTGCGAGTCGGTCGACGAGGCCGAGGTCAGCTTCATACCCGGGATGGGCTTTTACGCAATCCTGCGTGCGCGCGAACTTGCTTTACATTTTTGTCTCTTCTCTCCTCAGCACGCGTGAAATTAGATTTTGCGTCGGTCGTCCGAAGAGTGCGGTCGACGCACTCGTCGTAGGATCGCGAGATCTCTAATGCGTTTATTACATAGCGCAACGCGAGCCTAGTATGTAAAAAAGTTTAATTATAGTCGTCCACTGTTCGTCGGCCATAGTTTGCCTCTTCGTAAAATGACGGTGGTAAGGAGAAGTTAATACGCGGCTGGACCGCCACAGCTGACCGTTTATACGGTATCTCATACGAGCGCGGCTCTCGATACCTCGATAGAAGCTCCGTTTGTCTCTCTTCGCCTCGCAACGGCGTGTGACGCAAGTTTATCAGCTGCGATAAGGATATAAACGTATGGAACGCGACATCGAGCCGTTCGGGTGATGGAAACGACTCGCGGAATGGTCGCGAGGGGCGATTCGGATGACAAACTTGCCTGGCAACATTCAGAGTTACGACGGTCACGGACACTTTAACTCCAGAACTACCGGTGATTAATGACCCATTTCCAAATAGAACAGTTAAAATAATTACAATAATGATAAACTTTGCGTTGGTACACGGGGCTAACTGATGTTACAAGATGTACAAGAAAGAAAGAGAAGAGATTGCGCGCGTTGGATCTGCTTTATTGCCTTACGTGGATGAAGAAAGCGGAACAGACGGAAAGGAGAGAAATGACAGAAGACACCGGGAAAGACCGCGGCGAGATGCAAAGTAAAACGAAGCACGTGATATATGCTGAAGCGCACGGTCGTAAAGAGTGTGCATGATTTTTGTGGGAAGCTTCAGAGAGGCCACTCTGACTTCCTCAACAGTTTCATTGTTTACGTGACAAGACCGCGCGCACTACCGCGCGCAGCGCGCGCTGGGCAACTTCTCGCGCCGTTGAGAGATCTGTTTGTCGTTCTCTTTACTTATCGCGGGTGATTTGCGTGAATTGAGCCGAGACGCGATCCGGTCGATGGGTAGGAAGCGATAACAAACAGAGTGCTGTCGGGTGACATCTCAAATCGAGATGCTCCCGAGACGGTCTGCGAGTACAGTTAACGACCTTCGAGCAGCAACGCTTTACTTCCGATTACTCAAGTCAAGTCTCTCACGCAAGAAACAGGATTTTATTGTACTCCATCTACTTCACACGCCGACACATATTTCGAAAAAACAAAAAAATACGTGCGTATTAATGAAATCTACTTGTGGAGCAGCGCGCGGAGACTTTCGTGAATGAATTATAGAGCGCGCGCTACGTTCTCTTCCACGTCGAAGTGCGACGTGAACGGTAGCTCCAGCCGCCACTTGACCAACGTCGAGCGGAAAAATCGACGGCGTCGTATTACTCGAACTCGTGTAATGTAACACTACGCTATATACTTTTACTCGACGGTTATTCGAAGATAACAGACTGAGTTGTTCGGCCTATGAAGAAGTTTAATCGGTTGACTTTAAAACCTGCTTTGCGATCGTCGCTGACTCGCTCGCGCAAGCGAGACGTTATTCCACGGATACAAAGCAAACAGTATTCTACCGACAACATTGAACTGACCAGCCGCACCTCCGGCTTTTCACTGGTAGGATCCCGGTGAAGGTGTTCTCGTTTACGCCAACTAGCAACTTCGACGCGCAAGAAAATCCATTAGGACTATGTTGATCGGCCTACAACCGATCGGTCGGACTGCCGAGCGATTCCGTTACCTTCATTTCGCTCGTAATAATAAATCGGAATCTCATTTTCCATATGAACTCTCATATGAATCAACTTCTCATATTAATCGCCTATGATTGCCGGCTCATTTCGAAAGTTTTGCTCGACTTTTACGTTAAATTGGATTTCATCGCGTTCGATGGAAACGAATTATTCGCCGACTGAAATGATCAACAAATTCTTCATTATTGCCAATGCTGTGGCGGTAAAGTGCCGTTCCGTCGCACACACGCGTGTGATCTCACCTGCAGGAAACGGAATCGAAACTTTCTGCTGACTCGATTTAAGCACACGTCATGCTAAACCTACGTGCCAATTTCGTGCGTTTTACCGCTCGGGGAATCAAAACGTGTAAAATATTCAGAGATACGCCTCTGTTTTCGAACTTGGCTGCCGCATATGTCATCACGGGTGAACGTGACTCGGAACAATTTTGAGCGTGAGTCGGTCCACGTATGTAGGAACAGGTTTCGAAAGCAATGCGCCAAACCCACGGTTTGGACCAGGTCGGGCCGGCGGCACGAGGATCTGCGTCGTCTTGATACCGAAGAGTATCTATAAAAAGAGAGAACGAGAAAGAAGGAGGGAAAGAGAGAGAGAATGGAAGTTCACGGTCGCGGAGCACGCTGACCAACGCGATCGAGCGGGCCAAGATGGCCGAGTGGACGAGCGCAGTTTGACCGGATGAATTCCATTGACCTACTAATGACAGGTGCTAGGTAAGTAGGTTGGTTTGAGGCGTATGACCGGCTTACGCATTTGCTGCCGAAAAGTGATCGCAAGTGCTGGCTGACTCGTACGGAGCCGGCCGGCCGGCCGGCCGGCCGACCGGTCATTCATCTCTCTCTCTCTCTCTCTCTCTCTCTCTCTCTCTCTCTCTCTCGTCGCCGAACCCGAGAGTACACTGGCGGAAACGAGCTTTCCAGGCGGAAACTTCGTTCCACCTGGTTCCAGCTTCGTCGGGAAAGATTCGTCTTGGCAGTCTCGTCGCGTGGACGGATGCAAAACACTGTACGCGCCCTCGCGAGTGCTGGCGCTCTCCTATTTTACGCGGCACTTCTCCGCGGAGCTCTCGATACCCATGGTGGAACAAGGGGCTCGTTCAGCGTTCTATCTTGTAGCTTAGTTAAGTCCGCGGAGGACTTCGTTTATAAAGAAGCGGAAGTCCCATGCTCAGCGTCTCCGAGCGGCAAAAGGCGCCACCAGTTATCAGCTGAAAGTTCTTGAGAGAATCTCACGGCAAAAGCGTGGGTTAAAAAATCAAAATAGGTTGGCGGGTCTCGGAGTATATTGAATTAGCGTTAATTAGAATACAAAGGTAGGAAGTGGGGCCAACATTTCGCGACTCGGAGAGTGTTTCAGGTCGCGGAGATCGTTTCTCGCGCCACCGATTTTCGTCATTCTCAGTCATACACAAGCCGGCTTTTCTTCGCGCAGGTAGACCGGAACGTTTTCGCAGACTGTCGTCTTGCGTCTCCAACTTTTGTTCAATTAGAGAAATTAACTAAATCCAGTTGAAGTCGTTATGTTACCGCGCAGCGTGCGAGGAATTTGTGAGCCGCTCTCCTCCGGTGGGCACTCGATGGAACGTGGTCCGGCGGATTTCCGGCAGCAATGGCGACGTAATTGCCGCCGTCGAGATTGCCGGGCAATCCTCTCGGCACTTTAATTGCCTCGCGTTGTCTAACGATCCCGCGGAAAGCGGGAGCAATTTGTGCCGGTCTGACTGCGACGGATTATTATTGCAGGGGATGCGCCAGGCCGCGCTCGCGCGTCACATGCAACCGCACGTTAGAAAGTATTTGCAGTCGCAGGTGCGGCTGGACGCACCGTTGCGAGCCAGAAACACGAACTTCGGCAGGACGTTAGTAACCCCGAACGGCGAGTATTTGTACCTCGCTTGGTGCACTCAAACTGGTTTGCGCGCTAGCACGCCCACCAAGTGAACCAAGCAACTGGGACGCGTCGCGTATCGGACGGACGAGGAAAAAATGCGCAGCTTTATCTCGCGTACGGCACGAAGAGCGAAGAGGACAAGAGCGGTTTATTGTGCGCCGATCGATGCGCGATATTAACGAACTTTTTACCGGACGAGTTTGCGGATGTCTCTCCAACTGTGAGCTAGAAAGTTTCAGAACACGTGTTCTCGCGTTTCCAGCATTTCAGGCTTTTTTTTATCTCGTCGTGGCCGCCCAATTCTTGTACCTTGCCTTCAATACATGGGACTCGTGATTTACGACGTATCGATATCGCGAAGAATGTTGACCGGTATATGAAAGAGAGAGAGAGAGAGAGAGAGAGAGACGATTTGCGGGCTACGAAATTAAACGTCGTGCCCGATCAAATTAAACGGAGACGTCGCGTGATGAAGGATAGACGGAGTGTCCTGAAAGGCGACTGTCGGCGCTGTTGAGACCTCACTAGCGACTCCTCGTCGTTGTCCGGCCGCCGGCGAGCTCACCCACTTACCCACCTTCCTCTTTGCAAATTAGAGACATGCAAATACAATGTTATCGTGCCATCTCCGGCGGAATAGATCATACGCTGTACACGTGTCTCCGGTATTACGCGGACGCATGAGAATCACGCGCTGCAATCTCCGTTACGTCAACTGTCAAAGGGAAGACGGAGAAATGGCTCTTTCGGCTTTTTGTGCGATGTGCAGGAGCGCGCAAACGGAAACGCGAACGGTCGAAGTGTATTCTAATATTGGCCGAGTCAATAGTAGAAAACAGGTGGAAAATGGCGGGACTCGTTTAATCTATTCGCGGTGCGCTCAATCTCGGTGCGAGGCAATTATTTATGAGTTTGGAATGATGCTTGCTCCGACTTTCGGGTCGCAGTCGAGTCGCGTTTCTAGGCGAATTGTCTCCAACGTTTCGCGAGCTCCTCAGTCATAGATTTTCCTTCAGGTGCAATCGGATATTGAGCATCTCTCGTCCCTTTTTCTCCCGATGAGAAATGAGATGTGGAATAATCCTGGACGTAGTCACGTTTCATGGTAATTTGTTTTTCTCTCCTTTCCTGACCGATTTGGAGACGAACGCCCTCGTAGCGAAAATATCCCGGGAGTCGCCGCCTTCGTCGGCGACTTTCCAACTTGCAACGTCTTGGATGCGGTAACGCAGGAAAGTGAACCGATCCACGGGCACGATGTGGCGCGTCGTTGCGCACCTATTTCCGGGACAGCGGGAAGTGTTTTTTTGTCCGGCGGCGGCGCTTACACTTTCACTGATTTTCCCGATCGGTCGCGAAAGGGAGCGGAGAGCGTCGGCTCGCGGCTCGCGCATCCCGTTGATCAGTAGGCTATCTAACGGTAATCGGCGAACGACCTCGCGTTTAAGCGGGTGCTTCCTCGTCGAGCGGACTAAAGGAGAGCGCCCCGAGAAAATCAAACGCGCGGGCCATATAAACTCGCGCGCGCCGGCATGCCTGACGAATCCACCTGCCGTTACTCTTTTCAAATCGGATCGCGTCGCTACCGAAAAGGCTACTACGTGCTGCGAGTCTCAATTTGAGCGGACGCGAGACGCTGCGCGCTCGCAATGTGGGTCGGGATGGTCGCGCGAATATTGCAAGGCGGACAACTCGAGGATCCGCCGATGAGCGAAGCGAATTCGTCACTTGCGAGATGCAAATTCGCCGATCGATCATTCGTATGTGGTACGACTTCGTTTTGGCGAATCTGTTAAGAATAAAGTCCGCGTCGACGAAGCGGCGGATGCGGTGTGACACATTCGAATGTGGATTATAAGTAGTCTCGATTGACTCTTTTGCTTCTTTCTTGTCGTTTCTTTCTCTTTTGTCACAGTATGCCTTATATGAACACGAGAGAGACGAGTCATAAAAATATTTGCCCAACTGGCGCGACCCGAAGAGAAAAACCGTTATAGGCTTCGAAGATATATATTTCACGTGTCCTTCTTCGAGAACGTCCTGACGATGCCGCCGTTCGAACCTGAACTTGACCGACTGCGAGGAATATAGCCTTTAACGCCCGACGCCGCAGTTTCTCAACGACGAAGCCTTTCTCTCTCTCTCTCTCTCTCTCTCTCTCTCTCGATCGGTATACTCGGCAGGTATAACCTGGCGAAATGGTGTGCCGTACACTTCCGGTAAGATCCAAGGTCGGTTACTCACTAGAAAGCCGCAGAAAGAAGCTTGGAGGCCTCTTCAGGAGATCGCGCCACAATCTTGCGGACATTAGCAATCCTCAGCGAAACGTTGTCGAGCATAAAATCTGACCTGATAAATCCCAAAGAAAAAGTTGACAGAAGAAGAAAAAGGAGGAAGAATCTTCTTCCTTATTTCATCGAATTCTTCTCGCGTCCCTAATTCCTGATCTAATTTTCATGATCGACTATCTCTACTCGAAGTATAAACAAGATATCATCAACAGAGTGGATTTCCTTGCAACATAATTGCGGTATCTTTTATTTATAAATAAATGTACAACGAGATGATGCTCTTCGCATGACAGATTACCGACCACCTAAGTGTCACGCAGCAAAGGTATAATTTTGATCGAGTCTCGTGACGACTCGAGTCTCATGTTCGATTCGAATGATCGCTCAGCATTGCCGGAAGTCATTCTTTCAGCCGTAGCTTGCCACTCGTCCATGTGCGCCGGACGTAAGAGATTTTTGTCGCGATCAATGTCGGGTTCGTTCGTACTCGACACCGAATCAACATTTTTCCGACGAATTATATCGACGATATTCATAGGCGGATCGCCTTCCTTTGGAGGACGACTGAGGCTCCTGCCTTTCGCAGCCAGCGGAACTCCCATTTTGAAGGACCCTGCCTTCGATTCGTTGTTCTTCACCGAATTCGCGCTCGCTTCGTGCTCTTGGGAGGCGATATCATTCGTCACGTTCCAATTGTAAGCCGTGAAGTTTGACGTCGCGATCGTCGGCGCTTCCTGATAGTCCTGATAGTCCGGATAATCGATGCCCTCCGCGTTCGCGACCACTTCGCCCATCATCGGTGCGTGATTAGATACGTTGGTGGCTTCCATCTTGATCGCTTTGTCGTGCGACAACATCGGTTGTCTGTGGAAGCTGCGACCCCATCCACCCCCGCCACTGTATCCGCCCCCTCCTCCTGAAGGGGGGCCGTAACTGCTTGGCGGTGGTGCACCGTAACTGTCACTAGGTGCGCCGCCGCCGCCGCTGCAGCAACCACCACCGCCACCGCCGCCACCGCCGCCGCCCGAAGATTTCGTAAGGAGAACGATCTCCTTGAGTCCTGGAAAGCGGCACGCGGTAATCGTTACCAAGATGTCGTAATGAGACACTCGTAAGAAGAAGAGACAAATCAATAGTCCTGTTGATCGATTTTGTAACTGTTCTCATTATGTTGTCATCGCGCAGCTTTTCCGTCATGGAGATATGAATAAATGTAAGACACTACCTTCAGCGCTCTTGCGCAAATTTTATAGTATGTTAAGGACTACAAGGATTTATCAATTATTTATTGGTTAGTTGTTAGTTTGTTCCTCTTTAACCGCGATCTTTAGACGCGATAGGCGGAAGAAAGCGAGAGAAAGGAAAGGAGATCAAGATGTGAACGTATCACCTCCGCCGCCGCCGCCGCCGCCTCCTTGCCAAGGACCGCCGCCGCCGCCGCCGCCTCCTTGCCAAGGACCGCCGCCACCGCCGCCACCACCGCCCTTTCCAAATTTCTGCGAGAACATCATCATGGACAGCATCAGGGACATGCCGCCCATCATCATGCCCTTCATCGCCGCCAATCCTGTGTGTCACACCGAGCACTTGATTATCCTTTGTTGGAGATTTACAAGTACGTGCGATTTGGACAATAAGATTCAAGCTGCGCGTATGAAACGTTGCGAGCGAGCGAGAGGATACTTGAGGCAAACGCGACAACGTTACCCATCAGCTTCATCTTCATCATCATCAGCATGCCCATCATCATCATCTTGCACTTGCCACCCTTGCCACCGCCCTTACCACCGCCCTTGCCGCCACCGCCTCCTTTCATTCGTCCTGTGACAAGGTACGTTTGGTGAATTCAGGTGGAAGATTTTAATCTTTTAACCTTTTCGCGCTCTGATTTATCTTTCTGACGTCTCTTTCGAAGCCGATTCGCAAAACTTCAGTTACTTCGCGACGTCTACTTCGACAGTGTCTAATCAGCGTCGATCTTGAACTTTTTCTTCGAGGGAATTAATTTCCTCAAAGGAACCAATTATATTCCTCTCAGGGTAAATTCCTTGAAAAATGGATTTTCACGCGAGACTACAAGGAATTACAGAGCATAAAAATTGTGGATATGTTTCGGGATTCTCAAGAAACTTTCAAAGATTCAGGATACCCCCCTCCACGTCGAGACAATAACGCGATCAGCGCGGCGTCTCTCAGCATTTACGTTAAACGCGCGTTTGTTCCGGTATCGCTCGCGCTTACCTTCTGCCACGGAGCTATCGTCCAGCATCACGTCGATCTGGTTCTTCTCTCGCTTGCTGTTCCACCGAGGCAGCGTGATACGCAGAGTGAAGGAGTCGAATAAATCATCCACGCTGCGCTCGAGACTGATGTCCGAGTCATTCCTCGCGGCGCGGCCGTCGGAGCGCGCGATTCTGTTCTTCACCAGCTTCACGTCCTGTCCGAGCAACGTGATCTCATCGAGACGACCTACTGTCTCCAGGAAACGGACGAAGCGCTTCCTGATACAGCCCAACGAGAACTCGAAGATGCACTTGCCGATGTCCTTCACGGGAAACACCGGAAAGTAGTCGTCGTCGTCGTTGTCGGTGTCGGCGTCCTTGCTGACGTTCTTGCTTGACTCGACCTTCACCGACGGGACTACCTTCACGTCGACCTTGACCCCGTTCTTCCGGAAGTTGAATATTCGACGCTCCACTGCCACCTTGTGCACCTCCGCGTCGAGGACGTAATCCTCGATGGCTCGGCCACTTCCGTTCGTCGCGAGCGCGTTCGCCTGGGCCGCGTATGCGACCAGCAAGCAGAGGACGAACATGAGGACGCGCGAGGGTCGTTCCTTCGCGTACAACCAGCTCTTCATCGAGGCAACTTTTCGGCTGATACTGACTGATCCCCGGGTCATCGCGATTCTTTATATACATTGGGATTTATGTCACTCGCGGTATTCGCCTGGCATCTTGTCACGATTGTCATTATTCGCAGGGAGCCGGCTGGTTGTCTCCTAATGATAAGCTCGCGAAGGCGGATCTGGAATCCGTCATCGAGTTTCAGCCACGAACGGACGGCACGCGCCTTGAAAACTATGACGTTTCCGGATGCTGTGCCGAGAGCCGAGAGGAAACACGAGGAACGAGGCGGCTCGTGCCACTTGCAAATTAATTACTCCTCTAAGGAGATTAATCTCTCCAGGGAAATCGACGATCTCTCAAAGGATCGGTTTCTTTTCAAGAAGACTAGTCTTAACGGCCAGGCGGGAAACGACCACATATCTGTTTACTTTTACTTTATCAATTTGCATTAGATGCAAAACATGGTTTCCGATCGAAATGAGTTAATAATTGCAGCATAGAGGGTGCTGCAATTATTTTCAGACAAGGGCATCTTGGACAACACAAGCTTGCGAAACGTAATAATAATGATGATAATGATGTTAATAACAATGATATTTGCTTCATTGGGACCTATGAGAAACTATGATGCAGACATGCCTGGCGGATCGACAGGACACGTTTCTTGCGGAGGATCAAAGGGCGATACGACAGCTGACGAATCTGGCCTTCCACCTTGCTCGAGCAACACCTTGCCGAGTACGATTGATTGACAGGACCTAAATTACATCCGAAATCATCTTGGACATTTATTGAGACGTAAGGTACACGGTAATGCGCGCATTCGCGACCGCAGCGCGTCGTGCTTCGGCGCAGGAACGGCGGTGAAGGTGTCGGCCTTGTTACTCCCTAGCTGCTTCGTACATTCACCTTCGGGGATACCCGCGTTTAACCGCGGGCGCGCGGATTAAATTGCCGTGACGGCAGTACAATGTACTTCTGCGCAGACTTTTCAGCGCGTGATGCGCTTCTGCGCAAGATGACCGATGCCAAGGTCAGGCCGCTTCTCTCAACCGCCGCGATCGCAAGCGTTGTAAGTAATAACGGCACGCGTGTTAGATTTTTACAAACGTTCTTTATTACAACTTTACAGTAACGAAATAAATATTGGAAAATCATGTACATGATTTTGGTGAATCCGCGCGGCGGCGGCGGCGGTGATGCGAGGCCCCTCTGCGGCGAGCTCTGGGGCCGATCGTGAGCGCAACGACGGCCGCAATAAATATGCCTAAGTAACTATAAATAATAATAAAGATGATAACTCGTAGGAGGGGCAGGGGGGGGGCCGATGACAGATGAGATTGAGTGAGATCGCGAAGGGGGAGTATCTTGACGACAACAGGAGAAGATCGACTTGAATGAAACGGAGTGTGACTCGGAGCGAGATGACAGGGAGCGAGAGGGAACGAGAATGACTGAAGGAAAAACAGAGAGCGAGAGAGAGAGCGAGAGAGAGAGCGAGAGAGAGAGAGAGAGAGAGAGAGAGAGAGAGAGAGAGAGAGAGAGAGAGAGAAAAAGAGACAGGGAGAAAGAGAAAAAGAATCGACAGACGAGCGACAGAGCGACAGTGCGTGAAGAGGCTGAAGGGAAGACAGAGAGCTGGGAAGTTCGGTGAGGTAGAGATGTGTGCTACGGATTGCGTCGTGTTCGTCGGCGAGATCGCGCGCGAGAACGAACCTCGGCCGAGTCATTGGATGAGGATTAATTGATTAATTCTGCAGGATCGATCTGCGGTCGCGCGCGTTGCCGTACTTGAGCACGGCCTGCTGCAGGGTCTCGTGCATCGAGTCCAGGGACCTGCCGTATCCGGAATGGCCGTATCCGTGGCCGTGGTGCTCCTCCGAGCTGTGCGTGTGCGAGCTCGAATACACCGGCTTGCTGACGATCTCGTACGTGGTCTTCTTCTCGCCGCCGCTCGCCAACGACTTCAGTCCGATGATCGCCGACAGCATGAGCGCCATCAAGCCGGTCATCAGGGCCTTGCCGGCGAGTAGAGCCAACGCGCCGAATCCCACCGCGCCGAGGGTGCCCTTCATCATCATCAGACCGGCCATCAGGGCGCCGGAGCCGCCTTTGTCTTTCTTACGTCCTGCCGAGCATTCGTCGAGACGTCAGTAGGATCTTTCGACGCGAACATCATCACGTCGGAGCATCGCGTCGATCGAAGTGTCCAAGAAGTAATAGAACTTCTTGCATCATTTTATTGTTCTTTTTCAGTGTCTTCGATCGAAACGTCTTCAAATTCAGTTTTTTATTAATTGATTTTCAAGTCGGATTGATTTGACTAATCAAATTGCAGGCTGCTTTCCGATCAATTGAATTTCAATTTGATTGTTCATTAATCGAGTCTCGAGTCGAGACTTCTGTGATTAATCGCGGTCTTCTCAAACCGAAGATTTAATCTACCGAATCGCGAATTTAATCGAATCAAAGGATTCACCTTTCTCATAATTTTCTTCTGATTAATTAACGGCTGAGAAAAAGAAAAAACACATCCAATGAGATTCTACGATTAGAGCCTAGCCCTCTAACCTGTCTCGACATTCTGGTTGCCGCTCAAGCCGAGTTGCGCGAGCGTCTCCTCGTTGAAGCTCCTGGCGGCCTCGAAGGTCTTCGGATCGAACAGCTTGATGGAGATGGAGTGGCTGTTGAGGTAGCTGCCGACCTTGTGGACCAGGTACGCATTCAGCCTCTTCTCGACGTCGTTGGGGAAGTCTCTCGCCAGATTGGCGACCACCTCCGACGTCGGGACATCGACGGAGCCGTTCTCCTTGATCACAGATACACCCGGCAGGATACCGATGTCCTCTTGCTCCGACAGTTTATCCAAGAAGGACACCACGTCCAGCTTGAGGCACGTGGCACTGTACGACTTGCCGCAGTCCTTGTTGAGATTCGGCGCCAGATTCTCCGGCGCCTCCTCCACCATCTGCTGCCTCGAGCTGCGTCTCTCGATCTCCGCGCTGGCCGTGCATGCCGATAGTAGAAGAACCAGTAGCAGCCGGTGACAACGCGACGACTGGACGACGTTCGTAATTCCTCTCATCGCGGGATCCTCGGATATCCGGATATCGAACGGTGAGTGAGAGAAAAGGAGAAAAATCGACAGGCAGTCTCAGAGAGAGAGAGAGAGAGAGAGAGAGAGAGAGAGAGAGAGAGAGAGAGAGAGAGAGAGAGAGTGAGAGAGAGAGAGAGAGAGGCAGAACTCGTGCGGATCTGATTTGTTCTCCGGAGATCCTGCGGATCGCCAACAGCGCGACGATATCCTCGAAGACGGAGGACCCAGAAGCTGACGGATGAGACGCGTATCGTGCACTGGGCATACCCTCGGATACTTGCAGTATATATAGAGCGAGTCACCGGCTAGTCCTTTTTCCTTTTTGCCTTTCGGTCGTTCCATACATTCTCCGTAGTCGAGAGCACCGGCGACGGAACTCTCTTCTTTGCGGACGCCGAAGAGGAGGCAGGGAGGCCTCTCGCGGCCGCCGTCCAACGGCGGCGGTTGCGGCGGCAGCGGCGGTGGCGGCGGCGGCGGCGGTGACGGCAGCGGCGGCGACGGCAGCGGCGGCGGCTGCAATGGCGACTGCGGCGAGAGGGAGCGTCAAATAGAGCGGAGAATTCGAATCTGAGTCAAATTTGCGGGGAAAAAAGCCGCCGATGAACGGCTACGGGAGATGATGAATGAGAGCGAAGGCTCTCGCTCGTTCGTCATGCCTTCCTCAGGCCTGTGTTCGATCGCGTTAACGGCCATTACGGTTAACATGCGCATGCGATCGAACCTTATTCAATTATTCCTTTTCCGCCGTCTTTTTCTTCTCGTCTCAAGCATGCGTATCAGCGTCGCGCGCTGTCGCTGCCGTCCGCCCATTTGTCGATGTTATGATCCATGAAGAATTTCACCGTATCTTCGCCATTTGTAGGTTTGTAGGTATCTTGTGGATAGCGCGCGACATGCGCCACGGACGAAATCGGTCGGAGATCGGTAGGAAGTAAAAATGTGACCAATGTTTCGTTGGACGAGTCGCGCCTCTCGTCCTTCCTCCGTTCGATTGTTGCCCCGAAGCGGCGGCCACTCGCGGTATCCGAGTGCTGTAACGCGAAAAATTGCAATATGTAGGACATGTAATACAAAGTGTTAATTTTATGGATCTGGTTGGCCTAGAAAATCGCCGCTGCGCGTTATCAGGAGGCGGAGGCCTCCGCGACGCGCGGCGTTTCACGAGGGTGAAGCGCCGCGCGGCGGTCACGGACAATAACCCCCGCGAGAGGAGGAGTTTCGGCAGAAAACGTCGTTGAAAATGCGCGCGGTCGATCGTCCGATCGGCGCTCGCTCGCCCGCTCGCTCGTTCGCTCCCTCCGTGTCGCGATCCGCCGCGCGATCGGCCGTCGGCGACAGCACTTTCGATTTCGCGAGCGAAACCAGCAGGGCGGCGGGACAAATTGTCCGCGAAGGCGAACCGAAGGCAGCATTCGAGAATCGCAAATTGAAGCCAGTCGGCTCGCGGAGCCGGCCGGCGCGCTAGGCGTGTGTCCTCGTCGTGGAAAATTATTATCGCGGGCGAGGCGAAACGAGACGGGAGTCCTACTTTAAATCAGCCCAGTTTAGCTCTCGTAGGAGATCCGATTTTCGCGCGCCACGCTCGAGCAACGGCGCCTCAGACGGATCTCTGCCGATGTGAAAGTATGCAGTCGATTTTCACGAGGCAACGTCGCAGGACTTTATCGCGCTCATGAGCGGGTACACGCGCGGCGAGACCGCGCGCGTGTAACGCGCGCGGAACAGGTGTGCCGACGCGGACGAGCCGACTAGCCTTCTTCCCGAGGAATCTATTTCGCGATTTGTTGCTTCTTTTCCGCGCTCGGTGCCTTCCTTTCGTTAATAATCGCGCGATCTCGCGCGCTGTGCCTGTTACCGCCGCATCTGTCGAGCGACAGATCGCGCTTGGTGGGCGTCGGCTGCAGACGGCATTCCGTGAGTGTGGACACGCCGCTCCGACGGGGGGGACGGTGTCCCTGCGGCCTCCGTCGCGAATTAGACTGACAGTTGTCGTGGAGAAAAAAGGGGGGAGGGGAGAGAGACACATGGATCACGGATCTATCCCATGCGCTCATTCTGACGTTGCAATTTATCGCGTTTACTCGCCCGTCTTACTCAACGCCAACCGGGACCGCCGGCGACATAATCTGCGCTTCCCGTTTTTTCGCCAGCTCGGTCAGGGAGATCGACAGTGTTGCACACTGTCGTTCGTGGATCGCGAATCCGCGACCTCGCGCTCAGGAAAATCGCGTCGGAGCGATTCGCGGACCGATGACATTCGCGATGACACGCAGCGTCAGCGCAGTGTCTGTGACATTAGAATTATATACAGGGTGGCCCACATAACTCTTAACAGCTGAATATTTCCGAAACTATTTGTCAAGTCAGAAAGTTCTTCATGAGGAAGTTTTATGTATTCGAGGTGCCTTTCTAGCTACATAAATATTAAGTTACTTAACTTCGCAATTTCAAACGGGACCCCCTGTAAAATGTTAGATGGTTGGGTTCTACGGTAAAAAACAAGTAAATTTTGTCTAAAACATTTTTTTATTTGTCTAATATTTTTTTAGATATTTGAGGAAAACTTGATAACTTTTTCAATATTCAACTTACGATATCTAGCTAACTATTTGTCGGAAGGAAAAGTGGTACTAGACTTTCTTGCTTTATTTAGTCTCAAGAATATATTGTTACAATAGTGCCCTGATTTTTGTTAATTTGATGATTTTGAAATTTCCAAAAGTCAGTAAGTTAACAAAAGTCAGGGCGCTATTGTAACAATATATTCTTGAGACTAAATAAAGCAAGAAAGTCTAGTGCCACTTTTTCTTCCGACAAATAGTTAGCTAGATATCGTAAGTTGAATATTGAAAAAGTTATCAAGTTTTCCTCAAATATCTAAAAAAATATTAGACAAATAAAAAAATGTTTTAGACAAAATTAACTTATTTTTTACCGTAGAACCCAACCATCTAACATTTTATAGGGGTTCCGTTTGAAATTGCGAAATTACCCCCTGCCCTGTTAAGAGTTATGTGGGCCACCCTGTATATAGCAATGGAGCGATAATTTAATAGAGTGATTTTAACACTTTGACACACAATGACCGGCTGACTGTGATATTGCTCTGTAATTTCTTATAGAAGCTCCTCAAATTTATAATGATGAATTTTTAACGACCATTGAATGAGAAACCAGGAAAAATAAAGAAACACTTTTACCTTTGCGTAACGCGTCTTCTGAAAAATCTGTGCCACTTTAGCCGCTAGAGAAACAGTCGTCGACAGCTAGACAGCGTTAATTCACGTATAGAATTGCGTATAACAAATGAAATGTACAGCAGTTGTCGATGAGGAGCGAGCTGCAAAAGTACGCATCGCGAATTGCACTTCTTGAGCGCGCATTTCCGGCTGAGATCTGAACTGGGGAACTTGAGGTAATCGATGGAAACTGCTGCTTGAAAAGAAACGGGGCTCTTGCCGATATTCGGAAAACAATAATCGGACGCAAGTGCGAACATGAGCGGGCGGAATCGCGCGGTTAGTCCATTTCCAGTCGAAATCGAGACGGCCTTTGTTTCAAGAAAGTCGCTCACGCTTACCCGACAATTTGCGACAATTCAGAGAACGTTCGCGCTGAATCGGCCAGAGGGACGTGCCGATAATTTCAGCCTAGCCGCAGCAAATCGCGTTCCCATGTATGGGAACGGTCGACACGCGGGATACTGTTAGGAATTTAGAAGAGTACACGTAACTTTCCCGGGGAAAATTGATCGTTCTGGAAAGCTTGAAATTGCCGTGTGTCTTGTTTACCATATTGTCCAATAAACGGTATCTCCGCGATTTTTACGGACCGCTGCCTTGCTTTCGGGAAACCGATCGTTATCCTTCCCTACTTCGGCGCGAGCGAGATATATGAATTATTACGACATTTCGCGAACGCCGCTGCTCCACCGGAGGAAAATTCGCATTTTCGCCCGACATTCCAGCTCGACGGCGGGGAAAGTCCGTTTTTCGGTCCCAGATAATCGGCCTTAGAACGGAGCTGATTCTCGATAAGACAGATTCTATTTCTTATATTGTATACTTATCCCAGTTTCTATTAATTAATCGTCTAACCTTTTGCACTCAAAGCGATCCCCAATTCCTGCGATTAGCTCTGAGCATTGTGAAATTTTACTGCCAACCTAGTCGGCGGTGACAAAAAAAATTGCGCTAAATTTGCAAAAAATTATCAACCACGGTCTACGGCAATATTTCTAAACGATCCGTCGAAAAAGATCGTCGAGAAACGTGCGAAGCGCAAATCCTGAATTAACTTCTCCGCGGTTACTCTCGGAGAACGTATCGAATTTAGCCGGGGAATGCATGCGAACGCGCGCATATAGCGCATACGCGATACGTGTGCGAAGGAGTGATGAATAAGAAGGCGAAAAGAAAGGTGGTATCACTAGCATTGATACCTTCGGTGCCGGCCGAGTGGTTGCGTAGACCTCGTTAATTCGAGACCGTGCGTCCGTTATGCGCTCGAAATGCATCGCGTGCGTTTGTACTTTCGCATTTTTTTCCGCGGCAACGTCAAGTGAACGTTAAATGCCGGACATTCCTCGATGGAATGCGCGAACGATCGGTCCCCGGTCGCTGCATTACAATGTAACGCGTATCTCTCTTTGCGGATCGCGTTGCTCGCTGACGACCGGATCATGTCGAGGTGCGAACTGATCCGTCGTCGCGATGACATCGTCTCCAACGTGAACGCCACAAGCGGGAGACCTACGGGTCTACTTTTCAAAAACTGGGCTAGGAAACGGAGATGTTTCTTCCTCGCGATATCTCCTTCTCCAATCTGAAACTCCATATACGACGGGAAAGGATTTTATGACATTAACGAGACTATGAACGTATTTGATAACCAAAGCGACATTTTATGTCAGTATTTTAATATTATTTTTATTTATTGTGTGTATCATATATATATATATATATATATATAGTATGTGCATTTTTTCAGATTATTTAGTATCTCTCATGTTTTTAATATTATTAAAACACATTTCTAAAATTCTGCCACTAAATTGGCGACGGAGCTTTTTTTCAAGTCGCGCGTAAATAAACTTTTGCCCCAGCTTGCAACACCACATTCTACTCATGCTCATCGATAAGAATTTCAACATGAAACACCCGGACCCGCCGCTTATCGCCTCAATTCCAGACGATACTCAAAAGATACATGAGACTTGTGCCACAGGACGTGCGGAGAGAATCGTAGAACAGGCGACGAAATTGTGTCGACGACAAGGTGAAACGTCCTCGCCGGCAGCCGCCAGCTGAACGTCTGCGCTCTTCATCGTCTTCTCGCCGCTTCTCGACAATGCTGATCCTTTCCAACAGTCCATATATATCGGCATCCGCCGTCCCACTCCACGAGCCGACATAATCACAACCGATACCGTTACTCCAGCTCTCACCAGCCACGGTCGTGTACCTGTGCGCGGCCGGGGACGCGCGTAGGAAGTCGGAGAAGAAGGGGGGAACAACAACCACGTGGAGGCAATGACACACTGACCTTGATGCACGCGAGACATCGAGGGGGAAACCCGATAGACCAATCGCAGCTGCGGGTCCTCTTTCCTACCTTGCTCGACACAGTGACCTTGTTTCCTTCCTCTTCTTGGTCCCCCACCTGGCGCGAGATCCGCTCTTTCTCTCGCGCCCCCTCCTTGCTAACGCGTTATTCTAGCTTCTCTCCGTCCGTGAACCTGCATCTAGGTCATTAGCCTTCTCGTCTGACCGACTGAATAACACGCTTACGGCTCTGTACACGCATCTCTCTCTCTCTCTCTCTCTCTCTCTCTCTTTCTCTGTTTCTCGGAACATCTCTTTCCTGATATTTGCTTAATTACTCGCGAGCCCTCCGAGCACCCTTCGTCATCGACGTCGCAGGTGATAACGCGAGCATCCCGACCGAACGACAGCAAGATATCGATACTAAGCCGGAGTAGGTCGGGCAATGATCGAGGCAAAGCAGCTTCATTAGAAAAGTATGATTTTTATTTCACGTCAACATAAAGCGTGTACATGTGCGCGCGGGCGGACATGCGACGAATAAATAAATAAATAAATAAATAAGTTTGGCAAGAGCGTTTCACGGGATTTCGTGATACTGGTACTGTTCGCCGTTATACTCGGGCGCCCAGCCTCTGTAGGGCGCATCGACGCCATCTTGCTCCGACCTGTGCCAGTGGTCGTGATGAATCTCGTGCGGCCTTACGACACCGTAGGTGACCCTCGGCGGCGGCGGCGGTGCGACAAGGGCCTTCAGGGCTACTGCACCGGACAGCAGGAGCGACAAGAAGGCACCGCCCAAGCCCTTGATGCCGATCAGACCGACCACGGTGATGACGATCGGCAGGATCACCAGAGTCTTGAACTTCAGCAGCACCAGCAGCGGCAGGATCATCTTCTTCAGTTTGGTGCGCGCTGCAGGAAGCGAGACGTCAGGATACCTTGCGAAAATCTTGTGTCGTTTGATATATAATAATCTAATAGAAAAATAATTATTCTTTTAATAGGGGAACAGTCGACATTATATCGAGGTGTTGCGCAGCGGAACGTTATTATGTCACCGGATATAAATAACGTTATCATTCTCCTATGCGCCGCACAGAGAGTGCTGTTTTCATCTCCTGTTTCCGTCAATTAACAACAATGGAGAGCACAAAACGTTACACTCTAGATTCGCGACGCGAATTCCACCGTCGCGCGCGAATGACGAATAGAGAACCCAGAGAGAGAGAGAGAGAGAGAGAGAGAGAGAGAGAGAGAGAGAGAGAGAGAGAAGACACACGAGCGTCGGTATCAACCATAACGGAAATGTAGAGCGCGATTAATATCAGCGATTCTCGATAATCGCGGGATACTACACGGTCGAAGCATCGAGCGCGGCATTTCTAGGAGACTCTAAACGGACGTTCATCATCCAGTCTACTTTCTTCGGCGTGCGACACTCTCGTTCAAGGTCCTTCTCTTAGACGTCTTCTCGCGGTAGGCGTCCCAGAAACCCGGAATCCCACCAGGCCCCGCCGAGCGTCGGGGCGACCCACTTCGGGCCCGCTCCCACCTGCGACGTTTGTTTTCGCGGATGTGCACAGAAGTGGGACGCGTCGTCGTAGCTTTCTATGTACAAACTCCTCGTTCCGGTCGCTCTCACTTCCCTACCTCGAGGTTTCCCGCGGAGGGCCGTCGGTGAGCCGTGCGCGCGCTCCCGAATTTTTCAGCGTTTTCAGAAATGTCGCGCAACGAATCTCGCACGCATGGCAATTGGGAAAAAGCGGAGCGAGTGCGGGAGCGAGGAAAATCCGGGAAAATTTTTCAATCGGATGGAAAAGAAAAGCGAAGCCGCGTACTATGTCAGAGAGACAGAGAGAGAGACAGAGAGAGAGAGAGAGAGAGAGAGAGAGAGAGAGAGAGAGAGAGAGAGAGAGAGAGAGAGAGAGAGAGACGCGCCGACCGCGGTCCAATCGACGAGGAAGACGCAACGAGTTATACTTCTCAGCCAATAAGTCCCGGGACCCATGGGCTACTTGGAGCTCATTGGTAGAACTTTAGAAAGGAAAGACGCTATAAATTTGCGCCCGGTGAGTGAAGTATTCATACTGGACTCGGAGCGCGAGAGGACGAGGCGGCGCTATGTTAGGTCCAAAAATCTGCAGGATTCTTGTGTGTTAAAGTCCATCGTTTCGAACGCGGAAGATGTTCGACTCTTCTTAAGATCGCGATGAATCAGTCGAATATGACAAAGGCAAATTAATCCGGCGAATAAATTCTATGACTGCGTTGGCGAGGAGAAGCGTCTTACATTTCTGTCGCAATTGCGCAACGCGTAGAAAGATGCAATCATGATTTATGTATGTATTAAAAAAGACTTTGTATACTTAATGTTATAGTCCCGATAGATCAGAAGTCACTCGTCAATCTTTACCTCGTAAATTTTGCGACACTTGTTGATGTACGAGGGAGATAACGATAATCAATGCGATCGAGCACGAATTAATTAGTCGAGCAGCGCGACAGCAGGAAGATATCAGTTCTCCTTGAAATTACCGAAGCTACTTTCCAAAATATGGCAACTCATGCAGCTTTCATCCAGCGCTAAATCAAGGAGCGTCGTATCACGCAGGAAGTACCTTACAAGGTGCGGTATAATTTTCAAACTTTAGCGTTATTTTGGAAGAAAGGCACAATTTCTCAGATTAGCCCAATTTCTCGAGCTCTTTTGGCCTACGAATTTCGAGATGAATGCAGCCGTCTCCAATTATCCAATTGCGCAAAATTGTCTCTAATCTGCCGACTCGGCAACTCTCGCTCCGCCGGTTGGACTCGACGAAGCAGGAACTAATCGCCGGTCCCGTTTCTTCCACTTAAGCGTTATTCTTCCCCGAATCATCGTTTACCTTCGGACGTTCCGTGCGTCAGGCTCCTTAATTCTATGCCGATGCTTCTGCGGCCGAGGGCGCGACCGAACAAGCCGGCGGTCGAGCTGTCGTCGGGCAGATTGACCTGAATCCTTCGAGTCCTCAGGAAAGCCTCGATTCTGCTGACGAGCGGATCCGCGCTCTCCTCCGACGACCGTTCCCCGGCGTCTTCCGCGACCTTTTCTATGCTGACCATATCGCCGAAAATGCCGATGCTGTCCCTCCTGTTGAGCTCGTCCATCGCTTTCGTGAGCTTCCCTTCCACGTACTGCAGACTGTTGCCATCTTCCCGGCTCGAGTCGGCCGCCACCAGCAAGGCCGCCAGTTGCAAGGCCAGCATTGCGATCGCTCTGCTCCTCATTGTTACAATAGTGCTGTCGCGACTTTGAAGGAACGTCTTTTGACTGTTCGCCCCCGGGCGATCATTTTTTCTTTTATACGATTCGCGATCGATGGTGGGGCCCGGCCCGGCCGGGCCGAGCTGAACCATTTGGCAAGCAGCGGACAAGGGCAGCAGCGTCGAGAATTTTAATTTCGCCCACCCTCTGAACGTGCCTGAGTGCCTGCGTGCGTGCGTGTACGCGTGAGCGCGCTCGCGTGAGCGCGGCAGAAGCCGAAGCGACGCAGAAGAATTTTCCTTTTACTCGCGAATCACTTTCCGACCGTGCTGTTGTACGATTGTTCTTCGAGCTCTTTTCCTTTTTTCTTTCCACGCGCTGCCTCTTCCTACAGCGGGTAACCGGCGTTTTGTCGGGGTTCTTCCCGACGAATGCTTGTCGATCGTTCCTATCTCGCGTTCCGCCGCGTGTACTCGCAATTGTTATTGGTCTCGCGCCGCGGATAATTATGTAATTGAACGCCGCTCTGAAATTAGCGCGCTCCAAATTACCTCTCGCGCAATTGTCTCTTCTCGTAGCAAACCAGCGCTTCTGTATCCGATCTGGTGGATCAACTTACCGCGGCGAGAATAGAACATGCTCCCAACTGATTGTAAGACTTCAGCCAATTTCATGGATGAACGGTCGGGAGAATTAAAAACGTGAAAAATGCCATCACATATTTTACGACGGTGAGAAGCGTCGTAACTCCTGCACTCTGCCCGATGAATGTTTCCTTTGCGTCCCGGTGTGGATCTCCACTTCGGGAAGCGAGCCGAAAGGATTCCTCCGTCGTCATCGATGCACCTGCATTTCGTATCTGCATCGCATGTACATACAATGGCCGGCGGAGCGATCATCGTTCGTCGCGTTTGTACTACGACTCGCGGCGTACGTCATCGTCGAGCGCGGACTCTGGTGAAAATTAGATTTCCGTGCCTCTTGGTGACACGGTATAGCGTGGTATGTGAGACTTGTGTCCCGAATCGCGCGGTCGGAAGCCGACGTGGACAAGAGAAATGGAACGAATGACCGTGTCGGCATCGGTAACGGCGGCTAAAGAGAAAGAAAGGACGTAAGAAACCCCGATGAGGCGCACGAAGTGGGAGTGCAAATGACCTGCGTAGGTATGTCCATGTCCGATCGGAATCGCGTATGAGCTCGGCCGACGCGTGATTGCAACGCCGAGCTGTCAATAATTCGCGCCAGCGCGGAAGCTGATCACGTATGATCGCGTGCGTCCTTTCGTGCCGATAACGCCTCCCCGCCCGTTAGAAGCCCGATTTCCGTTCGCGTGTTGATCTTCTCACGAGTTCCGCCGACCCTCAATAGTATAGGAATTATAACAGAATCTCAAGTTCACACGGGTGAGAAAGAGAGAGAAGAGAGGGAACGAGGAGACGACAAGTGATGTCGCAAATAAGCATTCTCTCTCTCTTCTAATAAATAATTTATTAAATTATTTTTATATATGTACCGAGTATTACATATTATCAAATATTCATACAAACATTGAATACTGTTAAATAATATTAAATACAAAAGACATGTAATCACTTATTGCATAGGATTGCTCGATAATTTATATCAATATAATTCGCATATAAATTACATACGTGTAGAGAGAGAGACTAATCTAAGAGAGAGAATAATCTAACAGTCGTAGGTGGGTCCAATGGCCTTGAGGAGCTTCTCGACTCCGCGTTGTATGGCTGTCGGATTAATCTCAGCTTCTTCCGACGTCAACTCGATGCGGACAGTCGAGCGAGGAGAATCGCATTTAATTGTTATAGCTGACGGTCGATGGTACGTATGCGGAATATGCCAGGTACTGAGCATCAGCCCTCGTGACAGCTTCGTCTTGCAGACTCCTCTTGTTATAAGGTATCTGGTTATTCGCGGCAGCGTTGCTCCAGGCCGCGTTGTTGTCCCAACCAGCAAACTGTGCGTTATTGGGAAAGTAACCGCCGCCGCCGCCGCCGCCGCTGAAAAGTTTTTGGAACGCTATGATTCCGACGATCAGCAGAGCGATTTTGCCGATGAAGAGGGCCTTCATGGTCAGCAGGCTCAAGCTGCCGAGCAAGAACGGCATCACCGCGAAAAACTTAATTCCGATTGCGGTGATCAGCGGCAACCACGTCTTCTTGGCCTTGGCCCGTCCTGATCGCAAAGAAGAAACGATGTCAGAGAGGAATAAAGTCAGCCGCTAATAAAATCCTCAAGGTGATAATCTTCAAGACACACAATCGTCGTAACTCTGGCTCATTATTGAGTATCTGGCGGAGCCAATCTCGTAAATTTTGGGAGAATTAATCAGAAAAGCGTGAAAATTGAATACTCTTTAAAGCAAGGTGCTGATCGGAAATTTATATTTACAGTTATAGTAGACAAAACAAAGTTGTAGCGCTCTTTCGTGTGCTCTTTTTTGCATTTTCTTGTAATATATTTGAGAAGGAAAGCGAATCGCCCGGAGAACGAGTTTATCCGGAACAGGTCTGATGCCGCGCATGTAGATATCGCGAAGGTGAAAGGCACGTCGAGGCGCTTATTCGTTTATACTCGTGACGTCGCGAATCCGTGACGTTAATCGTCTAGACATAATAAAAGAAAGATGGGTACGATTGTGCAATCGAAATATTATTCAACAGAAGCGTCAGAGGTAGAAAGAGAGAGAGAGAGAGAGAGAGAGAGAGAGAGAGAGAGAGGGGAAGAAGAAATAGAGCAAAAGGACTCACCTTCAGCCAGGATCTGTGGGATGGATATTTCGGCCATGTTGAATTTCAGACTGTGACTCTTCATGAAAGAGATGGCTGAATCATACAACATGCTCAGGAGTGTTGCCATTCTGGTGCTATCTTCTTGCGGTAGTTTATTGAGCAGCGCCTGCTCGGACTGCAGATTCTTCGCCGTGCGCTCCACTGTAACAATTAATTTCTCACACCATTGCGATCGATGTTGGCGGGAAAAAGGATTATCGATTGTCGCACGCAACAAGTATCGCTTCGCTCCACCTCGCTCTATTTCGCGAATCAGAATCGACGATAAGTATGCACGAGCTCATTTCTTTTTCTTCTCCCGAGACGCGAAAAAGATATCTGAATCTTACGTATTTTACGAAGCTACCATTCACGTATCTCACGACGATTCGATATTATTAGTCGCAAGAAGAAGAAGCGTAAAGTAATAATAGTAGCTCACTCGGTGTTTCCCGCATGAAGGTGATGCCTTCGATGATTTTAATGTCATTCGACCGATCGGCTTTGTTGAGGGCGACCAAGGTCTTCACCAAGAAGCAGCTGTACATGCGGTTGTCATTCTCCAAGCAATCCTGATCCTGCGACTGCGAATTCAAGTTCAACGTGGGTCCAGCTGCGACGCGCGCGACCAAGAATACCAAAATCAGCAATCTGTGCATCCTCGTCGTTCAAGAGTCACGATCTTCTGGTACGCACGACGTAACGGCGGTGGCGGTGGAGACAGAGATGAAGAGCACGAGCACGGCGGACCAGTCTCCGGAAAATTTTCGGAACCAAGTGTGACCTGGCCCTGCGTCGTCTCAATCTTTATAGGTGTGCACCACGGCGTAGGACCCTCCTCGAATATCCCCCACTTCCTGACTGCGTCGTCAGACGACGACAACGTGCATGATGACTACTACAATGACGATGACGACGACGACGACGACGAGGATGAGGAAGAGTAAAGAGCGACGAGACAAGCTACAGACTCATCGTCTCCCAGGTAGATACCACCACCTCTTCTTGTGGGACTCTCCTCGATAATTTTTTAAACAAACCTCCTACGGTCACCTGGCAGACACGCGCCGCCGACTGGGCGGATCCTATGTAGAAGTCGCTCTGTCTAAACTGGCTGGGAGAATCATTTCATGTGGGCCAGGCAGTATTTGGGTCAACGGGTTCCCATCAGGGATTCTGTATGCGCGTTTATGCGCTTAGGGTGAAGGACCTCTGAGGTTGCCGTGGAACCTCCGAAGAAACAGGCGAGGATCGATTAATCAAGGCTCATAACTCGAGTTTAACAGTACGGTGGATGCTTGCTGCGAATTTCCGATTGTTATCAATGGAGCCTTTCTTATCCATCAGTTTTGGGAAAATTCCCTGACCTACGAAAAAAGAAATATTTTTATTGGCTACAGAATGCTCACCGTAAAGCTTACCGGTAAAAATGTCGCAACCTACGAGCATCCTCCGACCGTTCTCGACTTGTCCACATGTCGACATGAGTGGACGAGCGAGTAAGTGAGCCGCTTTAAGGACCGAACCCGGCGATCTCCTCTTGTTCCCTTCGGAATTGTGGGACCAACGACCCGTTTCGTACCGTGCGCGCGTACGTCGCCCTCGGCTCCGGTACTTTCTAATTTTTCCGACGCGTGTCGCGCGTAGATTGTTGCTTAGAAAACCGAGAATAACGACGGTTGAGGCGCGTACATGCATTTCGCGCCTCGTCGCCGTCACTCAGCCGGCCATTCACGGCCGCACATGCTTCACGCTCGCGGATGTACGGCTTTTCTTACGGGCTTCTCTCAGCCTGCGCGTGCATCTAGGCGACACTTAATGCGGACGTGATTCCCGGTAGTGGTTTCCCGGATAACCGTCAGAAACAGACCCGAGGCGGGCCTCCGCGTCTTTTAACGCTGTAATGTCCCTCGTACTTCGAATTTTTCAATTTGTCACACCTCGGCCTTGGAATGCAAAGCGATACGCTCCGCCCCGGTCTCGATTCACATCGAGGTCCTTGACGCATTTGTAATAGCATCTAACATGTGCGAAACACTGGATTTGCGACTTCGATACTGTGCGATTACGCGTAAAAACACGCGCGCGTTGTACCAAGTTTTAAAAATATTGCCGAAACCGTTATTAAAAATACAAGCGCGGCTTAACAGCGAGCGATCATCAATTTAAGCGCGGCGCAGCGACCCTCTTATTACAGAGAGAGGTTTATTGTCCTTTTTCTAGGACAGGACAGCCCTCATAGTCAAACTCCCTTCGTAGAACGGGCCGATGCACTCCCGGTGCGACCACGTGCACCGCGAGTCGTTTACCTTGACCCAGACACGCCGATCGGTGACACGTGAGTCCACACGATTGCATCTCCTTGCAGGTCTCCCGATCTAAGAACAATCGGAATGCGATGAAACGGATTCTTCGCTCATTAACTCTCGCATCTGTGCTCGCGATTGTCTTAATCTCGTCAAGATTAATGGATTTCTCGTACGCTCTGTTTTTCGCTCGATCATATCGGCAAGAAGCTCCGGAGGAATGCAGCGCGCGATCATTCCACGCGACAATCGCATCCGGTTTTGCTCGAAAAATGTTGCGCAATTGTATGACGAGAGTCGACAACGAAGAGAACTTTCACCGCGTATGACAAACTATTTCTTTTACGCACGACGCGATCGGGTCGCGCGTTCCTTCTCAGCATTCCTCGCGACACCGTCATCCGCCGAAACTTCACCGATAGCGCCTTAAAAATTAGCATATGACGAATTTAAAAAAGTCGCCGCGAGAAACAATAATCCATGATAAAGGCGACTTTGCGATGGCGCTTTTGGGACGGCGACGCCACTTGGAAAGGTAACAATGGATAAGTTATTCGCGGGAGGTGTTCCATTGTGCTCTGCGCGGATCTCTTTAAATATTTAACAGGTACGAGGGGACCTCGTCATCTCCGTTTAACGGTATTCGGCTTGGCAGAAACGGAGACAGTTTCGCGATTGATTTTCTGGGTTACGAGTACCATGTCGCGCGACCGGGGTTACTTCCTGCAATGAATACGACGGTCCTTACTTATGACGAATCCATCGGCGCCAGAGGAAGGCGCAGGTTTCTCCTTCCCGGAAAGAGAAACATTTCGGTAGCTTTATTCATTCGACTGCAACGATACAAGGGATTCTCTAGCGATCGATCAATTGCGTGCCTACATGTGAATAATAGTTGTCAATGTTGTAAATATGATTCCATATATTTTATTACTTTGCATATAAAATATATAGCACAACTTTATACTGCATATTTTTTAATGTTTTTTATATATATATATTTCATATTATGTGTATACAGGGTGTCTCATTTTACATACCCCAGAAAAAATATGGAAGATACGGAAAAATGTTTCGAACAAAAGTTGCATGGTTTGAAGGGGGACATGAAATGACTATATTGGTTTATTTAAAGATGGCGCCACATTCGAGATATTCACTGATAATTACTTTTCTTAAATGGAAACTTCAATTTTTTATTTCATCATCTTTTTCTACCAATTACTTTTAACAACTTTTATTTGAAACATTCTTTTATTTGCTTAATATTTTTTGAGATATTAGGAAAATTTGGTAACTTTTCAATATTTAACTTACAACATCTGACTATTTGACGAAAGAAAAAGTAATACTGGACTTTTTTACTTTACTTATTATATATTGTTATAATAGCGTCCTAACTTTTAATTTGATGATTTTGAAAATTCTAAAAGTCGATAAGTTAACAAAAATTGGGGTGCTATTGTAACAATATATTCTCGAGACTAAATAGAGGAAGAAAGTCTAGTACTATTTTTTTCTTCCGACAAATAGTTAGCGAGATATCATAAGCTTAATATTGAAAAAGTTGCCAAGTTTCCTTTTAATACTTAAAAAAATATTAGGTAAATATAAAAATGTTTCAGACAAGAGTTATTGAAATTGATTGATAGAAAAAGACGATTTAATAAAAAATGTGATTTCTATTTAAAAAAAGTAATGATCAGAGAATATCTCGAAAGTGGCACCATCTGTAAACAAACTGATATAGTTGTTTTATGTCCCCCTTAAAATCCTACAACTTTTGTCTGAAATATTTTTTGATATCTCGCCTCGTTTTCGAAAAAATTGCCCTGGTCGTTATAAATGACTCACCCTATATATACAGACAATTATTTTGTACATGTATATTAGAAAAATAAAAATGTAATATTCGATATAACATCGTTTTATTTTATTAAACCCTCTTTGAAAGTGTTTTCCTAAACGTGCCACTTTGATAGCATCAAAATTGGAAAATAGAAATTCTGCAATTTTTAAATTTCCCGCCAAATATCCAGAATACCTTTTCGGTTATCATGTGTTCCTGATACAAAGTGCGAAAACTGGGAAAACGAGAAATTTCAAATTTCCCGCCAGAAATCCGGGATACCTCTTCGGTTGTCATGTGTTCCTGATACAAAGTATGAAAACTGGGGAAACGAGAAATTTTAAATTTTCCACCAAAAATCCGGAATACCTCTTCGGTTATCATATGTTCCTGATATAAAGTGCGAAAACTGGGAAAACGAGAAATTTCAAATTGCCCGCCAGAAATTCGAAATACCTCTTCCGTCATCATATGTTCCTGATACAAAGTGCGAAAACTGGGAAAACGAGAAATTTCAAATTTTTCGCCAGAAATCCGGGATACCTCTTCGGTCGTCATATGTTCCTGATACAAAGTGTGAAAACTGGGGAAACGAGAAATTTTAAATTTTCCGCCAGAAATCCGGAATACCTCTTCGGTTATCATGTATTCCTAATACAAAGTGCGAAAACTGGGAAAACGAGAAATTTCAAATTTTCCGCCAGAAATCCGGAATACCTCTTCGGTTATCATGTGTTCCTAATACAAAGTGCGAAAACTGGGAAAACGATAAATTTCAAATTTTCCGCCAGAAATCCGGAATACCTCTTCGGTCATCATATGTTCCTGATACAAAGTGTGAAAACTGGGGAAACGAGAAATTTTAAATTTTCCGCCAGAAATCCGGAATACCTCTTCGGTTATCATGTGTTCCTAATACAAAGTGCGAAAACTGGGAAAACGAGAAATTTCAAATTTCCCGCCAGAAATCCGGAATACCTCTTCGGTCATCATGTGTTCTTGATACAAATCTGCTAAAACTCTGAATCTTGGATTTTCTATTTTATGCAAATTTTACACTTTAGTATCAGGAGAATATAATGAGCGAGGAGCTATCCCGAATTTGAAGGACTTTAGATATTTTGAATATTTAGGTGTAAGAAACGCGTAATAAGTGGGTAAGATAAATAATAAAACGGTAAGTTCATATTTAAATACTTTTTTATTGTTAATTTTTAGTATATTTTATTGTAATATTATATAATATATAAAGTATATTTTATGTACAATACAATATGTTTTACAGTGTAACATGATATAAAATAATACAAACGCATAATATAATATATATAAAGATTAAAATTTTAAACGCATATGAATGAAAAATATTTTATATTATACAAATTTTATTTTATATATTATATTCTCTTGTACATCAAATTTATATCTAAAGATATAAAATAAATCGGAAGATTCGAATGATGACAGAGCAGAGAAATATTTGAAGGGCATTTTTAAGGCACGAAGACTGTGTAGGACCAAGGGTCGACGACCAGTTTTATATCCAGGTCAGTCCCGATCTCAGTTTCGTCTTCATTTCTTCTCGTTTTGACCTCCTCACATGAATGTGACGTAATATCCTTTCTCGCTTTCTCCCACGTCTTCTCTGTCGCGTCCAGTGCATCATTGATCTCAATGCACCATTACTTTGCCAAACACTGAAGTAAACCGAACAAGTTACGCACGCATGATTTAATGTAAAAACGATAATTTAATTTTCTTGCAACATTCGAACAATTTTCTTGCGACATTCGCGGGGTGTTTTATTTTCGAATTAATGATTGATGATAGTCTGCATTTTGACTACAAAATCCATTCGCTGTGTAATTATGAGGGTGAGACATTTATTGAACGTGTATTTACACACAGGTGAAGATAATTCAGCTCTCACGGTCACTTGAAAAGAAACACACCGCTCTTTTGCACAGGCTAGTTCCTCGTGCGCAATCAAGATACTTTCTCTCTTTCTTACATCACACCGGAGAAATGTGACTGCGCGGGATGAATCATCTGAAAAAACGATTTCCTTCTACTTCGTATTCGCTATCGCCTGAACATAATAATAAACGGCCAAATATATATATATATATGTATATATATAATCTTTGCATTGTCATGTTTACAATGTTGCTCATGCATTCATGACTTTCCCAAATGCCTAGCGGTTTACCGCCATGTGTGCAGAAGAAGTTAGCTCCATCGTAAAACACTACTTTGTTGACGTTAATCTCGAGGAAACTTTTACCGTAACGACGTTCTGTAAACTCTTTCTCTCTCTCTCTCTGTCTCACGTTTATCTCTCACTTTTATCATATTTACATGCTATGATCTTGTAATAGTTCTATGATATTTATCTACGTGTGATAAATATAAATTTGTTAGTAAATCAAATAAATATAAATAATATATCATATAAACGAGTACAGAGCAAATTATTACTAAATGTTATCCTTAATTCGACGTAATGCGAATCTCCTCTTCTCGCTTATCTCTTATATTTATGTTAAAATGGAACGTTCACTTAAATTATAAGGACTACGTCAAGGAACCATATTAGAAGAGGAAGAAAAAAAAAGTTCTATAATCCGGCGCCTCTAATTCCTCTTTCACTTCTTTCTACGGCGCTCCTTGTAGTATCTGTAGGGTTCCAATTCCTGCGCCTCCTCCATGAAATCAAAAATGTCCTGTCGTCTGTACTTGTTGTTATCGTGATGACTCTCCTTCTGGACGACCTTCTTCAGCCCGACTATGGCCGCCAGTATCAGACTCATCAGACTCAGCACGACCGCTTTTCCGCTCAGGACAGCCAGCGCCTTCAACGCGATGGGCAGCAGAATCGATTTGATCAGCACGAAACCGACGATCAACGGTAGAACGTACTTGTTTAGCTTGAATTTCTTTCGCCTATGCTCTGCAACCGACAAGCAGAAAGTAACATTGAATTTAATTGCATGAAAAATTATATATGCAATGTGAAAAGAAATCTACACCAAAGTGCACACCCGACACACATCCTACACTACGCTACACATTTCACATTTTTTTACGCAAATAATGGAAATAAGATAAAAATCGACCAACGTCCTTCTTTGCCCTCGTAATGAAACGGATGACATTATAATTGGCACAATTTAACAAGGAGCGTGTTCGATATATTCTCGGTCAACGTCGGTTGTAACGTTCTATTAATTATATCTTGCGTATATCGGTTTAAAAATATTATATTATCTTACAATAGCATCTCGCGTTCGAAAAGCAGGTTGCGCGCTAGCGGGCCCCGTCGAAGTGCGCTTTTCTTATTAGGCACAACTGCCGAGCGCGCGCGCGCGCGGAAGTTAATAAAATTAACTAGGCTAGAAAGCACTTATACGTTTTTACACCGGGAGGCTACGCGTGCGGCAACACGAAAATGACGTTACGACCTAATGAACTGCGCTCGCCATTATACGCTCCTTTAACGCCGTTTGATTAACACGCGATCTTCGTTGTTCCGTGTTCCGCAGCCGTTCCGCGTTCGTTCACTATCGTATCCTGCGTTACGGTATAACTGTCAAGATAACTGTCGAAGTATCCGCGCGTCGATTTGTCTTTTTGACTTCTTCTCGGACTCGGAAGATTAAAAAAAAAATCTTTGCTTGCCAAGCTTTTATTCTTCAGGCAACGTATATATGAATAATATAAATTATTATATATCCGAAACTTTCATTTGGAATCAACTCCCAAATCTCATGATTAATCACCAACGTGGTGATTTCGTCGAAAGATGACGCGTGCTTTATCGAATCGTGCGAACCAAAAAAAAAACAAAATCTAAAACTCTTCCTTCACAAAGCGAGAAGCCGTAGCGCAATATTAAAAAAAGAAAAAAAAACAAGGAACACGCGCATAACAAGGGTGCGCAAAGTGCTTGTAACTATTTACTGAGCTCGGTGTACCTTCCGCGGTGTGCGACTTGGAGGCGGGCAGGAACGTGTCGATGACGTCCAGAAAACTCTCGCCGATCAAGTCCAGAGCACCCCCGGAGGTGTCGTCGCGCCGGGCCAGCGTCTTCGTAGCCTGCGAGCCCGTCTGCGCTGCGACTAGCGCGGGCAGCAGGAGCAGCACGTACGGCAATAACATCTCTTCAGCATCTACGCGCTCCTCCGTCCTCGTCTCTCTTTGCCCTTTTTGCCTTAAATCTATCTATCTATCGACCTGTCTCCGCAGCCTCTCATACAGCACACACACCCTCTCGCGCGTTCTCTCACCGCGGCCGAGCCCTGCGAAAGCCCGAGTCCGTACCGGCCACTCCGCCGATAATATGTCAACTGGCATTCCTACCAGCCCGAGCCATTAGTTTATATAGTGAAATCGTGAAAACACCAGAGGAGGAGACCACCATCTAACTTGGAACTGACGCGTGACGAAGGATCCAACGTCCACTCCCGTAGCTCGCGGGCTCGGTCTGCCGCGATCATTGGACGCCGTCTAGCGCGCGTTGCTCGTCCTCGGTAGAGAGAAGAGAAGAGAAGAGAAGAAAAGAGAAGAGAAGAGAAGAGAAGAAAGCCGGGTGTATCGCTCTCCCCCGGCGGATTATTTCGACCGGGGTAAGTGGATCGCTGCGGATCCTTCCCCCCTGCCGCCGGCACCGAGCGTCTTCGCCGTCATTGTCCACCGTCCGTGAGAGTCTACGAGCGCCGCGTCTATCATCAATCGACGTTCGTTTCACACCCGAGTGGCTACACGGCTCCAAGAGCCAAGACCAAGAGAGAACACGACGCTGGCTCTCTCTGGCCAGCCAGGCCTACGTCGTCGGCTGCGACCTACGGCCCGTTCGTATCGCGGAAAACTGCGGCACAATGTAGTGACGATGCGAATCGAAGCCGCGCTTCCGGGGGCGAATTTAGCGGCCGAGTCACGTGAACGTTTCGTAATCGCGCTTGAATTCGGCTCGCGAAAACGCGGTGGAGCAGCGCGAGAGGGGGAGTTTGATCGCCTCGGGGTTTGTCGGCGGTGATCGCGGTGATCAATGTGTGTATCGCGCATCGAAGGAGAAACGTTTCTACCTGAAACCTTTTTGTCCATGCGCTTGTCTTCCGATCGACATCGCTGAAATCGGCGGAAGGCGCTGCGAGAGGGGCGCTGCGGGGGGGTTGCGATTTGATACCGTTACGCGTCGCAGCAACGCGGGCGCCCGCGTGGTACTTCAACTACTTCACCCGGCCCTCCGCCGCGCTTTGCCGCTAATGACGGGCTCCTCCTTTGTAAGTGTCCGCTATTCATCAGAATCAGGATCACGGCTATAGCAGCGGTGATAACGGTAATCACGGCGGTTTCACGTCAACAACTCCGCGGAACAATGTCGTTAGGCCGGCGAAATTCGCGTGATTACCGGCGACTGAGCTCGCCGACCAAATGCGAGAGAGACACCGCGCTCCGCGGCCGACGCTCGTCGCGAAAGAATCGACCTGCAAAACGGCTTATGGAGGGCAGCCACGGGGTAGACGAAGAAGAAGCGACACTCTGCGTACGTACGACGACAGTGATTTAGCAGGCGTGCGCGCCGAGGGGAGTAGTTAATAGCGTGTACGTACCCTTCAATTCGCCTTCCGGCGCGCTCCCCTTCGCTCCCCGCGTTTACCATGGCTACGGTCATTTGGGGGATTCGAGTCCACGGAGGAAACAGTGAAATTACGTCCCCCCTCCCTGCTCTGCCCTTCCTGGAATATAAAATAATAGATCTAGGTGGCACATGAATAAAACTACCGTACCGATATGTGGGTTGCCGGCTTCACGCACGAGGAACTCGACTAATAGACCGGCATGGGTTGTCTTCGGCTGGCCGGTCCGCCGGGCTCCAAGGACGACGGGCGCTTGCAATTAAAAACGCGCGACCGATGAAACAATTTATTGCGTTAATATTTCGTTGCACGAGCGGCAAAATGGCGACCCGGGCGGGCCGTTCGCCGCCGCGCCGGACGCGGCGATGCTCCTCGTCCAGCGGAAGAGGAAGAGCAACCGGAGTAAAATAAAGAAGAAGAAGAAGGACGGAGAGGAGGAGGAAAAGAGAGGAAACGAGCTCGGTAGCAGCATGCAAGCAGCACGCAATCAGATTTCCTCCGAGAATGTGCAAATATATAGGTTTATCTCTCGTGAAATGGGCCCCGACGCCGTATCGCCGCGCCGCTCGGCGGGATGAAGAAAGTCACGGAGAGAGTGTGATAATCACTGTTAAATATCGGGCTTGTTCGACGGACGGAGGAATGGTGTGATACGTGTGATCGCACGTCGTGATTTTCAGAGCAGACAAGATCACAGAGCGAGCGCGAGCGAGCGCGAGCGCCGGCTGCTGGAAATTACAGCGCGCCTCGCTGTAAATCGCCGTATAAATCGCTCGCCCCTTCCCCCACCCCCTTCCCCCCCGATTCCAAATGAGAATGTTCGCACGTGCGCCCACCACGCGTTTGCATCGATCTAGCGAGCATCCGGCACGTATCTCGAGCGCTAATTATGCAGATTCGTTATTGTTTTCGCAGCAGCCGCGTTTTCACCGCTCGCGCGTCGCTCTTTCTCTTCCCATGTTTCTCTCTCGCTTTTCTTTCTTTTTTTAGCGGAGCTCGCACTGTACCGGAGCCGCGAGAGAGCCATTAGCAGAGCGTCCGTTCGGCTGATGCAAATTTATTTCACCGTAAATCACTCACGTGCGTCCGCGTCATCATCGCGCGCGAATAAATGATCGCGTTGTACGATCACGCGCCATAATGAACCGAATGAAATCGTCCGTTCGGCCCGATTGCAATCTGCCGTTTTTACACTCAGAACGTGACACGTCGTCTCGCTTTGTAGATCAATATCGACCGGCGTCCTGAATTCTGCCGCCGTTTGGTGGATTGATGAAGAGATCGGGAGAAGGACGATCCATCAAATGGCGATTAATATCGCCCGCCACGTTTCAGCGTGGCTCACTATGCGGCGAAACTTGGCGGTTTGCTGGCGAAGCTCGCGAATGGAAAGTGAGCATGGGCGTTATATGCCGAGGCCTATAAACAATTTCAAACCTATATACCCAGATACGCAAGCTGTGTTTAATCGCAACAAGAGGGAAATCTGACGCCGCTGCTTGCGCACTGCTGCTGCTGCTGCTGCTGCTGCTGCAGCTGCAGCTGCTGTTGCTGCGCATGTTGCAAGGATCATTTGAAGCAGCCGCCACATTATTATTAGCGGCCCGTATGTTTGCCGAGCGTAACTAAAAAATGAATCCCCAACGCGATCGTTCGGCGGCGTTCTTGTCGTCGTCGTCGTCGTCGTCGTCGTCGTCGTCGTTGTCGTCGATCTCGGCGGCGTGACGCGCGCAGATTTCTAATTTTCTTCTCTCGCGGCTACGGGCGCGAGTCGTCTGTGGAGAATTTATCGTTCAATTGCGCATGAAGTCGCAGTCGAGTGTTACAGCGAAATGCAACATTCGATCGCCTGTTCAGGCGGAACCCGCGCGCGCGTCTCGAGTATGTTCGGACGAGGCAGTGTTAAATGTGTAGCAGAAAGCAGGATGTGGCGCAGTGCGCCGCTGCGAGAGCAGGATGCTCCGATGCATTGAGAAGAGGGGGAAAGCGGATTTAATCGGTATTTTTCAGCTGCTTTTTATCAGCGGCGTCGGAATCAAGCGAAACGCGACGATGGTTTCATCCTCTTTTCATCGTGCCGCGCCGGGCGCTTTCATCGACCAGCGATTCAATCGCGGATGGATTAAGCGATTGGCCGCGGAATTAGTTCCTTTCAACATTTCCTTTTTTCTCTCCTCTCGTCTCTTTTTCTCTGGCGGAGTTGTACAGTGAAAATTAAGCAACCTTGACATAAGGAGACCACGCGCACGCACATGTAATGCAAATGTACTTGCGTACACGTAATTGAAAAAAAAAAAAGTAGATCCGCAGGAGCAGGTACGTCCGCTCGCGAAACGCTTCGAGTGAGGTCGCGGTGCGGTTTTGCGATGTCACGATTCAAAGCACCGCATTGCTGATATGCACGCGCGGTAATCGGTTACGACGGGAATGAAGCTGATAATATACGATGTAGGTGTCTTTAATCGTGCTTTCATCCGATGCATTGGAATTTGATGGAGACGATAACGTTTCTCTTAAATCCCTCGTTGCGGTCGTAATATGTCGGAGGAGACAGGAATATATTGCCACTTGAACTCTTGTAATAACCGACTGCTGTGCACGCACGTCAGCAAGAGCTCGTACTTGTGACAATTCCCGAAGCATCGAGGCAACTTTATTCGTTAAAAAGTGTGCAAACCGTTTCGCGACCGAGTATATACGAGCCGGCACGTCTATATATTATATTATATATAGGGGCGCCCACATGAGAATACCCGCGTAATACAAGTCTTTTTTATTCTTAGCAATTTCTATTTAGCTACGGATTATACAAACCGTATTCCCTTTTAGTCTGTTATTCGTAGATCAAGTGTTCGCTTTGGTACATCACTGATTAAGAAAGAAAAGTCTTGTCTTTGGAAGGCAAACTTTTCTTTCCTAACCAACGATACAACAACAAATAAATACTGATATAATAATAACAACAACAACAACAACAACAAAATGTGGTGCGGTGATAAGTTTTGTCACTGAGGACGAGATTGTGAAAAATCTCATTGATCTAAATTACTTAAATATTTATATTCCCTCTTAAACGTATTCCTTTATGGACGCTGCCTCTTCCCCTGCCGAGCAGGCGGAAAGCAGTAGGGACTGCGGTCGCAGGTAAAAAGGACGCGGAGGACTTGCAGTGCGAATAAAAGCAATCCGCGTCGTGTCCTCGTCGTCCGAGTGTCACCGTAAGCGGCGTAATTGCGGAAAAGCATACGTCCGTCGGCGGACCATCGCGGAACGTCGCTCTCGTCATCGTGGTGTCCAACAAGATCATTTCCTCTCCCTGCTACGTCGGCCTCGTCAGGCGGGCTCCTCCGGCAGGCCTTCCAACTCCCTTTCTCTTGGCGGAAGCACCCGCGGGAGCCCCCTCATCCACACACGACAGGCGGCATACGCGCGTGTACCGTTCCGCGATGCAGCCTGACATATACATATCGGTACTGACAATTTGGATCATAGTGTTTACCGCGCGCGTATATATCGCCGGCTAGCCGGTCGGAGCTCATTTTTCACGGACTGCCGATTTTCCCGGCAACTGAAGCGTGCCCGACGCCGGTATCCGCCGGTATCCGCGACGTCCGCTCGGGTTTGTCGTCGCGGAATCAACGGCGGATCGGTTAGTCCGCGGTTGTTCGTTGCACCGTTCGTTCCCTCTCGCTGCTGACTCGCCTTCCGCGAGTCTGTACTTGCTCACACAGACAGACACGTGCGTACACACACACATACACACACACACACACACACACACGTGCACATATACACGTGAACATATACACTTACGTGCACGTCCGCCCGCATCCACCTTGGCGTGCCCGCTCGCGCGGGTGGTGACGAGTTCGAGGTTTCCATTGGGAGAAGCTGCCGCTTCGGACGAGAAAGGCTGGAGGACGCGACAGCGTAGGAGGTATGTCAGGGATAGCGTGACAGCCACAGCTCTTTCGTCACCTGTCTCACCTGACGACCCCCCAAGACGGCAAAAAGTGCCCATCGACGTTGCGTTTGGATGTCTGTGCGATTCGAGGAAACGCTCGCCGGGGGTGCTCCGTGACTCGGACGACGTGCCGAGAGTGGCTCGACGATGTGACAGAGTCTCTGCTGAAAAAGCTAGAGAGAGAGAGAGAGAGAGAGAGAGAGAGAGAGCAGGGGGAGAGAGCAGAAAGAGAAAGAAAGAAAGCAAGAGAGAGAGAGAGAGAGAGAGAGAGAGAGAGAGAGAGAGAGAGAAAGAGAGAAAGAAAGCAAGAGAGAGAGAGAGAGAGAGAGAGAGGGAGAGGGAGAGGGACGATCTGGAGGAAACCGCGGGCAGATCCCGTCAGTGGACTTCCGGCGTGAGCCCGTTCTTCATGAACGCGAGGAAAGATGCTGTCGAGAGTTAGCCTGGTCGCGATTCTGTTGATCCTCAATTGCCTCACGACGGAGTGCACAGAGTCGCCGCAGGAGGAACGCCACGGGACCGAGGGGGATGTCGCAGCGGACGAGAGGGTCCTCAGACAACGCACGCACGGCAAGGTCATGTCGGAGAGTTCACCCCTTCTCGCCACCCACGGCAACGTCAGCAAACACAAGCTGTCCGAGGTGGAGCTGCAGGACGCGCAGTCCAAGACCGGAGCGGAGGAACGAGGTAATCGCGCGTTCGTTCACGGATCCAGAGCGCTGGGCTCTCATCCGCTTCCCGGCTAATTGAGAGCGTCGCGAAACATTGCAGCGGGAGCGCGCTCGAAAAAAAATGTGCTAACGGAGACGCGACGCGCGCCACGTGTCGAATTGTCGTCGCGGCGCGGGCGCGTTGATGAAGCGCTCTTGATGATGAGCGGTACCGTTGTATAACGGCCGACGTGGAGATCCTACGACGGCTTCTTCGAGATATCGCGCCGCCTTTTGTCGGCGGTAAATTTGTCGCGGTGAACATCGCTCGTCGTTTCGTTCGCGCGCTGCTCCATGCCGGGGGTGGAGTGGCCGAAGGGTAGTTCCGTTTGTCGCGTTTCGACTGTCAATGCAGCAACGGCGGCTTGCACATTCCATTCGCGCACTGATTACGTCGTAGTATCGCGTGCGAAGCTGCATTAATATCGAGAATATTGAGCAGCAGTGCGCTGCAAGCGGCCACTCCGGCGCTGCTGCTGCTGCTGCTGCCGCCGCTATTGCGTTTCCTCAATTAAACGAATTTGAACGACCAGAGGCTCTCATACTCCTGAGTCGATCGCGCTTATTCTCGCTCAAATCGAAGACTCGATCATGAAATCATTGAGCCGCGTTCACAGAGTTGCCTGCGTTTTCCAGATCGGCCGCGAAATCGCAAACGACGGATGGACCGGACGATGATGGCGTTGCTGATGGCGTACAAGCTGAAATTCATCGCCCTGATACCGACGATGATCGGCGGCCTCATCCTCTTGAAGGGCACCACGCTGCTCGCGGGATTCTTCTTCGCCCTGTTCGCCGCCGTGCTAGGCCTGAAAGTGCACTGACGGCGAGGCCTGGCGGGAATTTCGCGACGAGAGGAGAGAGATGAAGGTTGAGATAGGAGGAAGAGAGAACACCCATCGACAGATACACGAAGAAGTGAGGATGACATAATGACTTTATTTCGTAATTATTTAGAATCAGGTTAGGCTAATCTGTAACTTCGTATCGTCGTTTTACTCATTGACCAAGAACGGAGCGAGCCTGTGTGAAGGCACCAAGGCCGAATTTATAATCGCTTCTCGGATTCTCGAACGTACGCGTAACGCGCACACGTCGTTCTCGTCGTCGTCGTCGTCGTCGTCGTCGTCGTCGTCTCGGGATAAACGCACCGCATTGTCGCGTCGCACTCGAGAACGGCGCGCTCCGAGTCACACTGCTCTTCATCAACGAGTCCTCGACGAGTGGCCGCGCGCGAGACGATGGGCGCCGACGCACGACGGACGCGAGATCATTTACCAAATTAATGTTACGATGTCTTGAAATGTAACGTATGAATTATGCATATATATGAGTTATTATTAATAAACGTTGAGACAGACGATGGGGAAGATTAGTAACCTATTACTCGCTAGGCGTCTCTCTGCGTGTCTCGAGTGCCGGTTTCTTCTTCCTTCCGCAAGTGCTTTTTCTTCCTTCTGTCTTCGCGCATCGTTCTCGTTGCGCGTCACAATCGTCCTTTGTAGTCTCAACCGAGCACACCGTCGCACTTTGAACGTCGATTCAGGCGTCGCGAGTGCGAGTCGCTGCGAGACGAGTCTTCGCAGACCATTTCCCGCGCGCCGTGCGGTTAATTCGCGAGTCTACCGTGGAGAAATAAATACACGACCCGACTAAACACGTGCGACTACATGCGTGTGTGTGGGTGCTACGAATAAATAAATAATGATGATTGTCTCCCGCGCACTGAGAAACGACTGCAAATTCGGCTGACGCTAAGATAAGAACGAACGCGACGCGATTCTCGCGCCGTTTTCCCGGAGCTCGGTTTCGCTCGGCCGATCGCGCCTTCCAATCCGCCGAGAGCACGAGGAGTAAGAGGAAGAGGAAGAAGAAAAAGAAGAAGAAAGCGTCCCGGCACCGTTAGAAACTCGCGTGCGTGAAAATAAACTCTCTCGCTGTCAAATCGACGCTTCATTCGCCGGCATGGCAGAGCGCGGCGCCGCGCCGGGAGAGACGCGAACATCTGTCGTCGCGACTGCTGTTGTTTCGCGCTCGCGCGTCTCTTCTTCTGCTCCTCTCCTTCCTTCTGCTCCTCGCTTTTTTCTTTTTTAATTTCACGCTTTAGCGCAAATCGCGCAGGCCGCGTGCGAACGCCCGCGCCGTTAATCCGGAGACGAGATTGCGCGTGACGTCGCGACGACCGTCGTCCGGCAAGCGATCAGATCCTTCGGAAAATTTGTGAGCACCAGCGAGACGGTTCTCGCTCGGCTTCGAGTCCGACGTTCATCGCCCGATCAGCGAAATTCTCGCTTCTCCCCGTCCGCGCGTACGCACTTTGTTAACGCGTTCGTTAGCGGGAAAGTCACGGACCACCTCGTGTATCTTCTTGCTCCCTTTTATTCGATCGCATAGAATGTACTTAGCCGGCTAACGCGGATGTGGAGGAGACAATTTTCGCATTCGCGCACGCTGACCTCCACGTGCGAGATCGTCGTCGACGCCGATAGCCCGGCAGGGAAGAGACGATTATACATCATTACACGAAATTACATACGATGATATATATATATATATATATATATATATAAGTTATGCATAATTCTACACGACTCGTGTGTGCAAAGTTCGCCTCAGGCAGCCGTACGAAGGCAAAACCGATGTACAATCTTTCTTCCCGGGGAGCTGCGAATCTCCGACAAGTCGATGCGTCGGCGCTTACGTCTTCGTCGTTTCACTGTCGTCGACTTGGCGAATTTCCGCGCGGCGCGGCGGGCCCGAAGCCACTACACGCTCGCTACGTGCGACCTTGCGCGTCGGTGAACGAATGAAGCTGAGATCCGACGTTCGCCGTTCGGACGCCGACGAACGGAATTTCCGGGAAAACCGCGCGTCTCTCGTCCGCTCCCTCGTTTACGTACAGGCTGCCGTTTACGTCGCCTGCTTGTCTACCTCCCGAAATCTAGCCCGGGGGAATCCGCCCTTGCGCCTCTCGCGCTTCCCCGCCGCGACGGGGTGGTTCTCAGTGCTTCTTCTGCCACGCGCTGTACGCCACGGTCTGCGCGTACTCGCGCTCGGTTGCCGTCATCGACGGTATCGGCGAGTCGGCGGCTCCCTTTAGGCTCCTGTCCCAGCCGCCGCCACCTTGCTGCCAGCCGCCATGGTGATCGCCGCCCTGCTTCTGGCTCAGCAGCTTCTTCAGCCCGATAATCAGCGACAGCACCAAGGCGATCTTGCTGATGATGAGGGCCTTGCCGGCCAACAGGAAGAGCACGCCCATCGCGATCGGCACCAACGCTGCGAGCTTCATCGCCATGCCCATCATCATCATGCCCATCATCTTCTTCATCTTGCCGCGGCCCTCCTCGACGCTGCGCTGCAACTCGCCCGACGTGGTCTTCGGCAAGCTGATCCGCACGTTGAAGCTGTTCATGAGCGCGGCCACGCGCTCGAACAGGATCTCAGTGAGCAGCTCGTCGGTCGCGCCGCCGTTCGTGCGGGCCAGGGTGGTCTCCAGGTCGGCGATCGCACTACGCGAGCCGTCGTCCGTCAACGGCGCGACCTTCACGAGCTCGAAGTTCTCGCCGAGCGGCAAGGTCTGTATGCGACCGAGCCTCTCGAAGAACGAGATTGCTTTCTTCTTCAGGCACGGCGATATCGCCATATTGCGGTGCTGGCACTCTTCATAAACGCGGTAGAGCGCGCGGTATCCTCGGTCGAAGAAGCCGCCGTCGTCGTCGGCGGCGCGGACGGTGACGCTGACGACAGCGCAGACTAACGACAGTAGCAGCACACACTTGGACGATTTTCCGATCGGCGACATCTCGATCGATGTGTCTTTCTCTCTCTCTCTCTCTCTCTCTCTCTCTCTCTCTCTCTCTCTCTCTCTCTCTCTCTCTCTCGTTCGTGCTCTCGCTCCGATCCGAATCCAGTAGTACTAGGTAGGTAGTGTAGGTATTCACCTCGCCCTCGCCTTGTTTCCGCGACGTGTCACGCGACGAGAGAGAAAGAGACGGCGCAGAGGGAGCGAGACTCGCAAATTTCAGCTGAGACTGAGAGATACGAGAAACCGCGCGCACCCACCAGGCTGAGATTGATCCTCGACTAGAGAGAACTGGCGCTAGGACCAAGTCTCCGGGCCGATATATACCATCGAGCAGCAGCTAGGCTAGGTGCTATCCTTCGCGAAGGGGGTGAGAGGTGGCTCCTCGACGTCGTACACGTAGGTCCGTACGGAGGAGACGGCTCACGTGACGACTGCGACCTCACGTGTATGAGTGAGCTATAATCCTCCGTCTTCGCCAGCCCCCTCGCCAACTCTCCTATCTCGTCCTTTCATCCTTCTCTTTCTCTTTCAGCGCGCTAAGCAGCTGCTGCCGCCGCCGCCACCGCCGCCGCCGCCGCCGCCGCCGCCGCCGCCGTCGCTGGCGAGACGCGCCGGGGGGAGCGCGTAAAAATTCCCATGGTGGTAGCGCGAAGAGCCATGTGACCCTTCCTGACACAGAGACCCACTCGCGCCACTCGAGATCGGGCCATTGCCGTTGAGCGCGCGCAGCCACGCGATTCGTTCATTAAATTTCGCCGAGACTACGCTGTCCTCTAGGAAGCCGGCGCGGCGTTTGGGTGTGTAGGTGTGTATGTACGCGGCTGTTTGTGCGCCTTCATCGAGATTCGTATTCCGTGGTGCGGAAGGGGAGGACGGTTGGATGCAACCAGAGGGGGAGTGCCGGAGATCGCGTATTGGTGTACTGGCACCGTGATCTCACTGACCCCCGGCGTAACGTGGGGATGTTGGAAACTGGTTCCAACTTGCGGACGGCTCGTGACCTTCCTCTTCGTCGTGCTCTCATCTTCCTGTTCGCCGCGCGCGGGTGAGGATTATCGGCGCGCATGATCTACTTTCCCTGCGCGGATCATTGTTATCCTCCATTAATCCTCTTATTATTCGCCTATATATGTCGGCTGTCATTATCTTTCGTTTTCGTTATCCTGTTACTCGGTATCCTTGTCGCGCACTGGGAAAAGTAGGAAAAGCAAACAAGGACAACGGATTAGCTACGAGCTTGGTGCATTTCGCGTGAAATGTAGCCGAAGGTTACGCTGTCTCTCCCTCGTCTCTCCATTGTCTCTCCCTGGTCTCTCCTTTTCTGTGTCTCTCCCCGCAGTTTCCTCGTCCCGATATCTCGTTCAGTCGACTTTCCGTCGTGGATTAACGCGGCTGTCGCGAATATCCAGGCCGGACGAATGCAAGTTGCAGAGTCGGGATCATTTGTACAGCTTACTTCTTCGGATAAATATACGAATTTTTGTCCAGACGAAGGAGCAATCTCGTAGCAAATTTAATTTAATTGACGGAGCGCGCTGCGTAAAACCCGACGAAAAAGAACTGTAACACGCCGCCCGATTATGCGATTGCGAATGCGGTGCTGCTGTTCCGTGCTGCGCAACAGCAGATTTATCAGCAGTATTACAGCAATATTATTTCTCTTTTCCGCAAATCGCGTGCGTGAATTGCGTGTTATATCTCGGCACGTGTCCGCGTTCGTTTTCGGTACGATTGCAGTAAACACGAAATTATCGACGTATCGCGCGAGTATCGCATAACGCGAGGCAGTTAGCTGCTTATATTCGATATTTGAACATACACACACCGGTTTCGCAATCACGTCGAAACGAATTGGCGCGTTAGCGAATGTTGCGGAATTTCTTCAAAGAGATCAACTGGCTTCCGGAAAGTGCTTCTGGAAAGGAATATGAATGTGTATCTCGTCTCATTTCTTCGTCGTCCAAGTTTCATTAATTTTATCTCATCATCAAAACAAACATTCGACATTCCTCCTTGACGCGCTGTCAGCCACATTGATGGCGAAAGCTCAATATCGTACATTACCGGTGTAATTTGCGCCGCAAGTATCGGGTTCAATGTGTCAATGTATTCCGTCTTGTATCATGCTTCGCTAGGAACGCGACTCCGAGATCGCGCGCGGTCCTCCGCCGACATACTCGATCGAGGTTAGCGCATCACTAATGCGACAACAGCCTCCACGATGCATCCTCCACGCTGTTACCTACTTCGCGATTATCCCATAGTCAGTACTGCTGCTGTGTCCCCTCTCCTCCCTCCTTGACACACGGACACGCTGCGATTTAACTGTATTATAAGGCCCGTGCCACATTCTGGCCGAGAGCCCGCGCGTTTGTATTCTCACGCGGAGCGGCGCGTGAAATGGATTCCCGCGCGCGAGTAACGAGCCTACGTATAATTGCGCGGTTGGACCCGCAATTATCACGTTTAACCGTACAATCTAAAGAAAAAAAAAAAAAAGAAAAAAGAAGCCAAGCGAGTTACGAGCACTCCTTGACATCGCCTCGCGTATCGACGCTTTATTATTTCCTCTTTTCTTTTTTCTTAGAAAAGATGCAGACGTACGTCTCAAATCTCGAGTTCTTCAAATCTTCTTATTGTCAAGTCACGGTTGTTCTAAATACCAAATTCCCGGTCATCGAAAGCGCTGAATTCCGTGTGACTGAATTACGGTCATGACTCTCTTATGACTGTGATTTTTCTGGATTTTCCGTAAACGCACGCGACATGCCATATTATCGCCACATAACAGACCATTGTAATAAATAATCAATTTACGCAGTCGTCACACAGTCGTCATACAGTTGCGCAGTGTGTGTGACGACGTTGTGATGACGCGACGATGACTAAACCTTATGAATGAGAAACTCGGCGCTTCCGGACTTTATGTCGGAGCATTTTTCATCATGAAGCACGTGGAGCCAAATCAAGGTGAATCCCCTCACGTAAATCAACCCTCCGAGGTGCATCAAACCTACTTGGAATTTAATCGGATCAGCCATTACGGTAAATTGTGCGCTCATTGAGCTAAAGACGTATGTACTCTTGGTACTCGCGCCCGCACGAGCACTTGTGATGCGGCATCGACGTACTTTCGATTGTCTCATCAAAATGGAGAAGCGGGACACCAGGTCCCAGGTACCAGATGACAATTATCTCGACGAAATCGCGCTCGCGCGCGATCAATTATCTCATATGCCCCCGTGAAGTAACGTCCAACGTTCCGCGGAACCGGCTGGAAAAAACGCTTCTTTGCGCGTTCTATGAAGTCGCACGGTATTCTTCGCGGAAGTTACAAGCTAAGTAGGCTCCTCGAGTCTAAATTTTGGTCCTGCTCTTCACCTCGATAGCTGAAGTTTTTCTATCTTCAATTTATCTTGGTCTATCTTGATTCTATTTAACCGATAAATTTACCAAGAAATCTCTTTATTCACCAAGAGCTACTTTTCCTCATTGGTCCTCTGGAGTCTTTAAGGTAGTTGGGATCGAAAATGGGGCGCGAAAATTCTCAGAATCCGGAAGAGCGGGAGGAAGACCCTCGATTAGACCAATCTTGCGTAACGGAGACTCGCGGAAGCGCCGAGACGCAGTTTCTCGGCATGATGAAAGTGCGGGACAATAGGTCAAAGCTCGTAATGAGCTTCCTTCCACGGGAGATATTTCGCAGGCAAGAACAGGACCGCGGCTCTGGCCGCTAGCAGATCGAGGTCGAGGATCGGCAACGAGTGACGCTGCGAGCAAGGAATGTTCCGACCAAACTCATTATCGGATGCCTCATACGTATCTGGCTCTCGCGGGCTCGTTAAATTCGTATAAAGCTGAATCGCGCGGCGTGTGCGTCGATCAGCGCAGCCGATTTCATCCGAGCGGCGCCCGGCGCAAGGATTCTCGTTGCGTAATTAGCTGAAGTGGCCACGGAGCAACGGGAACAACGACATGCGGAGGAATCTCGTGGAAACGGCCCAAGCTAAAGGCAGTAAAACGTCAAGGCAGAAAAGTCGCTTGAACGGGGCTGCCGCGGGCATGAGGTGCCTCGCGAGGAGGCGCGAGGAATTTTAGACGGTAGTAAAACAGACGGGAGCAGCATTCTTGCCGTGCAGGGGACAAGCGGTAAACAGCTGGTGACCTTTGGAGGCAGTAACCCCTGACTACACACTCCGGGTGAGTGAATCGAGGATGCTCGATTGGCCCAGTGGCATACAAAACATCCGCCGAGACGAAGGATCGTCTCGGCCTTTTTAGGCCTTGTTCTCCACTTTCCGGCTCGGAAGAATCGTGGGAGCGGGAACAAGTGAAAAGCAAGGGTCTTCATTCACCTCGCGGTGACAGTCTACTTACGTTTTTAATTCATTCGACTTGGGAGCGCGCACGAGCAAGGCGGGAGAGATCGGCGTCGCGGCGCGGTTTTCTTTTCCTTCGGCGACGTACCACCAAGCCTCATCATTAGAGTATCAATATTTTCCAAAACGGAGCGAAGCAGTCGGACGAGACGGGTCTCGATGTGCGGGAACGTTGTGACAAGTGATTGTTCGAATAATCTGTTATTCCGACAGTGTGACGCATGAAACCTTTAGTATAATTTTCTATCAAGAAGCGATTTACGATATCGCTGACACGAAGAGACTACCAAATGCTGTGTAAAGAATGCAGTGTTATACAGGTATAGGTTAAAATATTCGTAAATGAGGCAAAATAAGTAATTTTCGTGAAAAGCCGCATCGTCTTACCTCCACTCGTCAGCGAGTAACTCGACTTTTCTTGTACTTGATGTACCCGAGTTACTCTGCCGATCGTTGCTTCTCACGTCTGAGAATATTTGTCCTAACTGACAGTGAAAAAAGTATATATTCGCTGATTTAGAACTGCCGAGAAAGAGCGATTAATATGTAACGCGGATGTGATATTAATATATAACGACGTTATTGGTATAATTGGTGTTTCTCGAGTCGCATCGAGCGCTCGAGTTGAGTCGAGCTGGGAGAGAGATAAAGTGTGACCGGCTCTGCGGTAAGTTGCTCGCGTCAGCGCTTACAAATCAGCTGATTACAATTAACACACCGATTAATGCTATATTTCATTCTACTTTCTACGCCGGCAATACTTCTTATTTCCGGCTTGCTTAATATCGCAAGTAAATCGCCTTTCCCACTAATCACGAGATCCGCTAAGCTGTGAGAAAAAGAAGAAGAAGAAACAGCTACTTTGGCCAACATATCCGTCGGTGCTCAGCGTTCGATTTTGATAAATTTCAAATTTCCACCACTCTGGTCCCTCCCACCTTGACTTTCCCGCCCCCGTCTCTCGCCTGCCTCTTCCTTCTCACGCGAGTCGAATTAACGCCGAGTTCACCTCCACACACGCCGCGCCGATCCTTATTTCACACTCCGGGGCGGCGAAAAAACACGAGATGCCGCGCGCCGATGAAATCTCTAATTCCTCTCACTGCTCGACTCCTGATCTGATATTGTTTTTCTACACATGCCACTATGTGCCGGCCTGTGGCGATGCGCCGCATACGCGTGCGTACAGCACATCGTACGGAAATGCCCAGCGGTCGGAATAATTTTACGCGCGTGTTGCATTTGACCATAGACGCATTCACGCTCTGTATGTCGTAACACCACTTTGCTCCGCTATTGCTACTAATTGCCGGCACGCCTATAAATATGACGATCTTCGCGTAGCGGCAGTCGTTGTCGAACATGCTTCGGCAGCTTATCGTACCTCTCATATTGGGAGGCCTGATCGCCAGTTGTTTGTGCGAGCCTGTCGACAGAAGGTACCAGCTGAGAGCTGCGTCCTCCAGGTCGATCGAGTGCGTGCACGATGAGGGTGATCGGGCGTCCGGAGGGTGTGCCGAGACCGACCGAGAGACGACGGAGGATCGAACGCGGACCGTCAGGACGACCGCGCGGAGGTCCTTGAGTGACATCGAGGATAGCGGGCTGGTTGAAGGTGAAGGATTTTCGGCCGGTTCATTGAGTGTTCTTGCGCGTCTCGTTTAATTTGTTACACGTTATTTAATTAGCGACTTCATCGGAGGTAAACCATACAGGGGACAAGCGAGGATATGTTGTTACTTTTTGTATAATTGTGTTGTATAATTTTTCTGCGCAATTTACTTGTCCTGAAATCTTAAATGCCAGAATTCACTTCTGTTCTGAGGGGATAAACAAAGAAACAAATAAATAAATAGTTTGGGCGAGCAGACGGTGAGGACATTGTTGAGACAAGTGCAAGAAAATTGGAATGTCGTTCGAATGTTTCAAAGTAACCGACTAATCTTTGGTCTGTAAGATTTCGATCTCTGCACAGTGTTACATATTTGTTGCAAAACTATATATATCTCGTTTTTCTTCTTTTATTTTTTTTTTAATTTGCTGAAATAACTTCTAGCTTTCATTTTAATCTTTTGGACTATCTCTCTATTTTGGACAAGTTCTATTCTGGTAGATTCTTGCAAACGTTATTTAATTGGTTAATTACAATTGGTTGATACAAAAATCAGAAGGAGTAATATCAAATTTATAAATAAGAAGTAACGTGACTAACAATCGTTTCTTTTTTTGACTTTCAGTCACTGGCCGGAAGAGGAAAAATAGAGGTAACAGAATAATACTGTACATACTTGGAGCTATGAAAGCAATGTTAATTTATGGACTATTACACGGCGTTGCGACTCTCGCAGGGAAGGCAGTAGTAGTCGCTAAGATAGCCTTAGCTATCGCAATCGCTGCAATTTTGAAAAAGAATGGTACGTAAATACATGGTAGGTAAGTTATAAATAGCAATGTAATTTTCTTACTGTTAAAATTCTACCGTTAAAGTTCTCTTCGAGTTTCCGTGATTCGAAGTGGCGCGTGAATTTACAAACTGGCGAATTATCATTTTGTGTTTTCCAATTTCTTCTCCAATTTCACGGTGTCTAAAATCTTAGCTTTATGTATCTAGAATTTTCAGTGATAATTGACTTTATAATTATTCTAAATCAGACTAAATTTTCACGTAAACATTTTTTCTCACAAAAGTATAAAGAATTAGTTATGTTACAAACTTGTCTGTCACGACTTCTATCACACGACAAAGGAGGAGGCCACTAATCAATTTCGAAATACCTCAAGCGAGCTTCTTGTTTCAGATCAGGAGACGTCTTATGAGGTAGTGAAGTATCCACACCACAGTTACATACAAACGCATAGCTCCAGCGTCGATTATGATCATCGTAATGATTACGGGGAAGACGGGTACAGTCATCGAGAGGGACGGCGGATTCTACGATAGAAATAGGTTCTAATTAATTGATATTAATTGTTATTCACAAATAGTGGTCGAAATAAATTAACGACTATTCATGCGAAACGTGTGTTGCACTAGAAAAAGAGAGAAAAGTGACGCTAGAAATTACTGGTATCAGCCGTATTCTATTCAACCATGTGCCCACTCGATAATGTAGCTTCGATTTAGATAAATATCTTGTAGTAGTACAAGTTTTGATCTGTGCAAATCTTATAATGTTATAATTGCAGAATTGTGCGAAATATTGTGCGCATAATGATATGCGATAATTTGCAAGTCCTTGAGCACAAATATATCATAATAAAAGCACCGTCAATCAGCACCAAGCAACATGTCCAAATATGGTATTTAAATAGATAATTAATTTCTTTGATACTCTTTGATTCCTTTACAAGATGTACACATTGAATTTCTTTCATGTAACATTAAATTTATAACACTTGTGAATATTAACATTAAGAAATATACACGAGTTATTTGATATTCAGTATTACTTTAATGACAACATCGTATGTACCTTATGAAATAATCAAGTTCGATAAAAATTACATATAAATATAACAATAGTAATAAATAGTAATAAAAAACAGCAATACAAACAGAAAAAATATACAACGTAAGACATCATAAGATAATAAAAAATATGTCAGTCATCTTGAATTTACCTTCGCATTTTAATCAGAGATATGATCTCTAAATTGACGAGAGATCCAGGATATGTCCGACGAGATGTCCTTTACACGAAAATCTCCTCGATATATTACACACTGTTTATTTTTTATGCAATAATTTTGTTCGTGTATAAAAGGGGAGAACGATATTGTACTTAACCCTCAAAAGCTACCATCAAGTATCACTTCAAGCTAACGTTTCTTCTTCTGTTTGTAGCAGAGTATATGTGAGAATTGATCTACTTTATCATAATGTTATCATTACTGACAGTGTAAATAAATACCTATAAAATTACCATTGTCAGTGTAGTTACGTTTTTGAATAAGATCAAAAATTCGCATGAGGTGAAATTAATTAGCCTTTAAGGGTTAAGCTCGACCTTATCGTAGCCTCTGTATTGAAAAATAAATTAATATTATTTTCGGAGATGCATCGAAGGGGGAAAAGACGTGTTATGCGCGGCAGCTGCAGAGTTCGGCGTTAGCACAGCGTCCGAAGGTCGAGCGCGTGATTCAAGTTGGTGGAACGACTTCCATCGCTCGTTGCCAGCCGCCGTAGCCACCACCACCGCCGTATCCACCGCCACCACCGCCATGATGTTCCGAAGCTGTCGCATAGATCACTTCGTGGCCACCACCTCCGCCGCTCGACACCAGCTTTTTCAAGCCGACTATCGCGCTCAGCACTAGAGCCATTTTCGCCGTCAGCAACGCCGTTCCGGCGAGGAAAGCTATTTTTCCGTAAGCCAGTTGCGCCATCATGCCTGGACAAACACGATTTGCGTCGTAAGATGCTAGTCTTATTAAGATATCAATGACCGCATAAAGAGGGTTAATCGTGTTTTTCAACGATCGATTTTAAACTGGATGACATAAAAGTGGAAAGGTCCTTTATTTGCCTAGACCGATGAGAAATATGAAATTGGTACAGAGTTGTTTGAAAACTTTTAGCCAAAGTGACAATCGAACTTTCCATTTTGATTATTCACTTATTCAATGGATCTATCAAGGCAGTCAAAGTGTATCTGGTTTGTAGTTTCTTATAAAAATTGCTCGAATATACAAAGCATTTTATACCTTTAATCGCTTTTGAATGAAGTTGAAAAAAAGATAATAAATTAATTTTCCTCTTGCGTTATATATTTTTTTTAGAAGCTTGCAATTTTGACCGTGCTCCGTTAGGAATAGATCGTTAATCGTCAGTAGTTTTGTTTACTCTTTGGGATCTTTGATTTTTCTTAGTTTTCAAAGAGAGATTTACCTGCTAATACGGCGCCCGCCATTAACAGATATCCAAATCCTCTATTCTTCTTTCGTCTTCCTGTAAATGTTATAAACGCGTTAATTTGACTGTTGAAAATCGCGAGTTGTTAACACACGTCGTAGAAAAAGTTTCAGCTGCGCTTTGCGTTCAGGTAATGTAATCGAAAGGCACTGCCTCGTCAACATATTGCGTATATCGGAAACGTGTGAATTAATTAATCGTTAATTAATCGTTGATGTTTCGAGTCTTTAGAACCGGGAGGGAGATCGTCGACCCGCGTGAAATTTAGAGATGTGAAACGTTGCAAGTTCCGCTTGTTTCCTCACAAGGGATAGTAACCTCAATAAATATCATAATCATACGTTTCAATTTCAAGTGATGCGTTACGATTGTGTACACACATTTATTTATTTATTTATCTATATTTATATATGCTCAAACCTTCGAAAGCACTGCCGGGTATCGTGAGCTTCAAGCTCCTCGACGACAGGTACTCGTAGAACTTGTTGTTCAGCTTCTGATCGAGGCTCAGCTCCGTGACATTTTCCGAGGTCCCTGGGCCTTGACTCCTGCTGATGGCCGACGGGTCTCTGGTGATCGAGAGGTAGTCGTTGACCTTGTACACGGAATCGTCACGTATCGCCGAGTCGAAGATCTCGAGGGCACGTCGTTTGAAGCAGTCGAAGGTGTTCTTCTCGTTCGCGCACCGCTCGAACGGTTGCGTGTACTCACTGCTGCCGGACACCACGTTGCAGAACAACGTGAGCTGAAAGACACGCAAGATCCAAACTAACGAACGTCGCTTTTCCATCGCGCCCGTGCCCGTCGATCCTCTTCCACGTCCACGCAGTGCGGCCGCCCTCTCAGCTGTTCTTCGGCACAATGACCACGGGTCGTGCTCCCGCGCGCTTCTACGTCCACCGGCTACTACTTTGCTTCTATTCTCTCTCCGGGAGAGCTGGAGAGCGCTCTGGTCAGCTGGTCAGCTGGTCGGTAAACGCTGCCGACTAATTGTGAGAATCTGGTTGCATCGTGATTTATATAAGCGCACGAGCGTTTAGCCTCTCCTACCAGAGGCATTAAAATTCCCAGGATACGCGCCCGCACCTGAGATCCACGCGCTGTTTAACTCCACACTACAACGGGAGGAGAGACCCCTCAAGCAAGACAATGTCTGTACAGCCCCGTAAGTAAGTATCCCTCTGACCCGCTTGCCAAACGAGCCTTAAACAGCGTCGTGCCAACTCGCCGTCGTTAATAGCGACGTATCAGAATCGCATTGGACAGATAGTGTTCCGCTTCTTCGCGGCGTATGATTGCGGTGCGGGATTACGAGAAAGAACGGCTGAAAGAAACGGACCTGCCCGGCAATTCGCACGCACGACTAGCTTCGCGTGCTGCCCGGGATAAGACAATACGTCTGGAGGAAAAACACGCGCTCGAATATTCGTCTCGTCCGTCAAATGGTGGCACGAATCTAGTTCCGTGTGGAATGTGAAATAATTGAGGAGCCCGAGCGATCAGCAATCCGGAATGTTTCTCGATGCACTTTCGAACGATCGAACGATCGACAACTGGAGACTAATGCGTATGTGCGTTTGATTCAAAATTAAATATGAGGCCGGAAATAATTTCCTTCTGATCTGAATAAATTCATTTCTCACACTAGGAAGAGTGTATTGTTACGTGAACCAAAATTTTCTTGTAACAACAGAATAATTTGGTTAAAACATGCCCAACAAAATTGTTTAGTTCCTGTAAACAAATATCTTGTTTGATTACACTTTGTTCGTATAACGTAATACTTTTGTTACAGCAACCAAAAAGCTTTAACTATATGAATTTTGTTGAAAATACTATAATTTTTTCTTAATATATAAAATCTAAATTTTAGTGCACAGAAAGACAAAGTAGTATCCATTGGGCATTATTTTAGTTTATGTAAAATAATATTTCGTTATTATGTAATTTTTATGGATAAGATAATTAAAATGCTTAATTTTTATATATGAAGTCTAAGAACAAAATCATTTGGTCCAGAGAACAAAGCAGAAAAATATATTTAGTTGAGCAAACTAAATATTTTGTTATATAAAACAAGATATTTGGTTGCTATTAAAAAATGCCTCAACTAAACAGTTTTGTTAGAGATACTAAATTTTTTTTCCCTAGTGCAGGAAGTGATTCGTTAAATTACGAGCTAGAGAAACTCAACTCCGTTGGCTTCTTCGTCATCGCGAGGACGTTCAGATTCGAATTCTCAACAGATCGTCGAGCGACAGGATTGAGTTTCTCCCGGCGCATCGCGCTGACCACACACACACACACACACACACACACACACTCACACACATACACGATTCACTAATCCCGAGGAATTTTAAATTCGCTAATTATCATATCGCACGTTTTAGCGCGGAAGGTGTGCAATGTTGCTCAATTGTCAATGCGGATGCGAAACAGAAAGCGTTGGTCGATCGTCGCGAAAGTGACACCGCTCTTTGTTACCGGATGATAATCAAACGGACGAATCGCTGTTATTACATATTAATGCGTGAATTTTTTCACAGGATTAGAGCTCTCCGCCGCCGTCGATGTAGCGCGATGCAGTGGCGATGCAAGCGAGGGGTCTTGCGGGCAACTTATTATTACGTGGCGCATTGAGATACTGTTAATCCGACACAGATTACGCTCCGTGACGAGCTACATTCGGAAAGCAACTTGGGCAATTACCGAGTAATGGACTTGATTAGCGCTGTCCACTGTGTGTTCAATGTATTCAATTCTGTCTCTCTTTCTCTCCCCCTCTGCCTCTTTCTCTCTTTCTCACGCGGTTTCCACCGAGTCGAATGTAGGCTACCGGTTGCACAGTAAGCCGAGTTCGCTCTTCTTCCTGCGTGTTTCCGCCTGGCGTCCGGCAAATTCCGTCCAGACCAGCGAGAGGATAATCCCGCGAGTTATACGGCAAAGTATTCATCATCCACTTCACTCTTCGCCACTTTAATGACACGGTACAAGTAATTATCGCGAAGAAAGCGTCGTACGCTCGAGTGTGAAACTTTTTTTTCACGGTCTCATTATCCAGTGTAGCGACAGCGACAATATTGTTGTTGCTCGTGCAACAGCATCAGCCTGTGTTTCCCCGCATGACGGAGAACTCGCGTTTTATTTATCCCGTTCGCGCGAACACGAAATCTCTCTGCAAAAAATCTCTCTCGCCGCTTCTTCTTTCCCTTTTGTTCTCTTCTTCATTTCTCTCGCGAGAAGAATAGTCGTCTACAGTCAGCCCGTTATCACCACTATTATTGCTATTATTATCGTTACTTCAGCTGATTTTTCCGCACAACTGAAAATTTAGATTAATCACGGATAACGCGACTATCCTCCATCCATGATTACTGCTTAATCTAATTACTAAATTGAATGGCGATGCGGAAAGTTGTGACAAGGAACACTTCGATCCTGACAACTGGCAAAGAAAACGAAGACGAAGACGAGGAGGAGGAGGAGGAGGAAGAAGAAGAAGAAGAAGAAGAAGAAGAAGAAGAAGGAGAAGAAGAAAAAGGACGATGCGGGTGTGGCGAAAAATTTTCTCCGCCGACTGCCACGGCGGGCGTACTTCGACGTACCTTTGCGCCTCGATTGTTACACCTGACGGAACAAGTTATGAGCACGTGGTAGTATGTGCATTCGCGTGACCGTAAAGACACGGTAGTATTTTCCCTTTACGAGCAAACGCGTTTCCCGGATATAAAGCAACGCCGTTCCTGCGGCGGATGGTGTGGCGTGAGAGCGACGGAGAGAGAAAGAGACAACTGGTACAGTTAGACGACCGAAAGAAAAGATGGTGCAATAATGGACTGAGACTAATGGCGCCGTCGAGTGAAAACGCCAAGGATCTCGGCGACAAGCCCTGCTGCCGATGGACAGATACCTTGAAACCGACAGTGAGCTCACGGTGAAGATCGTTATTGCACAATGCGGAGACGGGGAGGGACGATCGGCGATCGTTTTCCTCGGGAATTGCTAAAATATACGCTTGGCTGGTGAATGAATTACGTCGCGCTCGTTACGTAAATCCAAGACGGAGAGGAGAAACGAGACACTTCTGCCAGCAGCGGAGTCAGCTTTTGTCAGTTTAATCGTATCATCGTAATCGATATGTAACAAGACATGTAACAAGACGGACGGGGTATTACGCGGAATATTCCTCGACCGCCGTGCGTTCTTTCCTCGACCTGAAAATCCGCCACTTCTGGAAAGTTAATCGTTCGAAGAAAGCGTACGGTAGTTTCCAAGTAGATGTATGTATCCGGCTTTATATCACTCACATCAATATAATATTCTCTAAATACTTACTTGCACGAAACGAATACTGCGAATACGGAAAGATGCTCAGGTGATTTGGGTGTGTCATTGTCGAAGCGCGCGCAAGCTGCATTCTCGACGGTTAGAAATTCTTAAAGATCTATCATACTTATCCCAACAAGGCGATAATCAATTGAGGGCATCTACATTCTAAGGCGATTAAAAGAAACAGCAGAATCGGGTGATACTACAGCTAAATCTAAAGAAGGTATATCCTAGTTTGATGATTACTTCTCCGCTGCGATTGCCGCGATCGACTAAATCTCATTGCAACTACAGGCGCTTCAGTGCGCACCGCCCATGAAACGCTTTTGTAAATAGAAGATAACATTTTCGAGATCTGCAATCTGATTGGAAGCCTTAGGAACAACAAGTGCCTTGCGGCACGTTTCATATTTATGCTACGATGAATTATCATTGACGAGAGTTCAGAAGCGCGCGGCAGGGACCAAAACTGGTCCCTCGTTACGAACTTGTCGAGTGCGCTCGACGCCGAACAACAAGGCTCCCATTGCTCCTCGGCATGCTCCCGATTAAATGTTCTTGGTCCAAGCAAAGTTCTTCGGGTTTTGCTTGCCCTGCTCCAGATCGCCGCTGCCGTCGTAAACATTCACGACCTCCCGGATTACGTGCTGATCGTAAGGACTGAATTCCGACGGCTGTAGCGTTCTGTAAGGTCGATGCGGGAAGTAATGATCGTGATAGTAGTGCGTGTCGATCGGTATTTCGTGCGCGTAAGTGTGGAAGCCGTTGAACCCGCTCGGCGGATGCGGGGCTGAGGCCCCGGCGAAAAGCGTGTTCCATCCGAGGAGGCCGCTCACGAACAACGCCACCTTCGTCAGCAGCAGCGCCTTCTTCGTGACGATCATGAGGAAGCCGAACATGAGCGGGATTAGGGAGGCCAGGTTGAACTTGAAGCCTAGGAGAAACGGCAGTAGTACGTGCCGCGCGAGCTGCTTACCTGGAAACGACACAAGTCGAGCGTAAATCCACGACGGCAAGGTCGGTGGCCTTGAGCCGTGCTGCCTACTGGAGGACGTTCGTGGAAGCAGCTGCTCGACTCTTGCGGCTCTCTCTGCGGCGAGTACAAGCAGCGCCGGCGAGGTTCGTTTCCGCGCTAAAGCGGAGCTAATTCCACGTGTAATGAGTTAGCGATCTCTCGCGCGCGCGACGGCGGCCACCTTATTTCGTAGCGCTCCTCGTAACTACTCCGCAAAGGAACGCCTCGTAACGACGCTTGTTGTTGTTATTACGACATCGTCCGGCCGCGTTCGTAAGCGGGAAATCGTGAGCGAGCACGCGACTCGGGATCACGAATCTCCTCCGCGTGGTCGCACGGAAGTCTCATTGGACGGCGCGTAACTTGGCAATCTTGCCGAGACCAAGCAGAGAGGTCGTTTTCGTAACATTAAGGGGGCTCGTAGAAATTCGTCGAGGATCTCTGACGATCTCTGATCGGCTCTCTCTCTCTCTCTCTCTCTCTCTCGAGAGAGAGAGAGAGAGAGAGAGAGAGAGAGAGAGAGAGAGAGACGCGGGCGGCATTTTACAGACGCGGAATCAATTACCTGAAAGGCAATGGAGAATGGCGGGTAATTGGCAGGTTCGCATTTTAATTGCAAACGCAGCGTTTTATCGCGGTTGAAAAAGAATTTTGTTTTATTCAAAGAAATCAGGCCGACGACGAACTTTTGCGAGCCCCTAATTTCTCCTACGTGCCAACTACCTACCCGGACCAGCTTGCCTGTCGCTGTACGAAGCGGTCCTTTCGATAAGGACGAATTCCAGCATTCCTTCGCCGTTGAGCATCGGGCCGACGCGCATCTGCAGGCCTGGATACAAGTTGTCCAGATTCCACTTGAAGTTCCGCCGCTCCATCAGCCTGGCTGCCGCCTTCACGACGTTGCCAAAGTCCTTCGGGTCGTAGTCCAGGTCCAAGAGATCCCTGCCGTAGCCCTCCGCCCTGTCGAGCCTCACCTTGCCGAACTCCAGGCTGTCCTTGTCGTTCAAGGACTGCAGAGCGCTCAGGATGGCGCGGTTCACGCACTCGAACGTGCCGTACTCCTTCTTCGACAGGCACATGCCGAACACCTCGTTGAAACCGTGCGAGTGTCCAGGATTGTCCAGCGGGACGTGCTCCGCCCGCGGCTCCATGATCACTGTGATGCCCGTAGACACGAGCACGAGCAGGCAGAGCTTCAGCAGTTCGCTCTTCATCGTCGTCGCGCCGTCGATCTTGTCTCACAAGCGAGGAGGCTCAAACGAGACGGGACATCGGAGGAAACTCGTCGTGGGTACTCGAGTGACAGTTGTCGAGGAAGCTTCTTTCTGGACTGGTTCCGTCGAGGACTGGACCGGACACAATTCCGACAAATTCAGTTCACATCGTAAGATGACGTAAGAAGACCCGGAGAGCTGCAGTGTCCTTTACATTCTTCGCTTATACCGGACGCATTATAATCTCCTTTCCTTCTTTGTTTTGATTTTGTCCCTTCTTTCTGCTTTCCGTTCTAGGACGAATCTTCGTAGTCGTTGCGGGCGGAGAGAGCGCCGAGTGGGTGGCCGCGGAAACACTGTTCATCCTGCACCCACGATCAGCCTACTATATAGGCGACAGGGTTCACACACGACGGAACAATTGGTTTCACTCTGCGGATTTTACAGGCAGCGAAAGTACACTTCGTTTGTATTTCGTCGTTGCGAGCGGGTTGCTCGCCGGGTCGATACACCGGATGCACCCGAGGAGAGTAATTTCCGCCCGTCGAAGAATGGAGCATAGGGAAGATCGTTAGTCCGTCAGATTGATGAGACAGGCATGATAGCTGGGCGAAAAGGATTGAGAAGCGTAAGTAGCGCGGACATAATTGCCGAATTTGCGTAAAGTGAATTCGGGACCGAAGAGAGCCGAGATATCGTAAGGACGACGTGTGCGTGCGTTAGCTTTCGACACGTCCTTGGGACTGATTCATCTTCCTATCCAGCGGCTGCCTTCGCCAATCGCTGCGTCTCTGCTCTGTTTCGTTCTATCTTTTGTTTATCTCTCCTACTACTTTTTTCTGCTTCTTTCCGTTCCTGCTATGTTCCGTTCGAATTTTTTTTATCTTTCCAGGACAACGTCGAAGTTGTATTGAAATTTAATTTACTTTGATTCGCAGCTTATGAGAGAGATACATCGGGTGCTCTCTCCAACGGGATGTTGTTGGGTGGAGTGTAGATTCTTGTCGGCGTACATATGTATTGTATAAAATTACAATTTATTTATAAATAATACGATAAGTTACATGATGTGATCCCGGCAGGGGTGGTCGATATATAAATAATCATTGGATTAAATCTGGTGGTCTCGCGCGAGCACTGACTACGAGTCACTCCGCGCGCGGATTAGTCTCGCGGAGGACTCTGAAAGGATACCGCGCGAGAATGATCGAAGGGGCGCGACCTCTACCGCTGTGACAGGTCTCCGTTCCGGGAGAGCTTGGAGATTCTCGTTAATCTTACGGCTACAGTCCTCGTCCTCGTCCTCGTCACCGTCACCGTCACCGTCGTTGTCGTCATTGTCGTCGTCATTGCTGTTATCGTCGTGGTCGATGAGCTTCGTCGGCTTAAACGGATTTGCCGGGGACGTACGACGTCCCCGTCTTCGTCGTGGCGTCTACCATCGTCCTCGTCGTCGTCGTCGTGTGTCGCGATGAAAATTCGACTCGCGCGCACAGGATCCAGTGACAAAGTCCTCGTCGTGCAGGGTCGCGTTCGCCGAAACACCTGGCTCGTCGTCGCGTCGGTGGAGGCGTCGCGGAGTGGTCCTCGGCAGAGAGCTGGGCAGTTTGTCGTCCGCGGATCCCTGAGAAGCTGGATCACGCCACCCTCAGGTGTGACCGCCGGGGTTAGAGACGATCACTTTGGCGAATGAAGGTAGAGAGTTAAGGGTAGGGGAGCTGTGTACGAGGGGCGTTGAGCTTCATTCAGCGGGCTTGTACGCTTTGTACGCGAGATCCGCGCCGGACCTTGCCCAGCCGTGATGGTCGTGGTGGACGTGCTCGTCGTGGCCGTACGAGTGGACGGGGTGAGCGACGATGTCGTAGCTGTGGTGTTTGTTGGCGAGCAGCTTCTGCAGACCGACGATCAAGCTAATGATGAGGGCGATCTTGCCGATCACGAGGGCCTTGAAGGCGATCAACGCCAGGGCGCCGAGAGCGATCGGGATAAGGGCGGCGGCCTTCAGTTTCAGGAGAAGAAGAAGGGGCAACAGGGACTTGACGATCCTCTTCTTCTTGCCACGGGCTGCAACATTGTTTCGAGACATCAGTACCTCGGTCTCTTCTCTTCTTCTCTTCCGAGCGTGATCAAATATAATTCTGATTACGTGTTGGACATTTTTTCAACCGAGATAATCTAGTTTTCTTTAGTCGAGGAATTTTCTACGCGACATTCCGCCGTCTCTATTTTCAGTGGGAAAGATCGAGAGAACTGGGTCCCTTACCTTCGTCGAAGGAGCGAGAGACGTCTTCGGGCAGGCTCAGTTCGACGGTGTGCGTGGACAAGAATTTAGCGGCTCTGTCTACGAGCGCCTGATCGATCGCGGCTTCTTTGGCTTCGGTCTCGGCTGGTAAGGTACTTTCGATGTCGTTGAGAGACCTCGCGTTGTCAGCGCGGCTGAAAAGAAACGAAAGCCAGTTCTTATCACGGTCCATTTGCATACACCTCCGCCGGAGATCCGCCAACGACTTTCTATACCGCCTTTATTACCGGACGTTCTCGATTGGCGCCCAACGCGCGCCGAGTACAGTGATACCCGAGAGCTTACAAGGTCTTCCCGCATGAAACCGGAAACAGGATCGTACTCGATTCGTAAACTCGGCGAGCTTGTCGAGCTCGTCGTCAAAGTCGCGCAAGTTGACAAAACTTATCGGATTTCGCAATCCGCCCGATTTCGTAATCTTCAGACAGAGTGGAGTGTCATCAAACGGAACATTCCCCGAGCAGAGCGGGCAGCCTCGCGTGCAGCGAACGCTTCGTTTACGCATCAGCGTGCCACGATCTCGTGCACTCGAACTCGTTGCGAGGCGAGACCCTCGTTCACGCGTTCACCTGCACATGGGTCACCTGCCGCGTCTCTCACGTCCCAATTTCACTCGTCGCGCCGACGATTACGATCCGCCGCGCCGCCCCGTGTCCCGGTGAGCGCGAAGCACGCGGCCCGATCACCATCGAGTCCTCAAATCCGGGCCTTACCTGTTCTTTGCCTCCTCGGTCTGCACGATCTTGAATCCGTCGATGATGTCGATGTCGGCCGAGCGAGCGGCGTGATCGACGTAGCGCAGGGCCTTCAGCTTCAGACACACCGCAACGCTTGATTCCCCGGAACAGGAAGCGTACACGTCGAGGGCTTCCTCGAGGATCGAGGGTGGCACCACCGCCGCCGCCGCCGACGCCTCCTCGTCCTGTGTCGCCGGTGCAGCAAGGACGGAGGATACCACCAAGAGCGCGCTGAATATCGCGAGCCTGAACATGTTGACGTGAATTTCTGCTGGGTTTGTGGGTCGACGGTGAGGGTGGAACACCAAATGGAGCCGGTTTACTCCAACTCCTCGCAACTGATCGTCACTACTACTTTTCTCTCTCGTGCTCTTCCTCTCTCTCTCTCTCTCTCTCTCTCTCTCTCTCTCTCTCTCTCTCTCTCTCTCTCTCTCTTTTTTTCTCTCGCTCTCTGGCTTCTCTTCACGCCGCCGTGCGATAATCAACTCCCTCGTGTGCTGACTGTCGTGGTGCGCGTTGATGCTCGAACGAGTACGGCGATCGTATCGACACTGCCCGAAAGAATCGCGATTGCTGCCTTTTATCCTCGTCGCGAAAGGGGCCCGCGTACGTTTTTGAAATTTTGATGGCCCCCACCGGGTGGCCCCCGCCGGGTTACCAACCCATACGAGCTATTGGTTCTCCTCCAGGCGGTCGTTCCGTTCGTGTCGTGTGCGTCTCTCGTTGACGCGCCTCCACGCCGCACGCTGGTCCTTCTCCGTCGACTCTCCTCTCCGTGTGTGCCTACTTACTTAGGTCGTTTGTGTACACAACGGGTGTGTTGGCCCCCGACAAACCCGCCCTGTGCGTGTGCGTAGCGCGCGCGCTCGCGCACGCACACGCGCGAGCGAGAAATTTGCGCGTGAAGGGGAGGAGAGGACGAGGAAGAGAGGAGAGAGAGAGAGAGAGAGAGAGAGAGAGAGAGAGAGAGAGAGAGAGAGAGAGAGAGAGGAAGAGAGGGAGAGAAAGAACACGAGAGAAAGATGATGTGTGCCTACGCACTGCTGGCCTCTCTTCCTCCGGGGAGATTGGCCGATCGAACTCGGGGAGACGTTTCGGCGCGGGTCAAAAGCACCGAGAGCGAGTCGGGCCGCGCGTCCTTCGGGAACTCGTCCGGGCCATGTCGCTCGCTCGCTCGCTCGCTCGCTCGCGGCTCCGTCGGCGTAATGCGACGCTGAAGAACGCTGCCGAGCGGAATTACTCTCTCGCGAGGCGCACTCGAGGGCCACCTCGCGCGCGTCGACGACTGCCGCGATGTACACGCAGCAGCTGCGACAGGAATTGCCTACTTGCGAGAACTTTCAAAGAGACACATGCGCGGTAGCATGCATTAAAGATGAATTATTTGCAGTTGCATGAATTATACGACACACACGTGCCCTCTTCTTTCTCTCTCTCTCTCTCTCTCTCTCTCTCTCTCTCTCTCGTTCCCTCTGAACCACCGAACGACTCTCGGAATGACTTGCTGAATGGAGTCGTTCGTCATCGTAATTAATCTCCGCGAGAGAGTCCGCCGGCCGCGCTGTTCATTTTCATGTTAAACTCGTCCACCCGGCCTCTCCTCCAGTTGATGATCTACCGAGACGCTCGCGGATTGGTAGAGGAACGGCTCACGGGTCTTCACTCTTCTCGCTTCGCGCGGAATCTTTGGCTAACGTTCACCCTGAAGAGCTGATACTATATTGCTCGCGAGGAAGAGCGCCGCGTCGATGGAGGAGCGACGACTGTGTATTTGGCCGCGAGAGCGGATGCTACTCGGGGGATAAGTCGATTTCGCTTTCGACAAGGAGGTGTATTGCGCGCCTCGTGGATACTATACGTTCTATAGTCTGCGTAGACGAGGACGATGTCTCGTCTCGCCTCGCCTCGCCTCGCCTCGCCTCGCCTCGCACGCCTCCGCGTCAACTTTCCAACGTGCTTATAATGTTGTACGAGGCGCCGCGCGCGATTCCTTATTATCTGGAATCGCGACATTCCTAACGCTCTCCTTCGTGCGGGAAATGTACCGCTTCTCTTGCGAACGCGCCTCTCGTCCGCTCTTCATCGCGTGTTATCGGGGTCGCATTTTTTAGTATAATTTCCACTCAACACTCAACGTGTGTGTCTGTGTATCGAACGACGCGCCGCTGCTCTCCGAGCGCCTAGGCCGACCGATGGCCGAAGGCTCGCAGTTCCTCGAAATTTGGGAAAATAAACGCCGAAAGGACGATCTCTTGCAAGCGGGTTGCTTCGCGAAGTTGGCTCCTTGCTTCTTTCAAACACGTCGGAACTGTTTCTAAAATCGATTGAGGGAGCCTAATGATTCCTCCTTCCGCACTTTGAAAATGAGCTCAGCTTCAAGTGGATTCTCGGGAAATGTCGCGGCGCTCTGATCGAAATTTCCCTCATCAGATTACCGTCTGTCGTCCAGCTCGTCCCGCAGCAATAGCCGATCTTCCCATTCATCGCGCGTTCCGATCGCACGACCCGAAGACGTAGGTTAAGGTCGTCGCGCGGACGACACGGTGATGGCGTCGATCGATACCACTACGGCCCCGACTAGCCGATGGTCTTTGAAATTAATGTATTCCAGTGGCTG